ATTTTCACTCACACAAGATGGATCATCATTATCATCCCACCATCTCAACCTTATCATCATCATCATCATCATTATCACTGTCAACATATTGAAGATGTTAGAGAAAAAAAGAAAAGTTCCAAATGTTAACCAGAGATAATCCTTCATCCTGATGACAGATTATGTTTAGGTTGACACCGAGAATGTGAAAACAGAGATTGAGATGAAAAAAAGTTCCAATGGGGAAAGAGAAGTTAAAATTCATTACTCTAATGGTCTCAGTTGAAAATTCAGTTATATATTCATGTAAAAATCTGAGATTAAAATCATAGATTCTGATATTCAGGGAGGAGAGAGAGAGAGAGACTCAGGAAGCTTACAGAATCAATCAAAAAGTTGAGGGAGGAAAAAAGTGAAGGAGTAAAAAGGATATATGACATGATAGGGAAGGGGGAAAGTTCTGATATCTATTCATTACCCTGAATAGCAAGTGAATCCAAATAAACACCATAGAAAACACTTATTACTATTCAGATAGATATACAATACAATAATCATGATGATATGATTACTCTGAAAGGTTCATGTAAATATCGTTGAGTGAAAGGCATCATATTCAATGGCGGTGGAAGATTGAGTGAGAAAGAGAGAGAAAAAATATTCTCTTTAGAAAATTTTTTTCTTCTTCCAAACATATTATATTATTATTATCATAATGCTATCAGAATCCAATATTAAGATCACAAGAATAAGGAAGAGAAGAGAAAAAAATTGAAACCAGAAAAAACTCATTTCCATGTAGTAACATTTTTCCCTTCATTTTGATAAATTACTGAATTTTTCCCAAACCATCATGAACCAGAATTCAATATATATTGTGTTTGTATATATGTTTATGTTGATTCAATTCATGGTGTAAGTCAATTGTGAGTCTATTGATATAAATACAGAGTATGAGGGGAAAAAAATAATATCAACTAAACCTGAACAATTGTGTTAATATGATATTAACCTGAATATACATGAAGAAGAGGGAAAAAAATTCTGACAAGTAAATTGTTTCATATTGGAAATGAGTTTTCTTTATATAGTTGATTAAACTCTGGGGCTAGTTTTTCACCTTCAGTTCAGTTTCATGGGGAAATTGTTGTGGTCAAAGATAATCGGACCCTTTACCCTTTCCTTCAACCATAATTAACTTGATTATCTCATGTTATTAGTTGATTATAATCAATCATTTTCAATCTTGTGATAACTATCCTGTTGTTGTTGTTGTTCCTGGTGAAACATGATAAGTATTTTTTACCAATCGGATTGTATTTATAACTTTAATATCACCGGTGGATGAAAAAATACAATTGTTGTTCATGATGGTGAATATAATAGAGCCATCAATCACCCTGGTCAATATCAATTTCTGAGTTTTTTTTTCATTCATGATTCAATGTTTTCAATTGTCCCATGAACATGGATGTGGATTCATAAATAATATAATTTTCAACTCAATTCCAAGTGATCCGGACATCATGAAGTTATAACTAACGAGTTTCCCATGAACATATCAATGAAAAGACTTGAATCTTAGCTGACTTTTTAATTATCCTTCATCAGATCAGCTAATTAGGATGATAACGATGATAATTATGACGATGCTATTGAAGATATTATTTTGTCATTTCTTAACTCATTAATTATTATCACATTATCATGAAGGGAAAACATAAGTTATCATAACATGAAAATTAATCTTGTCTTTATTTTTTTTTTGCTTCTCACATGAAAATTTCTCATCTCCCATGATTATAATGGTGATTAACTCATAATGAAATTAACTCTTACCTTAGTGTTTGCCAATTAGTCAAGTTAATTGATTAACTTTAACACTTTGGTTATAATAATACTTGAAACTTAAATGAAATGTTACACCTTTGGTTTGTTTGTTGTTTACCTTTTAATTGTTGCTCTCTGTTAATTGTCAATTACAATTTAACTAACTGTGTATATCTGGTTATATTTCCCTGATGTAATTAGGTTTGAATTAGAGAAACAAAATAGTTAATTTAAATATAATTATGAGAGGCTAAAGTTTACCAAGTTAATAAAATAAGCGATCACTTAACGATCATCAATCTTTCATTGTTAAGATCAATAATCAATGGGAAAATGTTTTCAATGGGAAAGATGATGATGAGGATAATGAAGATGAGGATGAGGATGAAGATGAGGATGAGGATGTATCTGAAAAGAAGGCATCTCAATGACATAGTTTATTTGAACACTATAATATTAGTACAAGATTTTTATGATTCCAATTGGTAAGAAGTAAAAATTTGTATTACTATGGATTTCACATGAAGATGATGATGGGAAGATGTTTAAGATGATAAAGATAAAGATGAAGATGGAGATTATGATAAAGATGTAAAATGAGAGAGGGGAAAAGAGAGAGAGAGAGAGAAATATAATTTGCCGAAAGAGAAAGTATATCAAAAGATGATAGTTTATTATTTCCACATATTTTTAGCTAGAAAGAGATGTAACTAATGATGATGAGAAAGGAAGACCAACTCATCCTCATCCTTTTTTTGGCCTCATCTCAAAAAGAAAGGCCGAAGATGATGGAAGATGAAGATAATATTAAGAATAAATAATAAAGAGAGGATTATCATCATCTACTTTTTTTTCTTTGAGATTATTATAATGAAAACAGAAAGAATCATATTTCGATTTTCATTTCGAATTGGACAAAGAGAAAGAAAAAAATTAGAACTTTTCAAAATTCGAAACTTTTTCCAGTCTAACTTTTAACTCTATGAAGATTTAAAGTTTTTTTCTTAATGATGAATCTCAATCAAAGCCAATTTGGCATAATTTGTTTCCATTATCATGATATCTTCATCATGATGCTCACCATCATCATCAAGCCTGAACAAGTTGTCAACTTGACTGAGATTCATTTCCACCCCTGAACTTGTTAATTGACTGTTAACTGCCACCGTGAATACATCATCACCATTATGATGATAATCAAAAGATTGATCTTCAAATGAACATAAAGTTAATGAGTAATCATTAATCAGAATTGAGATGAAAAATAATTAATAGAAACAAAATGATTCCAATTTGTTGATGAATGAGAGTGAAAAATACTCACAAAATTAAAATTGATTCCTAATGTTCATATATAAATACAATTATCATCGAACCATAATCATCAACTCTGGTTCGAGTCCAAATAATTATCATCATCATAATTACAAACCAACAAATCTAATCATCATCCTCATCCTCATCTCCATCTCCATCTCCATCTTCATCTTCATCTTCATCTTCATCTTCATCTTCATCCGCATCACTTTTTTTGCCCCATGAAACAAAAATTCACATGAAAATCTGTTGATTCAACTACTATTTACATATTATCATGATGTTATCACCATGTTATTATAATAGTAACATGAAAAAATTGATTATAATGATTTAGCTAACAAAGCAATTGTCAAACCTTGTCATTAAATTGTTAATTGTTAACCATAAATTAAACGCTTCAACTTTTGTAAATTTAGTTAAACTTTTTTGACTTTTTCACATTTAATTTGATCAAAGTGAATATATTATGTTAATCAACAATTTAATAATTTACAGTTATCATTCTGTGATTTGAATTGTTTAAATTATCATAAACCATTAAAATAATTATACAATTCATCATCATGTCAGAATATTGATATTTTTTTGTTGCTTGATTCATGATTGTTTGCTTATTGTTCATTTAATCAACTAATTGTCATTTTCATTTTCATGTCATTTCCTTAATTATCATGTGTCACACACTTTAATCAAGTTTATAATTTGTTTCTATTTTACCCTGTTAATACACCAAATGATTAACTAACTAATCAATTGGATTCAATCAACTAAAGCTCAATTTAATCTGTTAACGGGTTAATCCCTCAAGGGATTAACGGTTGGTTAAGGTTGATAAAAAGTAAGTGTTCATGTTGACATTTAGTGTTCAATTCAGTGATTGAAGATAAATCTTTGTCAGGGTGATTATCATGTTGATGAATTTTATTTTATCATCTTCTTTTTTTCACTTTTTTTTTGCAAAATGGTTTCAATTACTTTTGATTACAGAGAAAAGAAAAAGATTTCAATGATTTTCTCTCCATAATCCAATAGAATTTTTCTTTATTTTCTATTTTCTATTTTCTCTCTTATTCTTATTCTTCAAGAATCATCATGAACATCAATTTTTCTCTCTACTTTTTCAAGAGAATCACTTGTATCTTATCAGAACTTTATTTCTTTACTTTTTATCTCCTTCCTCTTCACACCTTTATCATCATCATCATCATCATGGATGTAAAAAGGTAAACCAGGAAATTGTTATAACAAAAAGAAAACTCAACAAACAAACTCCCAGGTGAACTATTGAGTTTATCATGAACATTCAAAGGCCATTCATGTATAATACCTGAAGATGAAGATGATCAAACTCAAGTTGTTGTTTCATTCTGATCTGAAGTATTCAATTGAATCCTCAGGATGATTAGATGATGAAAATAATAAAGTATATTGAAAGCTACTGGAAATCTCAGTTGAGTCTCATCATAATGATGAGTATTATTATTATCTCATGTGGTTAAGTGATTATTATCATCTTCATGAAGTTAACACAATCAAATGAATTGATTTTAAACGTGAATACTACATACGGTATGATGATACAAATAACTTTTCTCTTTTCATCACCACAATTAATTACTATTAATCCAATCAAAGTAAATTGATTAGTCGCAAAGTTGGTGAAATCGAAATGGGACAATTAATGGTCGGAATTTGGTGACAGAATGATGATTAACTCCTATCAACTTTTTCTTTGATTATTGGGAATCATTTGAAAGAAAAGTTGGAAGATTTAGAAAATTTTGAGATTCTTTTGGAAACTTTTACAATCGAACTTTTTTTTTCATTAGAACTTTCGTTTTCTCAGTAAAATTAAAGAGATTTCGGCTTACCTGAGATTGCACTTTCGAAACCAATAGGCCAACCACCGTGAATATGTTCAATTTGAGGTTGTGAGGGTCGATGAATTGATCCAGTTAATATTTTCGGATTAATTACTGAATAAGGTTCTTTACCATTACTTGTGTTTATAATATTGTTGGTGTTGGTGTTGACACTAGAATGTTGATTCACTGGATTTCCACCACCTCCTGGTACATATGAATTAATATAAGCGTTATTAGCACCCGTTAATGACGCTGGAATAGGAGGAGGAGGTATTGGTAGAGGTGGAGTAGCTTGTTGTTGATGTTGAAGCTGATGTTGTTGTTGATGTTGTTGTTGTTGCTGTTGATGATGTTGATGTTGATGATGAGGTAATGTCGATGATAATGATTGCTGAGGTGTTAGGTTAACATCTCGTTGACCTCCAAAGGTCAATATAGTCGGAATCGGTGGACCAAAGCCTGAGGCGTCCATATCATCCGGTTCAAAACAACCACCTTGTTTTTGGAGACAGCAAAACATAAACTTCCCTCCGACACAAGGAAACAATTGGATCTCTCAATCACCTTCAAGGTAAATCCAATGTCAGTAAGGTGATTATTATGACCACCGATATGATAGAGAACTGAATTGAGAGAAAGAAAAATATGAAATAACAAGATAATATCAAGAATCAACTACGTGACTAAATGGTGAGTTAACGGTTTTCAGGGTATCGAATCTGGGAAACGATATTTATGAAAAAGTAAATGAATTTATGGTGAAAAAATAGATTGAAATTTGTGATAAATTTTGACGAAAAGTTCTGAATGTAAGTTTGTTTTCCCAGGGAAAAAGATACAACCCTTAACGGTGAAGGATTTTCAGGGTAAATAATATGACAAAAGATGAGGATAAAAGACTAACTGAGTAAAAAGTTGAGTCCCTCGAGTTGAGAATATGGTTACTCTTGAATACGAATATGAATTGGAATGGAAACTTTTCTTCTTCTTTATTAGAACTTTTTGTATTCTCTTTACTTTCTCTCTCTCAATTTCTTTTCTTTTTTTGTTTATCATTTTCTTCTTATTCTTTCATATTTTGACTCTTCATTTTGTCTTTGCTTGAGGTCGAAAATTTCAAGTAAGAACTTTTCTTCTAATCTTTTTCTTTTTACCTTTCGATTGATAAATTTTGATCAAAGTGATTGAAATGATGATCAGGATGAGATATAAAACTTTTCACCCAAATGGCAATACGATTTATCCTCGGGCTTTTTATGAGTTGGAGGAAAAATTGTTCTAAATTGTTGGATTGAAATTAGATTGGATTTGGTTGCACAAATGTATTAAATTGATGGGGACTCACAAAAGATTTCACAAAATGAATTGATAGGTACGATTATCATGATTACGATTACCCAGGATGATGAAAATTGGATCAACCAGAACTTTATTATTATTGTCGATTCTTTTTATCGAAATGAAATTGTCAAGTGAACGTGAATTCCTATAGACAGAATGAGATTCAGTTTCCATCATGAAACTAAACTTTTTGCGCATTTTTTTCAACAAACAAAATTCTGAGTCGTCTCATCAATAGTTCAGATTATAAGATTAGTTGTTCAATTGGTTTAACTTTTCTATTTGTTAATCACTTTATTGAGATTAACATAAGATTAGAAAACTTGAAAATTCCCCATATAAAGTTAATCGACACACTCAGTTAGTTTCAATTTCCTGATCAACTTTACCAAAGTTTCTAAAATTAAATAATAATATCAACAATAGTTAATAATTGATCGATGATTAGGTTGAAATCATTTAAATTGTTCTTATGAAAGTAACTCGAATTAATTTTGTTTCTTTCCACTTCAATTGGAAGACAAGAGATGGCGACACATTCGAATTCGATTTTAATCGAAATCCGGGTTATTGCGGTTTTTTAATTATCGTTTTCGTTTAATTATCGTTTAATTTTCTTTCAATTTTTGTTTTCGATTTTTTTTCAGTCTCAATTTTAATTGTCTCTGGAATTGTGACTGATTTAGTTTTAAATTTCATTTTAATTCTTACTGTGACAGTTTAATTAAAGACTTAATATTACTTTTCTTTGGATAAATTAGTTAATTGTCTTTGTGATCTCATCTAATTACCTGCAATTGTTTCAACATGTTATTTTATTCATTTTTTAAAAGTCTCATTGGTAAGGATGTTGTCGTTGAATTAAAAAATGACCTTAGCATTTGTGGGACACTGCACTCGGTTGATCAGTACCTCAACTTTAAATTAACCGATATAACAGTTCAAGATGCCAATAAATATCCTTACATGCTTAGTGTTAAAAATTGTTTCATCCGAGGTTCAGTGGTTCGTTATGTTCAACTGCCGGTCGAGGAGATTGACACCACGTTGTTACAAGACGCTACTCGAAAAGAAGCCATCAAATAACTTTAATCATCTCTTTAATTATCTTGAAATTTATCTATTTTATAGCTTGTTCTTTACTCTATTCCTTAATCACTTTATCATTTTAATTCTCTTTTTAATTCCTTTTAAGTTGTTTACACTTTTCTCTCTCTCTCTTTCTCTTTACCACTCACACTTTTGTCAATCTCGAAAAATATTTTCAACTCACTTTGCCGATATTTGTATTTATTCTCTCTCTCTCTTTCTCTTTACCACTCACACTTTTGTCAATCTCGAAAAATATTTTCAACTCACTTTGCCGATATTTGTATTTATTTGTATTAAGTACAATTTGATGACTTATTAGTTAAATAAAGAAATGACAAATTACAATTTGAATTGACATGTTGAGTCGACTATGTTATTGTCTGGAAGAGAGTGAGAGAGGTACTGGTAAAGGATAGAAAGTGAGAGAGAGAGAGAAAAGAGATAAAAATGGAAATCATATGTAATAGATGAGAAGATGATGCGAAGAAGATGAGGAAAAAAAAGATGATACAAAATGGAAATGATGTATTGATGTTGCGAATGCCAATTTAAAGATGATTCCGATGTTCATGGTTGGTAAATTGTATGAGTGTTTTTCTGTTTCAAGATGAAAAGGCGGTTGATTGATGTAACTTTTTTGTTTCTTTTATTTACGTTTGGTAATTTAAACGAAAATTGAATGTGATAATTAATGTTGAGATGAACTAGTGTAAGGTGCACCAAGAAACTGATCAGCTATTCGTGCGGCCTCTCGTAGTCCACTTAATAGAGCTCCATGAACGGTGGCGGGATAATTTCTTATTGTATGTTCACCAGCAAAAAATAATCGTGATATTTCACTTGCTGTTTGATTGTTTGGTGATGAATCTTGTTGAGGAGGTTGTTGGGGTTGTGCAGAAGTTTGTTTGGCTTGATTAGCCGAGAAAGATTGTGGTGGATAAGAAACTGGAGCTGACATTATATCGAGATCGGATCCACTTGAACCAACTGCTACATACGAGTAAGAACCTTTTGACCAAGGGTCAGCTCTCCATCGAGTGACAACTGTCTCTTTAGGTTGGGGGACAGTTGCACTTCCGAAAATTGTTTTTAAAACTGATAAACATCGACCAACAATAACATCATCAGTTACATTTTCCATTATGTTGGCCGCTTCACCAGCGACCAGAGCCATTAGAACCGGAGATTTGTATAAACTCCAGAAGAGGAAAAGTTCACCTCGAGAGGCGGTTGTACTTCCGATATGACCAAATAAGTTACTATCTTGATCCCAAAATACTCGATCAAAACAAAGAACAACTTTATTTAGGTTACCATATCCTAATCGTTGGATTGCTTGAACTTTCCAATCGGGCAGGGGTGGAATAAATTGTATATTATTGTGCAGTGATGATTGAGCACCAGAATTTGGGGTGACTGATTGTTTGAAGAACTCCAAGAGGAAGAGTACAGAGAACTGCATCTGCAGAATATGAGAAAAGGCAGGGTTGAGGTGCGGTTACTTGTTGGGAGGCATAGAGACGCTTTGGATCGTAGGCCAAAACCTCAACTCCCATATTGACGATTCGTATCTGTTTAACAGCTCGATTGGTGATTATACAATTTGCCGGTAAATCATCACACATCGCCATTGGTACACAAGAGAAACCATTGCCCACGGTTAGGTGACTACCTGAAAACTCATAGTCATCATCTTGATCCCAATGTTTAAGAGATAAATTGTTAAGATGAGTGTTATTGGCAAATTCGAGATTCGCAAAATGCCAATCTAAGATTTGACGATCTCTCGATGACAGGTAAACATCACTTGGTGGATTGTTTTCTAAATCTTTTAATTTATCTTCAATATCCTTCTCTTGTTCCAAAAGTGTATCCAATTCTTTATAAGCTCCTCTCAAATCTCGAGAAATTTCCCTGAAATAAAATTCTTGAGTAATATCTCGATTCCGTGTTTCAGAAAGTTCTTTATGATCTTTGTGAAGTTGTTCAATTTTCTCCATCATTTCAAGAAGACTAACTTGATTTGCTTTAAGTTTCTCTTGAAGATCGTAGATCAGTTTAAGATGTTGAATTTGTTTCTCTTTAACGCTTTTCTCCTGTAATTGAATGACCCATTCCAATGCTTGACCCAATGAAATTGGACTTCCTTTAACTTGATTGAGATCATGAGTATGTGATAAATAACTGGTCGCTTCTAATAGGCGATTAAATTCCCGTTCAACCATTTCATCTTTCTTTTACGGAGTTTCTTAAATATCCCAAAGTTGATGAAACCCTGTCTATCAAGGTATGAGTGAATCCTCATAACTGGAAAAGTAAAGCAAAATAGAAGAAGAAGAAGAAAAGATTTAGACAAAAATGGATTGATAAAATGAGGATAAGAACGAGTATATAATTAAGGTGTGGGTGGTTATCGTCATGAGATTATATTGATCAAGAATGAAAAACTTACTCAAGGGACCATCAGAGTCATATGGTGCTTCCAATTGAGCCATAGCATTGTCCAAAGTGAGCTCTTGCTTTGGATTCTCTAACCAGAGTTGAAGTAAACGATTTCGAATGTGAAGATAAATTTTAACATTCTGAGTGGGTCCATTATTTATATCTGCGAAAGCTGTAGCTTCGGAAGCAGTCATCTTATCGACCGGTAATCTAGACTGGAAAGCAGCTCCTTGTAGCTTCGGAAGCAGTCATCTTATCGACCGGTAATCTAGACTGGAAAGCAGCTCCTTCTAATCCGGTAGGATCTTCACCAGAATCACTGTCATTGGCTCCATCATCCCTAGAATTGGGATCATTACCATGTGAATTAAGTCCAGAACAAGATGAATTATTATTATTGAGACCGCTATTATTACTATTAGCTAGAGATGCCGATGGTGTTGATGTATTGGCTGTGTTACCACTGGAGACACCGCCACTACCACTGGAAGAAGAGCTCGGCATGGAAAGAGTATTTCGCCGAGTTTCACGATTTCCACCATCGTTATCACCAGTTGTCACATCTTCTTCAGCAGACATGATTTGAAAAAGAAAAGATGAGAGCAGAAAGAGAAAGAAAAACCAAAAGAAACAAACACTCACAATAAAAAGAGAGAGAGAGAGAGAGAGCGAGAGAGAAGAAAAAGAGAGAGATGCAAAAGAAAGAAAAATAAAAACTTCTAAACAGTAAAAATACAAGAAAAATGAAAACGAAAAAAATGAAAGTGATTAGGAGAACCGTTGAAAGTTCACAATTAATACTCAAACAGGATTAAAATCAAGAGTTGAGTTTAATTAACAGGATGAAAACAAACAATTCGTTAATCAAGTTTACCGAAAAGCAAAGATCTTCAGGATTCTCAGGAGGCTCGATTAAGAAAGAGAATTCAAACCAAATTGAAAGAGAAGAAAAGAGACTAGGGGTCAGTTTACTAATTTCGAACCGTTTTTACGTTTTAAAAGAAAATTAAATTTCCAAATCAACAGAAACAATTAATCGATTAATTGAGACAATTAACGAATGTTGAAAATTTAAGAATCGAAAATTAAATTTGCTTGTGATTTTTTCAATTTTTCTTGGAAAATTGTGAACAATTGATTCGTCACAAAGAGACTAATTAATTTAACGCTTTTCTTTTTGTTTCAATTAATAATTTAATTTGATTTTCTAATGTTCATGTTAATTGCTTTGAGATTATGGGTTTGATTTCTGTTTAATTGTTTTACCATTTCCTTTGGCCTAAGTTAATCATCTGCATCTTTTTATCATCAAGTGATCAAAAAAGTTGTAATGGTTAATAAATTGTTAATTGTTATGAGTTGATCATTTCGTTTTTCATTTAGTTTGTTGATTGTTTATTTAAACAAAGTTTGAAAACATTAAATTGTTGAAAGGAAGATGATGGTAATCAAGTTATATGGAATTCTAATGATGATGGTGATCAAGAAAAATACATAAAAGTTAATTAGCGAAATTTGCAAAAGGAATGGGAAAGATGATTATGATTGATGGTTGATCATTATACAATTTAAATTGTTGGTAAGGGTTAATTGTTGAGAGGATTATCAAGTACAGTTAAGAAAAGAAAAAAAAACAAATCTCTTAATTGTAGGATTACAATTTTACAATTAGAGATTCTGGTAAAATATCTTTGGTGAAATTTGGATGACTTTTGTTACATGGGATTTTTTGATTACGTTTTCATTTGATTTTTACATGGATTGAAAATTAAATTGTTTCAAGATGATTTAAAACTAATATGAGGGAGGAGAAAAATAATTATTCAATTACATACAATGTTGCGAGTGTATTTAAGTGTCGGGCAAAAGTATTGATTAGTAAATCACTGCGAAAGTTAATCAAAAATTTAGATACATAGAGACAAAGAGAGAGAGAGAGAGAGAGATACAAAACAAAAGTGTAAATAATTAAGGATATTGATCATGATGATGATGATGATGATTAAGATGATGATTAGGAATCCATGATAGTAGTTGAATCCAATTGAGCTCTTGAGGAAAATGTTTGGTGAATGATTAATGATTGAGAAAAAAGGATGAGGATGGAGAGATGAACTCGTAGGAGAGATAAACAAATAGAGGAAAATTTTTAGAGAAAAAAAAATGATCATTAATCAATCAATCAATCATTATCATCTTAAGCAATAATCATGATTCGCTCCATTGATCCCTGTTGTTAATCATGTTGTCTCTCTTTCTCCGATGTGGTATCTTGATTAATGGTAATCAACGAAATTGACAAAAGCTAAAATTTTGAGGTTGATTAACTTTTGTTATATGAGATGAAGATGAAGAGGCTTAAAAACCTCAGTGGTAAATCATCAAAACAATTATCATGTTCTTGGAACTTTTCGTTTTCTTTTTTTTCATCCTCTGGCTTATCGATTGTGATTGATCCAATCGTCAGAATTAGGATTAGGCATCAGGATAATCTGGTTATCAGAATTTCTTTCAACTTCTTGATATTTTTTTTCTTTTGCGTTTTCTTAAAGCTTTTCCATTTTGAAATCAATTCTTTTGTCTCAGAAAATTCTCACTATTCAGTTTCATTTTCTTTTACAATTTAACAGGTACATATGTATATCTATTTACAGGTGAATTTGTCTTCTTTCAAAGTTGATTATTTACTTCAATCGACCAGTTGATTGTTGAGGTTTTGTTTGTTTAATTTTGTGATCGCGTTGGTGAAAAATTCATCTTGATTCATGAGAAATTGTATCCATCCTCAAATAACCGGTCTGAAAGTTGCTTTCAAAATGGTGACATTTTTGTTGTATGTTAAACAAGACACGAAACTTGGTGTTAATGCCATCATTCAGTTTCCTCTTTCATGGTAAAATAAAGTCAATCTGGTTATCTAATTAGTGTGGTGACAGTTTATCATTGTATCAATGATTTGTAATCTCCATCATAATTGAAAACCAAGAGCAGAAGTAGAAATGACTTTCAACAGTTTCTTTTTGTTGTTGCTGTTGAATGATTTGAATTGGATGTTGATTTTTTGTTTTGTGATGATACGTTTGATTGGTTAATTGGATTTGAATGTTGACCATAAACAAACATCTTACAGATGACCTTTCACTTTGGTTAAACGATTTCCAATCCTGGTTTCCATCATTTTCCGTTGCTCTGCTCTCATGTCATTCACAAGGCTATTTAATTGTCCACCAATGTCGTCAACATATTTAAAAAGTAATAGAGATAAACAAAAGTCGCCGATTTCCTCAATCTTTCAGCTCTTCTTTTTGATTCCTTTATCGACTCCTACAAGTTTTATTGCCTGGGTCTTTGTCTCAGCAGGAGAAATGGAGATGAGAAAATGGAGGATGATGACAACAAAGATGCGAGAGAGAAAAAGATTGAGAGAGAAAGATTTTACCAGGAAGCAAAAACCATAACATCCCAACGAGAAAGAGATCCTTTTAATAACAACAGACTTTTCCATTGTCTTTTAACCAAATACTTTTTTTCTGATTGTAGTTTTGTGAGTGTGTGAGTGTGTGTATGTCAGTGTCAGTGGCCATCCTTGATTATCGAGATTACAATCATTCTGTCTGATAGGTTGACAAAAGAGCTGCATCAACGGGTTCCATACAAGAAGGACATGTGAAGGATCTCATTAGCCAATCATCAATACACTTCGAATGATAAATATGCATACAGGGTAGAAATCGTATTGAATCATTGATTACAAACTCGCACATACATATTGCACACCTAGAAGAATAAAAAAAAAGAGAAGAGAACAAACAATGAAAAACAAAAGAAGAGAAAACAAAACAATTAATCATAATGATAATACGAATATGGAAAATAAATAAACACAAAGAGGGAGGCAGAGAAATTGAATCGATCGATGGACAAGGTTGAAAAAGAATGAGTAGATTAGATTGTTCAGTGTTGATTTTACTTTGATTGATTGATTGATTTTATAATCAGGTAACAAGTCAATTGAATATGAGGGACAGAAAATGATCTACTTGTGATAGAAAAGCTTAATTGTTGTTGTGTTCAAATGCTCATAGCCATTGGTCATAACATCATAAAGACACAAGATTGGATATAAACTCAAGGTGATTTGTGTTAATCAAAGTGTTTCCATTTGGAAGGATAATTTTTGACAAATTAAGGGTTAGATTCGAGTGGATTATGATCAAGGTAAGGATAATAAGGTCTGACTTGTTAGGCCTGAGAGAGAAAGAGATAATTATAATGAATGTGAATTGGAACATAACAAAGAAACAACTGAGATTGAATGGAAGGCCTGAGAATTTGAAACAATAGAATTGAAAGAAATGTACTTACTCTCGATTCTTTTTACTTCCATCATAAAGTCCTATTGGTAAATGTTGAATTAAACCAATTCGTTGGGCGATTTTAATTTGCTCTTCTTCGGATAATTGGGATGCAGGTCGACTTACATTGGGCGATGGATAGAAAACGGGTAAAGACATTGATTGTGAATGGGCATGTGATTGATGAGAATGGAGGGTTGATGATGGATGGTTGTTGGATGTTAATTGATGATGAACTTGCATCGTTTCATGATATGATGGTGGTGGACCTAATTGTTCAGAAGAATTGGTTTGTTCCAAACGCCCAGAGCCTGAACCTTCCCGTAATAGAGCGAGATCATCAATCGATGCTGCTGATTTAAGGCAATTGCCCATCTTGAGATTTATCACATAAATAAATTACAAAAGAAACAATGAAAAAAGAGATATGAAAAGAAAAGAAAAGAAAATCACCAATGTAAGAGAGAGAGAGAGAGAATCAATTTAACAATCAACACGAATTAAAAACCGTAATGACGATTAAAGGAAAAGATGATCATGTAAGATTAAGATGATGTTGAGGTTTAAATTGTTTCTAAAATATTAAAGTTCCGTTGATGTGATTGTCTGTTGTGGTGTCAAATTGAGGTTGTTGATGTTGTTGTTGTTGTGTTGAGGTTCCTTTATCTTTGGAGAGGAAAGAGAGAAGAAATTTTGATGAAGACAGAGAGAAAGAGGAAATAGACAGAGGAACAATAATACAACAAAGAAAATAAACAGATACGAGAGAGAGAGAGAAGAAAATAGAAAGAGAAAATAGAAAGACACTGAAGGATATATTAAAGAAAAGAAAGAGATTGTTACAAACAAAGAAGGTAAAAAAATGAATATGATTATTGAGCTCGTTTGTTGTTGATTTTTGAGAGAGAGAGAGAAAGAGATCTGGATGACAAAGGAGAGAGAGAGAGTAGAAGGATAGAAAGGAAAGAGAGATGAAGAGAGAGAGAGAGAGAGAAACAAAATCAAGCTGATTATCAAGTGAATTGTTGTTTTGTTGTTTTTGTTGTTCTGATCAGTTTGTTGGTAAATCACTGAAAAAATAAGATATTAAATGATCAACAAAATGGTGATGATGGTGAAAGATTTTCAATCAAATTAAAGTTAATGTAAATTCAGGTCAACAACATTAACTAATCAAGCAAATGACGATGATGATGAAAATGCTTGGTGATAATGGAGATGATGAGAATCCTTCAATTATTAGATGTAAGTTTCAAATTAGACAAAAAAGACAATCTTGATTATACATTAAAGTCACAGGATTTTACATATGAATAATAATCAATCAACACCATTAATTACATTCTATTGGAGAAGATAATTAAATTGTTTATTTGAGAATAGAAAATGAAAACAACTCAATTCATCTAATAGTTTGTTGTTGTTGTTTTCTTTCACTATCATTACATACAAACTCTTTGTGTTTGATGTTATTCAATTTTCTGAACAAAAAATCAAAACAATTTAAACTGAGTTTGCGTTAATTGTAACTCTTTTTCCTCCTTGATTCTTGTTTATCGCCAGAATTCAGAATGAATCAAATTTTCCGATAGAAACTCAGCTGGAAATCAGCTTAGAATCAGCGTCGATTAACTATTAACACCATCACCACAAAATCAACTCTTTCCCAAGAGAATTGATATTGGAATATATTCCAAGACATTCGTGTGTTCATTTTTAACAATTTAAAGAAGAGATTAATTAGTTGAAACAATTGTTATTCTAATAGGTAATTGTTATCCATCCAGAATGAACTTTTCACTATATCAATGTGAAGACGTTGGATCTTGATTTGTTCAGAATTTGTTGTTAACCTTTTGTTGGATAATTTTTTCAATTCATTTTCTTTAGTTGGATTATCATTGTCACGTTCCAAGATTAGAAGAGAACCTTTTTTAAATTGTTCCATCTCATTGTTGTAATTAACTCCATATTTGAGGAACATATATCATGTTTATCGCTGCTCACGGTTCCTTTTAATCTGATTTGAGCTTCTTGATGGTTCATCGGGAGTGGAAGTTGTAATTTCTCATTGACCAGGGGATTGAATAAAGTTTCACCTTTCTCGTTAATTTCACATGAATTATATTCACCAGTTAAACAGTAGAAAGTTGTATTGTACAAATTGTTGATGTGACAATCAACTTGTCGCCATTTTAGATAGTCAATTATTTCCTTTGTTCCAGGATAGATAACACAACGACCATCAAACGCTGGTGGATATTTAAGGTCAACATTTACCATGTAATTTGTCCAATTGTAAACATAAAATGAAGTAAAAGTTGAAACAATCAGAGAAATCAGCTTGTTAGCTCTTCGTTTAAATATATCGGACGATTTTGATACAATGAAACTAAACTCGTCACTCTGACCATAGGCTATTTTAATTGATGGATAAAATGACTTCATGACCCCAGTAGCAGCTTCAACCATGAGATCCAATGCTCGTTTATCATTGGGTTTATGGAAATTATGAACTTTTGAGAATTGGTGAAATTTTTGACCATCAATTCTAACAGCAATGTAACAATTTCTCACCAAAACCGGATCACTTGCCTCTTCAAAGGTTCGTACATATTCAAATCGTGAATTAGCCATTGGACAGCAACAACCAAGAAAACTGGGAGACAATAAGTTAACACCAATACGATTAAGTAATAAACTCTTCCAGTGAAAAGAATTAAGTTTTCCAATCAACATCAATAAACAGAATCAACAACAAGAGGAGAAAAAAAAATTCTGTATCAACAAACGAATCAAATGTAAGAACAAGTAATTCCCTTGGTAACAATTTCCTTTGATTCCTTCAAAATACCCCTTCTAATCCCAGAGAACATAACAAAAAATAATCTAAAATTCCAAGAAATTAAATTACAGAGAAAAAAAGATCAGATGATTAACTGAGATAATTTAAATTTCTCATTTCAAAATTTTCTCTCATGAGAAAACATATGTTTCCAATTCTCTTGAATTTGGCGGTCACTTGGTTGCGAGAATTCGGTTGCCTTGGCAACTACTCGGAAACGGAAGAAAAGTTGATCACCTCAATCAACATAACATTTTGTCGGTGAATTTGATGGTTTTGTGTTTTTCTTGATTGTTTCTTGTGTAAATTAAATAGTTGTTTTGTTAAATTAAATTGATAAACTATGGGTCGAGACGATAAGGCTACTTGGAAAGCCAATTACTTCACCAAACTAATTGTAAGTATTGAATGAAATGAACTGATCTGTTTTTAGGTGAATCGTTTTCATGTGTATCTTTTTTTTTGACTTGGTTTTTTTTTCTCGCTTCTTCTTTGGCAATTTAGCAATTGTTGGATGAGTATCCCAAGTGTTTCATAGTTGGTGTTGATAATGTCGGTTCTAAGCAAATGCAGCAAATTAGACATTCTCTTCGATCATCTGGTGTAGTTCTTATGGGAAAAAATACCATGATTAGGAAAGCCATTAGGGGTCATCTTGAGTCTAATCCATCATTAGAAAAGTAAGTAATTAGATTTTTATTCAATCCAGTGTTTCTCTTTTAAAGGTTTAGCAATTCTTTTTAACTCTGTGACGTTTCTCTTATTGTTTTTCTTTCTTTTTTTTTGTCTAGGATCATGTCTCATGTTAAGGGTAATGTTGGTTTCGTCTTTACCCGAGAGGATCTTGTTGAGGTTCGAGATAAAATCTTGGAAAATAAGGTTAGCGCTCCAGCTCGAGCCGGAGCCATTGCTCCAATTGATGTAAAGGTTCCTCCACAAAATACTGGCTTAGTACCTGAAAAAACATCTTTCTTCCAAGCTCTTCAAATCCCAACCAAAATTTCTAAAGGTACCATTGAAATTTTGAACGAAATCCATTTGATTAAAAAAGATGACAAAGTAGGAGCCTCAGAAGCCACGCTTCTTAACATGTTGAACATCTCTCCATTCACTTATGGTCTTATCATCAAAAGTGTTTACGACTCTGGAACTGTTTTTGCTCCAGAAATTTTGGACATCACTAATGAAGACTTATTAGCTAAACTTATGGAAGGTGTGAGAAACATTGCCGCTTTATCTTTGGCCATTGGTTATCCAACTGTCGCTTCAGTATCTCACTCAATTGCTAATAGCTTGAAGAACTTGATCGCCATCAGTGTGGAAACCGATTATACTTTCAAAGAATCCGAAATGTCTAAGGAATATCTTAAAGATCCATCTAAATTTGCTTCTTCGGCTCCAGCCGCATCCGCTGGTGGTGCTTCACCAGCCAAGGCAGAAGCTAAAGTTGAAGAAAAGAAAGAAGAAGAGGAAGAAGAAGATGATGATATGGGCTTCGGTCTATTCGATTAGAATTGTTTATGATAACATCATAGATTTCTAACCCTGGATTTATTAATAAAGCCTGTTATTCAAACACAAAAGAGAATGACAATTTTCAATCGGGATAATCGCCTCTGATTATAATCTAATTTGAAATCAATATTGATTCTGGTACAAAAGTGAAATAATTACTCGTCAAATTTTTACTCAATTTTTATTTATATCTGAAGATGATTAATCGAGATTACAATCAATGATCAATATACTTTAATCAGATGAAAGATGTGTATGGATGTTAATTTATATTAACAATTAGAGTAGAAAAAGGGACAAAATGTTATATTGCTGACCACATTTTCTATTAATTTAAATTTATGGACAGTTTTAAATTCTTTGTCTTTTTAATTTTGTTAAATTGTAAACGTGAGTTTGTTTTTCTTATTCTGATGATGATGATGATGATCCACTAATTACGATAATTAAAATCGTTAAACATTGTTTATGGGCTTTTGTGGCTGGAAGAGACAACCGGACAAAATTGTTCGTATTAAACATTATTTACTTTTCATCTTTGGTTTAAATTAGTAGAAAGAGGGACTAGAGAAGAAGAATTAATTATGAGAAATTAAATATAATTTAAATTAATAGAAAACAAATGATCAATAATAAGGTAATTAGATGAATATAACGAAGATTAATTGTTGATGAGAAACAAATTGATGCGCTTATATAAATTGTCTGATGAATTTGTTCAAATGTACATTTGGCAGATTCACAATTAAGTGAAATTTGTTTAATGAGTTTCTATGTTTTTCATGATTTATGTCTGAGACTTGGAAACGATGTTAATTGATTAAATTATTAACAAAACAATTAAAGTCTCCAATTTATTGGTATTGTGATGACAGCGGAATACCAATTGATTAAGAATTGATTAATTGTCGTGGACGTTGTTGTTTGTTTTTTAAACACTAATCAGAATTGAAGTAAAATCGATGAGTCCAAATTATTGATTATTAGGGATAATTTAGTCTCTCCAAGTTTTACATTGTAAATCATTTTATTGGCATGAAATTAACTCCTGATGAGATTATTGATTAATTGTCCGTCTCATTTATTGGCTTTGTTTTTAATTCTTTGAGTCTTTTGATTTGTTCTTTCGTTGGCTTAATTGTGAACAATGTTAATTGTGATTAAGTGAATTATTTGCTTGACTTTTATGCTTTGTATTCGGGATATTTTTTCCTCGATCTTGACCTTGAAACTCTCGACGAAACCGTAACACCACAAGGAGGCGGTAAAAGGGTTAAAGTTAAAGGTCTAGATGCCGAACATGCCCTGACCTCTGTTGAGACGAACGATGGCCTGTCCCTTGGCCGGTGTTGGGACGACGAGGAATTGTATTGTAACTTCGGTTTAATTGTTGTTGTTGAGTTGCTAATCGAGCTGCTGCCGCTGATGTCTCCGGAAGGGAATGCTGGTGTTGAAGTTGATGAGACGATTGATGGGAATGATGGTGAAGTGAATGATGACTTGGGTGATGTTGTTGTTGCTAAAAGAGAACAATTTAAATATTAATCATCCAACTTAATTGTTTCTTTTAATTTGATTTACCTGTTGGAAGAATTGTTGAATTTGAGGCAACAATAATTGCTGCTGAATTTGGGTCGGCAAAGAAGCATGTAGCTGTTGGAGATGCTGCTATTGAGAAAGAAAAATAAATTCAGTAAAAACGGATTAGTTATTAATCAATCATAATGATAAATTGTTAATCCAAACAATAAATTACACTACGAAACAACTTAATCATTAAGATGGATTAAAGGTTTGATAGGATACAAGCAGAAATATGTAATTTAACATGCAGCATGATATTAAACTTAAATTGCCTATTAAATATATGAAATGATGGAAATGTAATTATATTAGTTAGTTTCTCATTCTATGTCAGTTAATCTAATAATCTCATCATTTAGTTAAGTGATTAGTTGGCTGATTTACTAATGAACACAATTTTCTGCTGTTTTTCATATGTCATCTATGTTTAGTTAATTTATAAAACTAAATTACATATATATATATGAATGTTGAGATTGTGACTGATTTAAACTGAAAACGATTGTCACTAAATTCATAAGGATAGTTAGACTTTTTTAAAGCTCAATTATGGACTAAGATTTGATTTCTCGGACTGGAATTATTTTCTTGAAGGAAAGGTAAGTGCGGCGGAGAAACAGCAATTTGTGATAAATTAACTGACAATCGAGGTATTTTCAATTAAATTAATAACTGTACTAGTAAAAAAGTAGGGCTGGACGCTTACTGGAAGCGCCTCCTCGGATGCACTTCGAAGAAGCTGTTGAGGCGACGAATAGAGATCTTGATCTCCGTTGGCTTCGGCATCGGTATCAAGGGCACTTCCATTATCATATTCTTCATCTTCATCTTCAGCCTCTCCACCACCTAAAACAGTGGATGTAGATGTTGTCGATGATCCAGTTCCCTGATTACCACCTAACACTTGAAGACCTGCTAATCCTGCTAAACTTGATAACCCAGATAGTCCAGATAAACTTGTGGGTAATCCGGATGAAGTAAAATTCATGTGACCCCTGAATTGGAAAAAAAGATAAAAAATTAAATTAGACAAAATGAAAGATTTTAATTAGATTTTAGTTACCTTGGAGCTGCGGGCGGAGGAGGTGGAGGGATTCCTGGTGTCTAAATCCAAGGAAATGGTGTAAATTAGAGTGATCGCTATTCAGCTGATTATCAACAATATGCTGCTGGGAGGCAGTGGATGATGTGGAGGTTGGATGTAGATATGAGGATTGAGAATGTCGACCAGAAGAACTGGCAATTAAACTGGTAACAACACCACCACCTAAACCCACCAGTGAATTAGATGAATAAAGATGGCGATCGGCTTCTGGTTCACTCATACGAATCTCTTCCGATCCTGTAGGTGAAAGTCCGGAAAGCATTGACGAGTGAATATTTTGCTGACCAGAGGCTGAAGGTAGTAATAGTTGTTGTTGTTGCTGCTGTTGCTGTTGCTGTTGGTGGTGTTGTTGTTGCTCTAATTGTCTCAATAAATCTTCAAGATTACGAATTCTAATGGGACAAGTCGACATTGAACTAACTCCGCCGTCTTCATTTTCTGATCCACTTTGAAGCTGAGTTTCTCCTCCTTTCATCAAACCTAAGGAACGATAAAAAAATAATCAATTTACAACCACAATCAAGTAATTAAAATGAAAAAATCAAGCAGAAGATAAAATTATTTTACTTTAAAGAAATTAAAATTTGAAGAATTAACCAATCGATTTCTAATATCGAACCCACAATCTAAATTCAATCACATCTCAATCTCAAGAGTAATAACTCTTTGTCTCAATCACTACAGTCATTTAGATAATTTTTTACTGTTTCTTTTGAAAATCTATGCTTTGCATTACTGATTAATTACCTTCATAATCAACTAATTGACTGTTAAACGATTGTTTCTTAATTTCTCCTGGACTTTGTCGAGCAGACAACGAACCTTGCAAATGACCAGAGACGGCAACTGATTGTAAGGCTTCCAGAATTCCTTCATGATAACCATTAAGACTTTTCAACGTTCTTTCAACTTGATTTAAAGTGTCCGTGGTTCGGCTAACATCTGATTGACCTTCATCTTGATTATCACTTTCCAGGCCACTCTGATCGACGCCCATCAATAATCCCGTTAGTGCAGCAGTTGAAGATGAACTACCATGCCGGGTATGACCGGACATCGGTGTACCTGAACCAGCAGGTCCACTTCCGTCACCCGCGTGTTTTAATATACCCTTTTCAGGTCCACCAACACCACCCGATGTCCCACTACCATGTGAAGAAACTTTCGGCAAATTATTAGGTGAAAGTTCAAAAAATTGTCCACCTTTTCCTTTAAGAGTTTCCAACAATTCCCGTTCCGTTTGCTCTAATGTTGTTTCCGTTGTATTTACATTGGCTGATGATTTAACTCTAGACTCTTTTGAATGATGTCTCTTCATTTCCGCCATCTTATCTTCACGATAAGATGGCATTGAACCAAAGGTTATTCGAGGTGTTACCTCACCAACTCCTGATCCATTCATACTATGATCATCATCTTTACTTCCGGATGAAAGTAGTTTCCGTTGTAAGCTTTTCTTTCGAGCAATTTCAGCCTTGTTTGGCAAAAGACTTTGACGTCTAAATAAACGAGAGATGAAAAAAAATCAGGTAAGAATATAATTCAAAGGAAAGAGTTTAAATTTCAGTAATTAATCAATTGACAAATTTATTCAAAGTAGATTATTTGATTTACATGTTTATCTAACTGAAAACAGTAAAACCAGAATCAACCCATTACCTAAAGTTACTTAATAATAATACTTGTCACCATTATGATTACTATTCGTGATTTTCATGGCTGTTAATCTAATTACAACAATTTTGACATTACAACAAAGGGAAACAATTTAATTTGACAAAACAAATCAAGATACAAAAAGTTACTGATTATTTTTACGAGATCAAACAATGGTTATCATCTTGTCAAAGGATGAAAATCTTTCCCATCAATTCACTAGACACCAAGAGCAACAATGATAACAAGAGGTATCATTGTATTCATCAGCATCTTGTTTTTATCATCATCAGCTGATTGAAATTTACTCTCTTTTTTCAACACAATAAGATAGACCCACAAGGCAAGATAGAGAGAGAGAGAGAGAGAGAGAGAGAGAGAGAGAGAGAGAGATAAAAGTTAAAGGAGATAAAAGATATGAAAAGAATAGGAAGAGAAATGAAATGTCACAGAATAAGAAGATAATGAAAAAAAAGTTCGAAATAAGAATTCGATACAGAAATGAAGGTAGAGTTTGAACCATGAACAAGGGGAGAGTGAGAGAGGAAGAGACAAGGGAGATCCCATCAAGATTTAAAAACAGAGAGAAAAATAAATCAGATCATCTAGAGAGATGAAGAAAAAAAAATACCAAGAAACAGCGAAAAGGAATAAAACAAAATTCGAAAACAAGATTTACTCTTTTTCAATTTGAAATTATCTAGAAGAAGATGATGATGACATGCCAAAGATGATAAAGATAATTCAAGGAAAATTTCATGATATCCACAGAGGGAATAATATGATCGCTTTCAAGTTCTCATTGATTTTGAAAATAATATCAAAGACAGAATTGAAGAATCAGGAAATTCAAATTTAGATTCACATTGAAATGCTAAACCAAAATTCTAGTTATTTAACTTAATTGATTCAACTGAATAATTTAAATTACAGCCAATCAAAAGATCACCTTCAATTGAAATAAATGAAAACATCGCAACACCAACAGTCAACAATCAACTGATTAAAACACTAATCATCTCGAGGAAAAATAAAAACATTTCAAATTGTTTACACTCAAATTTTACATCAATGATCATCAATCTAATGATTTAACTCTGAAAATCATCTAACATATACAGAAAACAAGGACGAAGGATAAAAAAATGATAATAACAGGGTAAGTTTATATTTCTATCGTAATTCATTTAATTTTCACTATTATAAACAATAAGATAATAATAATAATTGGTATACAGAGTTATTATTAGAGTAGAAAATTATTTCTCACTGAAAAAATATTGATTCCAGTGAATTCATCATCATCATGTAACCTTAAATAGTAATAGGAAAAAACTACAAACAAGTTCATTAAATTTGATTCGAAATCATTTTTACATTGAACGAATTTGTTATTATTGTTTTTCTATTTCTCCATTTTTTTCTCTCAATTTTATCTTCCATCATCATCACCATCCTTTATCTTCTTAGGAAAAATAGTGAATTTCTATTGTCAGGTCAATTGAATGTTCGCTATTATTATGAAGATGATTATTATTATCATTTTTTTTCTTCTTCTTTATAATATTTTCTTCGTTCTCATCTCAACAGAATAACAAGCCAATAAGATGATCGTCTTCATCTCTTTCTACATCATCTTTTTTCTCTGTTTCTTTTCACTCTCTCTCTCTCTCTCTCTCTCTCTCTCTCTCTCTCTCTCTCTCACCATTGATGTTAAACAACCGGTTCAATGAATCAGAGGCAAATTCAACCTGATTTCACCCAATAGAGATAAAAAGATGAACAAAGAACCAATTGGATTTAGAGTTACCCTGAAAAAATCAGATTATCAGAAGACAGATTCTATTGAGACTATGGAATTACTCTCTTTTCTTCATCAACTTTCATCATCTTACTTTTCTTTGGTATCATTATCATCATCATGCAATTTTATCTCAAGAAAAAAAAAGATAAGGAAACTCACGATTCTGACAATCAACTTGAAACTATCATATTAGTAATAAGCTTATCATACCAATGAGTGAGCATTTTTCTAGTTGTATGGAGCAAAATATCATCATCATGATTTTGTTGAGAAAGAGGAAGATGAAAATGATTCTTCCTGATGATGATCAAGCATGAAACTAGTTAGGGTTTCAAAGGGATGATAATGAGAATCAATTTAAATTGGGGGCAACTTTTACTTTCTACCTACAGGTAAATGATGTTCTTGATTGTTCAATCAATTTTTTTCTTCCTCTTTCTATTCAAGTAGAATTGAAGTTTCATGATGGATATCATGTAAGCTCAAGATGATACAAGACAAATGGTGATACTTTAATTTATCACCTTGAAATAGATTGAAAATAAGATAGAGACTCGGATCGAAATGAGGAAGTTTGCAATGAGAAATTCTGTTGAGAGAAAAAAGAAACACTGATTTTGGGTCAATCAGGAGATGGAAAGAAGGAGAAGAAATGAAAAAGAATCTCAAAGGTCATCATCATCATTCTCATTCTAAGGATTCATCTTTTTTTCTCATCTTCTTTTCGATTTGACCACTGTTTTCTCGCCTCGAATTGAATCGATCAACAAGAACATGGGCAAAGGATGAGGAGAAGATGATAAAGAGAAACATCAGCAGAATGAAAAGATTGATTTAAAGATGATGATGGAGAAAAGGAATCCAATGGAAAAATGGCCTTGTTAGTTTTCATTTTCGTTCGTTTCTTTTTTTACTTTCTCTGTTAATTTTTCTTCTTCCATATTCTTTTATCTTTAGCTCGAGTTTTCCAACCACAGAGACAGAGACAAGAAAAGGAGAAAGAAAGAATTAGTTCTTAATAGAATGATAAATATCAAGAATCCAATGGAAACAATAAGAAAATGAAAGAAATAATTTTCACAGTCAATTCCACTCGTAATCAACCCATAGACCATCATCATCATGAGCATCATTAACTTCATTCACATAACACTATTGGTGTACCTTCATCTCCATGACACTTGTAACCAGATATGAGTGATTATTTCATGTTACACTTTCCACTCCCAGAAACCATCATCCTAATCATCATTGATAGATTAACTCCCAGGTCCCAATTTTAGAATGATGAATCTGTTCACAATTATCAGTCATTTACACTTTTCACTTATGGTCAAACCTTTCTCTCTCTCTCTCTCTCTCTCACTCTCTCTCTCTCACTCGCTCTCTTTTTCATCATCATTATTATCTAGAAAGAAAGGACGAAAAAGATAAAATTATCATCATCATCTCCATCTTCCAATGAGAAACATTGAAGAAGCTTCAATAAAAAGGAGGAGGATGAGATGTTAATACTTGTTCATCTGATCTGTTAATAATATGAGAGGACATTGAACACCTTTGATTGTTTACAAATCAAGTTAGTTAAGTTGATTTACAATAGAGGATTTTGTTACAATGGTTTTTGGTGATGATGATGATGATATTTAATCCAATTGTCAAGCAGATTGATGAAAAACTAAGAGAGAGAGAGAGAGAGAGAGAGAGAGAGAGAGAGAGAGAGAGAGAGAGAGAGAGAAAAAGTAAAAGATTGTCTTCATTTTAATCATCACTTTCACTCATGTAAGATGTTGATGTGAATCAATTGATTCAATGATCACACTAACACTTTTTGGCACAAAATTAAATGACAATTGAGAAGAAGAAGGTATTACAATCAATGGAATCAGTGAAACTAATCAGTAACAATCAGCTAAGTAGAAATGATTATATTGATTGGTAAATCTTTATAAACATAATTGAGTCAATTTAATTTTTACCCAATTATAAAATTGGCACATTGTTACAATCTAACAATCAAATCATCTGAATCGTATCATTAACAACAATCACTTGATTACTATTAATTTTCTCTTGATACAATTTACTTTAATCAATCAACTTGAATTGATTATTTTATTCTATTCAGGTAACAATCAAATGAAGAAACAATTTCAAGATGAATCAACATTTAAGTAAATAAGCTGAAAGCTTTAAATCTTCATAAGCCTCAATCGATTCTATTTATCCGTTGACCATGTAAAATCTTGTGGTCACTTGTCATTGTTTGTTATTTTCTCATGATGATAAATCATTAATGATCATGATTAACCAAATGATTTGACTGTTGAGGTTAAACTACACACACATATATATATATATCACCATTACTATCATTTGGAGTCATTGAATAATCAATGATTATCGTGATGGAAAATATCATTAAAGATGATGATTATTATTCAACTATCATCATGATCGGAATAATTTTCAAGAGGAATACAATCATCATTTTCTTGGGTTTTCCTTATTTTCTGGTTCACCTTAAATTGTTAACAATTTTATCAAATATTCTTTGCAACATAATAATAATGACGATGAAGATGAAGATTGCATGATGATAAAAGATGAGGGAAAATATAACATCATCTGAATATTGAGCAAATAATGATAACAAGAATACATTTTCACAGAGGTTTCCATCAGATTCATCGCTCAATAAAAGGGAAGGGAAAAAACTATTATTTACAAAACAATTGAAAAAGAATAAGAATTGAAAATGTTATCAATTTGATACATTGAAGCTAAAGAGATGATTTGAACCATTTTTCGCACTTCAATTAATTACATTTCACATTACGTTTAAAATGAGAATAAAAACAAAAAAAAATCAAAAGGAATATTGGAATCGAGGGGCTTTGACTGGATGTTCATGGTGCACACTTGACATCATTTCAAAGGCATCGGATTCTGTATTCCTGCCACCAGAGGCTTGAGCAACTAAGGACTTAGGCCGGATTCGAACCAGTAATGAGCTGGTTAAGGAACGGCGACTTTGTCAATGTGCCAGTTGAGCTTGGGGCGAAAGAATAAGTTTTTCTTTTGTAGATATCCTTACCATAGAAACGAAAACAAAAGGTCTCTCGTCGAGTCGCCATCTTACGGTCAGCATCGAGTTTTTTTTATTCTTTTTTATTGACTCGCCGTTGATAAATTCGATTTAGATGTTATCATTATTGTTATTATAATCGATTTAAATTGAATAGCAATCAATGGCTAAATGACAATGCAAATTGTTGTTGTTGTTGTTGGAGAGCAAAAATAAATCTAAATCGTTGATTTTATGGGAGGAGGATGAATGGAAATGGTTTTGCAAGTGAAACAGGAAAAGAGATTGTTAATAGTTGCTGAAAAGGGATGAGGTTGATAGCTTCAGGAAGAGGAAAGGATGAGATAGACTGAGTATCGAATTCAAGGGGGAAGAGAGAGAGAGAGTAAAAATCATACCAAGGGTAACAGCAGTAGTGGCAATAGTTTTTCTAGTGGCTGCATCAATAATAACAATAAAGATGATGATGAAATAAAGAAAATTTAAAACCCAAAATGCCTTCAAATCGATATTGAATTACCTTGGGAGTACAAAATTCTGTCTTTTTTTCTGAAGATGCTGATGAGAAGGAGAGAAAAAAGTAGATAAGAAATGTCTCTATCTCTTTCTGTATTATCTTGTTAAAGGATGACGAAAAAAAGGAAAAAAATCTTCATCTTCTTTCAATATATCATAACAAGAATCACTATCAAACAGAATATTTTAGAATTGTAAACTCCAAGGAGGCTTATATAATATAATAACAATAACATTATCATCATCATCATCATCATCGCCAATAACAACATCCACCCATGGAAAAAAAGATGAGTAACTTATGAGATGTAAAAGAAAGAGAAAGAATAACAAGATGATGAGAAGAAGATAAATTCTGTTTTCATAATGATAATTCTCATCAACATTCAGCTCACCTTCTAACACAATATTCCCAATATTCCCTCTCCCTCCCACTCTTGCACTTTCGCTTCTTCAAATACTTTTTCTCTGATTAAATATAATGTCAAAATCATTGACAGGTTTTAAGTTCCGTTGTTGAGTTCGAGAGAGAAACTTATAAACACAGAATATCAAGTTTAACGATGGAGATGGTGAGTGATTTTCTCTCTCTCTCTCTCTCTCAATCTAAATCTCACTTTATAGTATTTCTTACTTTCCAAATTGATAGATTCTGACAAATATTTCAATCAAAACCATTTCATGGTAACTACATTACATGATAATGTTTATCAACTGATCAGTTGATAAAATTCAAACCAAATCAAAAACAACTCACTTGTTTCACCAAGTGATTACCTTTTTCATATGTAAATTTAATTTTAATTAAATTAAAAGTTAATTATTTGATAGTCATGGTTATCAAAAATAAAACAGATAAAGTTTACTCTCAATTGGATGTGAATAAATTGTTTATACCCAGAAAATGCTCAATTGTTACAGAATTAGGATTAAAGTCAAATTTAACTACATATCCTAATTTGAGTTAATCAATCTGACAATTAACAATAAAAAAAAGTTTTCTTTTACAATAAAAAATGAATGAAAGACAACGATAAGCTTTGAAGATGGTTAAATAATGGTGAAAATGTTTAAGCTCTTGTAATTATTGATTAACCTTAATTTCAAGGCATGATCACAGTGTAATTAAGCAGAAACATGTTCAAAGGATTTAATTATTACCATGATTAGCACAACAATTTAAAAGAAAGATCATTAATCTACCATGATAATCATCATCAATACACCAAAAGTATTCAAGTACAAATAAAAAAATGAGCATGAAGATGATGAAGATAATGATGATATTGATGAGAGGTCTAAATAAGGTTAGAAGATAATATTGAATTGATATACTAAACGAATGAAACGAAGTAAATTGAATATGACATGAAGAAAGGTTTGCTTCACCTTCTCTCTCTCTCTCAACTCTCTTTCATCCTCCCACTGTCTCCATCATCTCCATCATCATTCTCATCATCATCGTATCATCTTTATCATTCTCCCTTCTACTTATCGATCTTATCATTTTGTTTATGCGTATAAACACAATATAACGATGTAGAGAATGATGAAACCCATTGGTTTCCTTTTTTCTGTTTCTTTTTCCTTCATCCTTCAAAAATAGACTCGGACTCTCACTATAAACGATTTCAGGAGCCAAGATGATGGAGAGGAAGATGATGATTACGATGAGGAAGATGAAATGTGAACAACAAAATACATTCTATGGGAAAAAAACTCACGAAAACTTTCAATCCATTCTGTATACAGATATTCAGGCAAATGATAATGATGAACAAAAAAAAAGTTTACATTTGAGGTTCATCTTGATCATCATTATCATCAGAAGACAATATTTACAAAAAGTTTACTTTCTTTCTCAATCTTTACACTTTCTTTATCTTCTTCCACTTTCTTTACTATTTACACCTCCATCAGAACCAGTGGTCTGAAAATTCTGGTTTTTTTTCCTTCAGAAAAATCATATTCATCTTCCATGAATCATGATGATGATGATGATGGTTATGATTGCTCACCTTAACCGATTTCTATCATCATCATCATTTTTCTTAACTATTTTTTCTTGACTTAAAGATGATTAAGGGAAGAGATAAAGATGAAGATATATAGAGAGAGAGAGGAGAGGAAAAAAATTATCGATTTGATGTTCATTGCAAAAAGAAACTTTATCTTATCATTCAGTTATCATCATCATCTTATTTTTCATCATCAATTTGATCAACGTCTTAGTCTTAATCCCTTCAAGCTCCAATAACAATCTTGATATCCTCTTGATCCTCAACAATTACCTAACAATTAGAAAAAAAAGGTCACAGCTGATGCTGAAATTCAATCATGTTAGTAATCAAGATGATGTTCAGTAGATGATGATGATGATGTTTAGAGTAGAGATTAAACTTACAATGATGTTATTAATTTCTTGTAATTGGGATGAGTGAAATAATTTTGTCAAAAAAAAGAAATGAAATTTTGGTTCCTAAATTCAATATAAATGGAATATTTTGATCTGATAGATTCTATAAATACTATTGAATCATTTGGAATAGAGGAAAACATGATGAATCAACTACAGAATCTACTCAATTGAAACACATCGATTCCCTGTCTATTTATTTGTTTATCATTATCATCATCATTAGATGGAGATAATAATATGATTAAATTGAACAGTATGTGACTATCATGAAGATATTACATTGACAGGAAGACGACAAGTTGACACATCACATGGATATAAAATTGACAATTATAATTGTTTGTTAATCATCAACATGGTAACTACAATTGGTATGACAAGATGATACTGTAAGTAATGAATAACATTTAATATTAATACACAATATGTAATCTAATGTTTGTAATTTGCAAGCAATTAAATAAACATGATATTTAATTAATTATATTTTGGCCAACTTTTCCGTCTACAAGGACAAATGTAAATGTATCTTGATAATTAAAAAGCTAATTATAGATTAACGGTAATATTTAATTACTTTTAGTGTACTTTGTACGTGTTTAGCAATTAAAAATCATTTAAACCATTGTAATATAAAGATTAACCAAAACAAAAAATGATTGTTAATTTAACTAATTGCTTCAAATTATAATTGTATTTTTACATTAATTATTAATACAATGATCAATAATCTTTGATTTGTAACTTCATTATCAAATGTAATGATGATAATAATCAATGAATTGAAAATTTTATCTCATCACTTCAATCAATTCAATTACCGGTTGGTTAAATTCATTGTAACTAATTTGATTAAATTAATTATAATCCTTGTATCTTATTGACCTATTTGTATTTCTATTGGTCATTTAATTATGATTTAAATCAAATGTACTGAAAACTGATCTTGATTGAAATACTATTGGGAAAAAGCATCAACTTACAATTAACTAAATTAAATCAATCAAACTTTTTTCTTCTTCTATTGATCTAGTCAATACTTAATGTATGCGAATACCCAAGCAATCAGATAACTTCAAGTTTTGATTGAATTCAAGTAAACGTAGAAAATCAAAGGGCTTAATTGATAAATTATCGATTTTCTTTGCATCTTTTTCAATAGCAAATTCGGTGAACTGATTTACATTTGATTTTTGATATTATTTTTTTGCATTTACAATTATCATGAAATCAACATGAATGAATCATTCAGAATGATAATCATGTTTTTCGGTTGATTACCTAATGGACCACCATCATAATTATCATAGAAACAATTTAATAAGAGTGTAACAGTTGATAAAATTTAAGTAGATTGATGTAAATTGTTGATAATGATAATTATTGCATCTCAATAACTTTTTTCATTAAGATTTATGGATTAATTTTGTTGATGAATTGCAAATGAGCAACATTGTATTATAATAGTGGATGATTAACTTTTGATTATAACCTAAGATTATAAGATATTTTTAGATGTTAATTTGATTATTATCATAATTATACAGTTATAATTATTGCTATGGCACCAAGGGTCTTTGATAGTAATAATCAGTTTTTTTTATATACTCTTAATTGTGACAAGTGTATAATTAAGTAAGCAAATCAAGTTATCCAGGTAGTGAGTAGTTGACTGGGTAAAGTTGATTGTTAATAGTTGATTATGAGTACTATTATTGTTAAGATATATGTTTATTATGATCATGTTAATTAAGTTAATTAAAATAACAACAACATACCTGTAACATTGAGCTAGAAGAGTAAAGAAGACAAAAACTCCGCCAACAATTGAGATCAATATCATTACCAGATTACGAGCACTTAATGATTTTTTATTGCTCTCTAATGGTCAGTAATGGTCAACATGAGGTCGTCATCATGGATGATAAATTAAGTCATGGAAATTAAAAAAAAAGTAATGATATACAATTAGAATTGAATTCATACAATTTATGTACTTGACTAGGTGTTATCATGATGGAATCACATTTGTTTAATATGTTAAATTGAATTGTTCACTGAATATGTGACATGAACTGAATTATGAGAGAGATAATGAAGTTCAGTGAGTAATTATCAGAATCTGATTTGATAATGAGATATCAATTACTATTATATTTTGATATTTTTTTCTCCATAATAATCAAGTTAATTGTTTGAAAAATAATGATCATGGTTGTTTTATAATGGATTTTTTTCTCACAAAGGTTACATACCATACTCTGTGAATTTAGTTGTATTATCCATGGCGATTTTTACATTATTCATGAATTCTTGATTAGGATTAGGTGTAACTGATCCTGGTGATCCGCTTAAATCAGCTGATGATGTTGTAACTCGAGAAGATCGTTGTGAACAATCAGGACCAAGCCAACTATATGAACAGAAACAGGTATTGAGATTGGAACAAATCTGAAAATAATGATAATTGAAGATAAGAAAATTAATAATAATGATATTATTTATGTTGTCATGATGAAAACATGATGAAAAAAAAAGGTTATTGATGATGAGGAATCGGAAAGTATTAAGGTAAACAAAAGATGTACAATCAAATAGGATAACGAGAAAAGGTGTGTCAATTTATAAGCGATTGTTTATCTTGAATATCATTGTGACAATTTGGTCAGGCAGATATTGTCCTAAACAAATCATCCTGAATGCTATTATATTCTGACTGAATTTGGATATTATCTATTGACAAATACACCTCTGGATAAAATGTTGTATACAAATGATAACATTAAAGGTAAATAACTGTTTCTATCAATGTCTATTTTTTTATGCATTATCTTTGTTATCACATTGAGTTAATTTTTAATGAACAATTTCATTACTATGACAACTTAAATGGTTAAATCGCAACTTGGAGATGTGTTGATCATTAAATTATTTAAGTTTCTAAAAAAGATTTCAAAGTAAATTGATCGACATTCATGCAAACATGTAAAAACTATTAATGAAGCTGAACACTTAGTGATTATAATAAATATCGATAATTATTATCGTTGTTATTACAATCTAAGTGTAACAATTAGACGAGATAATAGATAAAGTTGCTATCATATATATAAAGATTTATACTATTGATTGACCTTTTTTTCCCTTGGATAATGTTATCCTCATCATCATCTTAACCCCTCCCTTTATTCATCCATTTCTTCATCATCATCACCATTCAATCCTCATCCATTGTCATACGTTTTTCACCAATATTACAAAAACAAGTCCAACAAATAACGAGTTGAACAAATATTGAGACAATATATAAACCAGGAAGCTGTAAACATTGATGCTCTCTCTCTCTCTCTCTCTCTCTCTCTCACACATCTTTTATCATCTTCATCTTCCATCTTCTTATATTATTTTTTCATCTTCCACTCATCATCATAATCTTCTTTCTTCCTCTTTTCTCTCATCGACTTTTCTTCAAGTACACTTTTCTCATTTCTCATCATGATAATGTTTTTATTTACTGTTCATCAACTTTGTTCTCAGCATAATCTTGATATATTCCAAAGAAAAAGAAGAAAAAAAATTTCAAACGATAGTAAAGGTCAATTGATGGTGATAATAATGATGAAACAGTTAACGATCATATCAAGAATTGTGAACTTAATATACAATAAACAATGAAAGGAAAGTGAGAGAATGAGAGTGAATGAGTGAGTGAGCAACTGAAATGAACTTTTTGAATTTATATTCTTGTAAATAAAGTGAAACATTCATATATTTATATACACATACAATCAACTCAATTTACTTTGACAGAATCAAAAGTAAATCAATAAATTTTATATATAAAAATTACATTGAATATATTTTTACATGTAATAGTTTGATCATCATGATACTTTCTAATTTTAACTATTTAATTCAATTGGTGAATTGACTTATAACAGGACTACATAGAAATGAAGAATAGGAAAATATTTCAACTATTCAGATAATTTCAAGAATTCAGGCAAGAATTTATTACTACAAGAATTTGAAGATGAATATTTTTTTTACACTTTTAGCTCTTTCTCCAATTTCTTACTCACTCTCTTTGTCATCCAACTTTCTCTAGCTTTTAACGTTTCATTCAGAACTCAATATATATATACTTCATCTGAATCTGTATCTTTGAACATTTTCACCATTCAAGCCTGGAAGATGAAGATAAAAGATTCACTGTGAAGATTGAGAATTTATTTAACCTCGTTTTCATCCTCCTATTTCATCATCTCCCAATTGCCTCCCTGTATATATTATTTCATACATATTAAGTGTATTCAGATGATTTCTTCGTAGCAAAAAATATATATCAAGAGAGAGAGAGAGAGAGAGATCCTTGAGGAGATCCTCTCTGAATTCAATCATCATGATAATCATGATGATGAGAGATGGAGCTTTGGATATAAAATGATAATGTAATATTCAATGGATAAGGAGGAGACAAATTAGATCTTAAAGTTAATCAAATTGAAAAGATCTGAGTAATTAAGGATAGTTTCAATTAGATGAATAGAGTTAGCAAGTATTATAATATAAAAAAAAAGGATGACGGTAAAAGATAATGATGATGCTAAATAGATGCTTCTTTCAGAATCATAAATAGATACTTAACAAGAATTAATTAGATAATTATACATTGAATGTAGTTAATGATTAGAAATCAGAAATCAGATCTATCTTAACAATAAGAGAAATCGATAAGTATCTTATTAAATCATTGAAATGAAATTCTATCTAAACTTTTGGTTAACTTGTTAATTAAATGGTTATTAACTTACCCCATTCCCTGAGCATGGGATGGCAACATTATTGGATGGACAATCACCAGGTTGGATGTATTGGTCGATACTAACACAACTTTGATTAAAACAAATCTGTAATATGAAAAAAAAAGGATAAAGATGAGTAAAAAAGTAAACAAGAATAGGAAACATGATGATTATTGAATGTTATACAACGAATGAGGAAACAAAATTATATCAATGATAAAGATAATAATCATGAAAATGATTGATTTAAATGACAATGAAAATGTATCACAATTAGAAAAATTATCGATAATAATGAAACACTGTATATGAAATCAAATATGAAAACACAAAATATATTATACTTCCGTTGTATATTATTACCTTATTATCTGAACATTTGGTTCCATCTTGAAGTAGCCCCATGTCGGAGATATCGGAACGACTTGAGCCCCGGGCAACTTTACATTCGTATTCGATATCGCTGATAGAGATAATTGTTCGAGAATACTCTTTGTTTATTTCCTTTTTGAATGGCACTTGTTTACCGAATTGGCACTGAAGTGATCCGCACATTATATTCCTAAAAAATTGGATGAAGAAAGAATAAATTTCCATTGAAAAACATATTAAATACCAAAGAAATGATAATATCATTTACCAATGAATATTTGGAATTGAAATTCATTATATATTAAAACTTCAACCAATCGCCTAAGGCGATTCATGCTTTCGAAAGGTTGATAATATTATGATAATATGATTATTATAATAGTTACAGACTTCGACTGTTAATCTTTTGGTAATATATGAACATATCGAACAGAAGTTTCGATTTGGAACTTTTTTAAAATTCTGGTTCTATGTTTATCTTTACCCAGAATCTATCATATACAAATAGTTAATCAACAAATCGTTTCCACTAATCAATAGTTTCAATAAGATGATAAATTGATTCTTAATGAACAATCAATTGCTGATTAGATGATCAATTTAAAAATAGTTAAATTGATTAATTTATTGGTAAGAAAATAATAATTGAAATAAAAACATTAGTCAACAATTTAAATCTATGTGATTTAGTAATAGTTAAGTTTCAAGTTCCTAATTTAATTCACTCAACTTATCGTGTAATTTATTGATTGTTACAAAGTTGCTCCCTTGATCTTGATTACATTTTAAAACAAATAACCAACTATAATTACCGATTAACAAATCAACTTGAACAGATAAACACTAATTGTGTACAATTGTGTATTTAAATGTTAATAACAATACAGATTTATTATTCGAGTTGGAGATTGTTTTTTCCCTAACAATTAAAATACTATGTAAAGGAAAAGGTTCAGATAATTACTGCTCATTAGTTGTAAAAATTAAGGGTTAGAATCTATGTTATAAATTAATTGAAAAAACTTGAAACTAGAAAAAAGTTTTAATTAAATCAACTAATAGTATTGTTTTCATGATTATTATCACTATTGTTAAATGACCTGAATTAACCTTAAACAATGATTATAATGTTAGGTAAGATTTGTCACCAACTAATAGTATCTTTGTAATAATAATTAAATGTCACTTGATTAGCTATAATTATATGTTGATAGTTGGTTTTCATGGTGATTAATTTAATTGTAGTGATTATTACTTACTCATCGCTACATTTAAGATGAATTCCTTTACCATCAACACCACAATTACCCTTCATGGTACCTTGAGCATTAAATTGTTCATAACAAACTGGTTCAGATGCTCGAGCACCGGCACCCCAAATTGCGACACATTGGCTATCGGCTGTTGGACATTCACCATTGAAACAAAATCCTTTCTGATTCTTACAATCAACTCCATTTTTACGATAAATATCAGCAGGACACTAGAGAGAGAGAGAGAGAGGGAAAGAAACAAACAAGAGAAATGGTCAATTAACAATTCAATTAATTATACGGTATTATTATTATTACATAATAGGTGTCATTTGTAATACTTACACTTCCGTGTTTACCATCACAGACTTCCGCTATGTCACATTCATCCTTGGCATGTCTACAGATATGTCCTTCCTCTTTAAGCTGTGAAAATCAATGAAAATAATCACACCCAAGGTGAGAAATAAAGGATTGATTTAATCATCGTTATTGGAAAATAATATATTAATAGTTAATTCTAGACTATCGTACGAAACTTATTCGCTCACTGAGATTCGGTAAATTGTTAAGAAATATTAAACTGTATACACTTTCAATTAGGTGGACATATAATTGTTTCCTTTTACTTGTCATATTCAATCTTATCCCTGAGGATGAAGATGATGATGATAGGAGGGAGAGAAATAGCAGTTGAATGAGTTACAATTTATAGTGGACAACAAGAAATATAATCAATCATCACTCTAACTGTCCAACAAATTTTTACTCCTGGAAAAGTTTACTAACTTACATTTATATTAATAATAACAGAAAATAATAGTAATAATTACACAAGAAGTTGAAACAAGGAAAATAAATTATCATCTCAATCTAAGAGCTAATTCATTAGTTTGGGTCATCATTAGTTACAATTTTCTCTCTCTTCTACTTGACCCTTGACTTCCTGAATCTATTGTTAGGTTACTTGTTATAACCATTTTCTAAAGGAAAAAAAGTTCAAAAAGATTAATGAAACTCGAAATCGTAAATTTTGAAAGGATTTTCCGATTTTAAGAAGGATTTCTGAAACATCTCATCATCAACACTGGAGAGAACAAGAAGAAAATTTAATTCTACTTTAATTGTGAAAATTTACGATTAAAAATTGGAAATTGTGTAAGTCCACTTACCTTACAATTAACACAACAAGGTCCAGTTGAACATTCAGATTCTATCCTTAACTTACAGGTAATTGGATCACAACATGGATCAGTTTCTTGGCATTTTTGGAAAGTACCACAATCACAATCTTCTCCTTCATCGATACGTTCATTTCCACAATTACGAAAATCTTCAAGTTGATTAGGCTTGTTAAGTAGGCAAATACCATTACCTGCCTGGAGGGCATTATTATAAACTGAAACTGAGCATTTAGAAAATTGATAAGGTTGAATATTGTTCACTCCAAGTATATAACGACCCATAACACATCCCCACCAATCAGGGCAGTTACATTCTTCCTCTTTGACCTCCTCATCGTGACCCATTCCAATGTTATGACCAATCATATGGGCAACGGTTATCGCCACCAAATGAGGTTCATAAATACTTGCATCTTGACTGACCGCTACCGCTTTTGCTGTACAAATACTATCTGGAACTGCCATACCCACTTCATTATTTTGAAATGCTTTACCAACCAAAAGGTGAGCCGCATCCATTGGTACTTTATACAAATTTCTTGTTCCATACTCCATGAAATTGAGCAATGTGTTCCTAACATCTTCAGATACAACAATCTGATTACCATGAGCCCAGGTTTCAATATAAATTACTGAAATTCGGGTATTAATAAGGCGAAAATACATGTCAACACTATTGATTATTTGAATTGCATCGTTGACAACCTCCCCTCGAGTCGCATTACTCCGATTCTCGAACATGGCTTGGTCAAGAATAAGTGCCAGTTCGATATATTTATCAATTGTTCTTATATCTCGTTTACCCTTACTAGCACCAAATGGACCTTTACGATACTGTTTAAAACTCCATTCGTGCATGTGGCTATTACCACAGGTATGCTTGTGTGTTGACTCAGAAAAAAATCGATATATTATGTGGGGATGTTTTCTAGACAGATCACCTCCGTAAAATGGATGGATAACAAAAGTTTCGTTGCCATGATTGATAATACCACTGAGACCATTACAGGTACGAAAGGCTGCAAGGGCACCAGGATAATCTCGTATGGTACCATGATAATAACAATGTTCAATCTCTTGTGTAGATACTTGCCTTGCACCTTCAGGTAAAAAATGCTTCTGCATTAAGCCTGGGGCTAAAAGATGTGTATTGAGCTCCAATTCAAGGCGGAACTTGTATTTAAAGGCTTTTATGAGCAAGCTTGTTGAGTGAACATGTTTACCAGTACTATTTGAAGAGGCATCTCGAGTGGAAATGCCCATTTTTTCATGTTTCCTAAGTTGAACTGGATAAATGACTTCATAGAATCTACTTGGTATACTACTAATAAGACGCTCATTTTCAGGATATAATCGTTTAAGCCTTTCAACTTCAGCTATTAAAAGAAAGAGAGAGAGAGAAACAAGTGTAAAAACAGGGATGGGTTAGTCAAGGGAAGGAAATAAAGGAGAAAAAAGGATGAAGATGAAAATGGACAATAGAAAGAGAGGAAAAGATAGAACCAGACAGAGTGAAAATGTTATGAGAAATATCAGCTGGATGAATCATCTTGTTTTTCTCAGGTAACAAGAGATATTCTCTACCTTCCTGATACCAGATAATTTGGTAGATAATAATAACACAAGAGAAGAGAGAAAGTAAAGGAGAAGGAATTTTAACAATGAAGTAACATAACCAAGCGAAAGTAACATTGATGGTTGTTAACCAAAAGGAATGAGAAATAAAGTAAACAGCAAAAGAAGATGGAAATTGTTTAAAGATGGAGAGAGAGAGAGAGAGATAAAAAGAGAATATTCTTTCCTAGCTACTATTTTATTCTCTCATTTTCACTTTCTCTTTCCCAGAAAAGAAGAATTATTTACTCAGGATATATGATTGTTCAGATTAACAAAAAAATTTTCCATAATTTTAGAATCAGGTAAACCTCATTTTCAAGAGCCTCTTGTTAGAATTGTTGGAATTAATGTTATTAAGGATTAACAGGATGAATTTTATGTAATCTATCATGCTGGGAGTCTGGTATTGTTTTGTATTGTGCAGGGAGAGAGAAACAGAGTAGAAAAATCTATCATGGAGAAATGAAAAATGAAAAGAATTTAGATTTGAAATCAATCTTCTTACCAATTGGGCGAGCATCTTCAGAGAAATCATCTCGAACCAGTTCATCAGCAGCTTTAAATGTCGCCAGTGACAGGGGAAGAAAGGAAGAGAGGAAGATGGTTATATACAGTGGGTAAGACATAAAGGAGGAATATGTTGACAAGGAGAGAAGAAGAAGAGAAAATGTAGAAAAAAATTAACAACAATAGTCCATGTTGCTGGTGAGTAGAAATGATGAGTAATTGGAATCACTTTTATAAGAGAAGAGAAAAAATAATCTCCAGGTGAGTTATAGAGTCAATGTGAGTCACAGGAAGAGAGAAAAAAACCCCAGAACACAACACAGAGAATACACAACACGAGATGATATAAAGATTAAGATTAGAGATGAATAAGAGGAGATGAAGAAAAAAATAAAAGAAAAATAAAGAGAGAGAGAGAGATAAATAGAGAGAGAGAATAAAAAATATGACTCAGGGAGGTGAAGAAAAAACCAGAGAATCAAAGGAGTGAAAAGATGGAATGAGAAAGAAAAGAAAGAGACACACAAAGAGAAAAGGATATGATGATAAATTACGAGAATGAAGATGAAGATAAATCTATTCTTCGTTGTGAAGATGAGAGAGAGAAAAAAAGATTCGTTTCTAAAAATCAGGTTCTATTCTTGAACCGAAAAACAGTTAACTCTTTCTGACGATTTATCGATAAACATTTTCACTTTTTCTCTCTAATCGATTAACATTTTTTTCTACAATCGAACATGTGCTGCGATCTATCGGTTGCCATGGTTACTATTCTAATCTAACATTGGAAAAATTTTCTATTCTAATTGTTGGTTAATTGTTATTCTTTTTTTTATTGTTAATTTTGTTGATGTTTCTTTTTTTTTACTAATTAACTGATTCTCTAATTATTCAAATTCTATTGGTTTGGTTTTATCTGTTTGTCGTTGTATTGGTCGTTTATGGTTGATTGTTTTTTGATTGATCTTCATGTTACATTTTGTTTTTCCCTTGCGTTTGAATTGGTGATTGTTTTTGTTTTGTAATTAACTTTTTTTTCATAATTTGATTAGTAATTTATTAGATTCTCGTTTATGGTTGAGTGATTTATTGAACCGGTAAGTTGAATATTTAATGAGCCATTTCCATGTGATGGTTATTTTTCACTTTTCAATTGATAGAAACTAATGTTCTCTTTAAATTGATTGATTCTATTTCCTTTTTGATGGGAGCTTTTCTATTTTTTGCCTCCTCTTTATTAATTATTAATTCATTTCTATTTTTTCTTCTCTATCTCTCTGTTATCTGTCATTTAGGTATCACTTTGAGGGGAAACTGAACTAGTTTACAGAGAGATGTTGATACATTGAAACGATTGATATTCCATCAACTTTCATTTGCTTCTTCCTGATTAACTGTGATTCCATTTTGCTATTTTTCTCATTGACTATTCACTTTCTCACTGGAAATAATTATATTCAATTTGCTCTGATTTAATTTCACATTTCCTTCGTGTTTTAGTTAAATTAGCCAACATCAACTATCAATCTTCAGGAACGCTAATAACCCAAAGGAAGAATATCAACATCCGTTGATGTTAATTCTACGCTGGGTAAATAAAATCATATTTCCCTTTCCATTAACTTCCCAATTCCATGTAAACAAAATGGTTGCAAAAACACCCAATCATCTGTACAGACCAACATCAGAATCATCTCTTTCTCTTTCATATTCTGGTTCTTTTCTCTCTCTCTCTCTTCTCTTGCTTACTCTTGCTTTCTCCTCTCATTTCAAAGCTTCTCTCTCTCTCTCTCCTTGTCTCACTTTTCAGCTCACTCTTTATTCTTGCTTCTCAGCTTCAGTATTTATCATTATCGTAATAGTGAAGTTGATTACTTGAACTGAGAGAGAAAGTGAATGAGTGAGAAAGATGAATAAACCTTAACCTTTATAAAACGATTCACTAATGATGTTTCACCACCGTTGATTAACTTGTCCGTCAGGTTGTCCTCTCATTCTCATTTTCTGCTTTTCTACATTCTACCAATTGTTTTTCCTCCATTTCTCTACCAAACTTCTTACCTGTTAAGTCTATTTTCTATTCTAATTCTTTTATTAATATTGTGCTTCTATCCAATCAAAAGTCTACTCGACTGATCTGTTCCAGTAATTTGATCAAGACAAGGATTCACTTCTTTTCTACAACAGTTAGTAAACAATTTGACAATCCATTTACTGACCATAAAAGTCTCACTTATAAAATGCCTTCAAACGGAGAAAATTCTAGTGAACTTTCACCAAGCCAGGTAAACATATTTAGTTTATTCTTACATACATGTTGATTTATATTCTTAAAAAACTGAATTGTTATTCTATTTTTTTGTCTAATTTTGTCTTTTTTTTTTCATTCGCTTTCTACTCTAGATGGTTGATAATGCTCGCCGTGCATTTGCAACCGACATCACTAAAGATGTTGCTTTCAGAAGGGAACAACTTGAAAAACTGGACAACATGCTGGTGACCAATGAAAATGTTCTTGCTGAGGCAATTAAACAAGATCTAAGGAAACCTTATTTCGAAGCCATTTTAACCGAAATTGAATTTGTTCGTAATGAAATTCATGCGGTTCTCAATGATTTAGAAAGCTGGGCTAAACCACAGAAAGTTTCCAAAAGTCTGATGACTCTATTTGATTCAGTTTATCTTCACCCTGAACCCTATGGTGTTACCCTAATAATCGGAGCCTGGAACTATCCTCTTATGCTTACATTGTGTCCAGTTGTTGGAGCCATTGCTTCCGGAAACACTGTTATAATTAAACCCTCTGAATTATCCTCAGCTACAGCTAAAGTTTTAGCTGCTTTAATCCCTCGTTATTTGGATCAGGTATTAATCGGATTAAATGGAATGCAAAAGTGATCGTGTTTCTCTGTGATATTTTACTTATTTTGTTATTTTCTTGCTCCTTTCTATTTACATCAGGATTGTTATCAAGTCTTCCTTGGTGGACCACAAGAAACCGCTGAATTAGTGAAGCAAAAATTTGACTACATCTTTTACACGGGCTCAAGTCGAGTAGGTAAACTAATTTATCTAGAGGCAGCCAAAAACTTGACTCCAGTTACCTTGGAATTAGGTGGTAAAAGGTAAATATATTGAAAATTTACTAAAAGTTGTTCAAATATAAACAGTTACTCTTTCTACTTCTAATTTCTTTCCAGTCCATTGTATTTTGATGATTCTGCGGACAACAATTTAGCTGCAATTAGACGCCTTGTTTGGGGTAAATTTGTCAACAATGGACAAACTTGTGTAGCTCCTGATTATATCCTATGTTCGAGAAAAGTTCAGGCCAGTCTATTGAAACAACTTCCACAAGTAATCGAAGAATTTTATAGTAATGATGTTAAAAATCACGATGATTATGGACGAATAATTAACATTAATCACTTCAAGTAAGTAGAAACATAAATTGTTGTTGACATTTATCAATTATTTTGTTGACCAAACTATCGTCATCATTTCTTAATTAGATGGTTGTAATAATTACGAATTATATAATAACAATTTCTTCCTTATTGTAGGCGAATTGTTAAACTAATGGAAGATAATAAAGGTAAAATCGTTATTGGAGGAAATTATGACGAAAAAGAATTGTTCATCGAACCAACCGTTATGTCAAATGTTTCTCCCGACGATTCGATCATGCAAGATGAGGTAATTAATTCTAATATAAATTTGATTATTACCGATAGAATATTAAATTTTATTTTATCTGTTCATCTTTTCTAGATATTTGGACCAATCTTACCGATCGTCGTAGTTGATTCCGCTGATGATGCCATTCAATTTATTAATAATCGAGAGAAACCTTTATCTTTATACATTTTTTCAAAAAATCAATCAATCGTTGACAAATTTAGCCAAAAAACCTCAAGTGGAGCCATTAGTGTTAACGATTGTTTGATTCACTTATCTGGTTAGTTAATTGTATTTTATATTATATTCATTTTATATTTTCTCATTGAATATCAATCTATTTCCCCGTAAAGTTGATTCCTTGCCATTTGGAGGAGTTGGTAACAGTGGAATCGGTCGATATCGTGGTAAATTTTCATTCGATACTTTCACACACTACAAATCAGTCCTCCATCGTGGTTACAATTTTATCCTGGAAGCTCTTGGCAGGTAAGATACCAAGTAAAACAAAAAGAAATCGTCAATAGAAATCAACAAATCATATCAAACAATTAAAACTTTTTCCCTCTTCCTTTACAGTCACCGTTATCCACCCTACACACCTCGAAGCATGACATTTATGTCTCTGTTAACCCGTAAACGTTGGTTTTAGAGCCAAAGCCGTTCAGTTGATTTCTTGAATGAAAATCGTTCATTTCTTTTTTTTGCTTCTTTTGGTACAAAAAAAAACACTAATGTTTTGTTTCCCATTGTTACTTGTTGATCAACAAGCAACAACAATTATTATTTTCTTTAATTTAAATTGTCTTTTGAAAAGAGACATAAACAACAATGGATCAAGATTTTTAAATGATATTTACTCAGTGAAAAAATTAAATGAATCCAGTTACAAGTGAATGTTAATCCATGATCACTTTAATCACGACAATTAAATATAAAACGTGGTAACATCAATTGATCCTGTCAACTATTTTCAACTTGAATTGTACTCACATTATCAACAATCAATCAATTATTTATCCGATAATCATAAGTACCCTTATACATAATGTTATGTTTTTCCTCTAATTTAACACAAACAATTAACTTTGTGGTTGATTATTTCTCGATTAACAAGTTGAAACAATCAACTGGACTTGATCTATTGGATAACCTTCAAAACAAATTGTGAAGAAATTAATCACAATTAACATCTTCCTATATTGAACTTTATTCATTTATCTTTGAATCTCAAGGATTTTATCAGTTAATTAGCTTCTTAAATTTTTATTCATTCGTTGATTAATTATTAAGTTAATCCAGTTATTTGGTAATCAAGTTACTTCACATTGTCCTTGATAATTTTTGTGGTTATTTAATAACAACATTGGACAGGCGATTCTGTTTAATTTTCTTGTTAATTGTTTCAAGGTTTTCGTTAAAAAAAACTGGTTCTTAAATTGTAGTTCACGCAATTATCAATCATTATGTAATAATTAATTGTTTTTAAATGTTAATCATTTCTTTGGACAATCAAAAATTGATTATGTTGATTCTTCCTCTTTGATCATCTAATTAACTTACAATTAAGCAAAAATATTTCTATTAATAACCTAACTAATTAACTCGAGACTTTTTCTCATCAAGACAATTTATATTTAATTATATTAAACAATAATATGAATGTTTAATTGTGATTAAAACAAATGAATTATCAAAGTTTATCCTCAAAGTTAAAAGTTTTTTCAATCTGAATATTTAATCAACTGTTAACTATTATCATGAATAGCTAATCAACTATGAGAAAATTATAATCAACAATTGATTCGTAATGATTATTATTTAATTGACTTGAATGAAACTTCAATCATTAACAATTTACCTTAATTACTTTTGATCACTTAAGGTCAACAATTTAAATCACGAATCTATTTCATCCAAGTTTAGGTTAAACGGTAAATTGTCAATTATAAACTCCCCGATTGTTTTCAAACTTTAATGTTAATTTTTTTTTCTTAAACAATTAACGATCACTCGATTATCTCTTAATTGTTACAATTTAACAAAAAAAAATTTTCTTTTGAAATTTTGTTTCACCATTTTAGTTAACTAAAATCTCACCAGATGGCGCTGGTAATTTCTCCAATTTTGATTGTGTGTCAAGTTGAAAAAATTGAACACATGTTTGATTTAATTTGGTTTAAATTGTTCATTTAATTTTGACAACCAATTTTTAATATAATTCAATTAAAAATGTCTGCGCCAAGTGAGGAAGAAATCGCAAGAGCTAAATTAGGTACAGTGTAGAAGTGAATTGTTTCTATTGTGTCTATTCAATTGCTTTTCTGTGATTGATTGTGTTTTTTTTTGTTCTTTATTTACTGATTTGATTAATTTCTTCTTTTAATTATCTAGATAAATTATCTCTGTATACCAGTGAATCGCGTGGAAATGATGAAACCGGTGATGGTAGTGCTGATAATCCATTTAAAACTGTTCAACGAGCTGTTAAACAATCAGTTGAGCTTAAGAATGAAAATGTTGATGTTTTTATGGATCCAAAGGAAGGTGAAATTGCCGGTGATGGTGGTAAATATGTTCAGGTTCCCAAAACTCAGGTGAAGAAGATTAGGAAAACGTGTGTACGAGACACGTATAAAACTGATAAGCCTGTCGTAGATGTGGAAGCCAAGAAAGCTGAAGAGGAAGCAAGAACTGAGAAAAATCTTGAAGATGCTAAAAAAATAACCATCTCATTAGATGCTAGTTTACCGATGGAAATAACCAAGATCCGTAATTGTTGTAATTTAAGAGGTAAACGGGTTAAAATCAATGGTTGGGTTCATCGGTTAAGAAGACAAGGAAAATCATTAATGTTTCTACTCTTACGTGATGGAAGTGGCTTCTTACAATGTGTCCTTAATGGGAAACTTTGTCAAACATATGATGCTCTTATTTTACAAACTGAAGCTTCGGTTACCGTTTATGGTACACTTAAAGAGGTTCCCGATGGTAAAGCAGCACCCGGAGGACATGAATTGGTCTGTGATTATTGGTTATTAATCACAAACGCTCCTGCAGGAGGAATCGATCATGTTTTCAATGCTGAATCATCGGTTAGTGTGCAAATGGATCAACGTCACCTAATGTTAAGAGGGGAAAATATATCGAAAATTATGAAAGTTCGAGATATTGTTGTTCAATCGTTTCGAAATCATTACCATGATAAAGGTTATTTTGAAGTTACTCCTCCAACATTAGTCCAAACTCAATGTGAAGGTGGATCAACTCTATTTAAGTTCTCATACTTTGGTGAAGAGGTAATTAATTGATTGTAGAAAATGTGTTTACAATTAGTTAGCAATATTTTTCTCTTTGTCACTTTCACCTCTTAATCCATTAATCTTTTATCATTGTTTTTTTTTTCGTAGGCTTATCTAACTCAATCATCTCAACTCTATTTGGAGACTGTAATTCCTGCTCTTGGTGATGTTTATTGTATTGCTCAATCATATCGAGCTGAACAATCACGAACTCGTCGTCATCTTGCTGAATATACACACATAGAGGTGGAAAGGCCTTTTATTACATTCGATGAGTTACTCAATGATTTAGAAGATTTAATTGTCGATGTTGTTGAACGAACTTTGGCTAATCCAGTTGCAGCTGAGATTCTTAAAGAATTAAATCCTAATCTAATTGTACCAAAAAAACCTTTCAAACGAATGAACTATTCTGATGCCATTGATTATCTTAAGAAAAATAACATTACCAAAGACGATGGATCTTTTTACGAATTTGGTGAAGATATACCTGAATTACCTGAGAGAAAAATGACCGATCAAATTAATGAGGTAGAAAAATTTTTCTCCAAAATATACCAGAACTTATTCTATATCGATTCTCACAATTTGAGTTGATTAAAACTTTAATTTTCTTTCTATTTACAGCCGATTCTCTTGTGCCGTTTTCCCGCTGGTATCAAAGCCTTTTACATGTCTAAATGTACCGAGAATAGTTCATTAACTGAATCGGTAAGAATTATCTTTTTCTTTCCTTTTTTTCATTCTGTATTCTAAATATTGATTATTTCGTCTATCAGGTTGATGTTTTGATCCCAGGAGTTGGTGAGATCGTCGGTGGTTCAATGAGGATTTGGAAAGACGATGAACTCACTGAAGCCTTCAAAGTAGCTGGAGTTGATCCAGCTCCGTATTATTGGTACACCGATCAACGGAAATTTGGCTCTTGTCCCCACGGTGGTTATGGCCTTGGATTGGAAAGGTTAATCACCTGGATCTGTAATAGAGATCACATTCGAGACACTGTTCTCTATCCTCGATACATTTCCCGATGTACACCTTGAGAGAAAACTAATCGAAAATTAAACTTCGATCATGATTATGAAATAATGATTTTCGTTTGATGTTTCATATTAATAACAATAATCATTATCGCAATTTATTTGCGCTCATAATCAATTCTATTCTATTCAATAATTTGTGCACAATTAATTATTGATGTCAATTCCCATTGGTATTGATATTAATCGACGAAATCATTTTGTCTACGTGGCCTTTTCAGTAAAACTAAATTAATTACTTAATCATCGGAAACCAGAAAATGATACATGAAAAGCTAATCAACTAAAGCAATACAATAGGAAAATAGTAATAATTTATTAACCATCAAGGATCATTAATCCAAACTAACAGTTGATGAATTAATTTCTCCTTTCTCATCAATTTAATCAACCCACAGTCACAACAATTAAAGCCTTCTAATTATAAGATGAATCTCAATCAACTGATTATTGAAAAGATGAAATTATAATTACCTAAATTTCAAGATTATCCAGTTGATCAATTTAAAATCTTGACCAACAATTAGTTCAAGACTTGAGGATCTACTTTAGTTAAATTTAATTGTGCTGTCATTTCAACTAAATTAACAATCATAGAAATCAATGTTTACCTTTGGTTCAAGATTTTTGTTTACAGTTGATTTATAATCATCACTTTGCTCCTAATCAGTGTATACAATTAACTCTAATTGATTTATAGTAACTGTATCAACGACTAAAGGTGACAATTAACTTTTTGATTTATTATTTAAAAAATGAGTACGGTGGTTGTAATGATCATTATATTTGATTAACTTTTGATCATAAATTGTTACCATCAAATGACGTTGATTTGATCAACAATCAGCAGTTTTTGGTTAAATCAAATTAACCTTTAAATGTACATAAAGCTACTCGTTGATTAAATTAACTTGATTTTGATTCTAGTAATAAATCATCAATCTAGTCAACAAATTGTAAAACTTATCAGATAGTTAATTAAGTTGAAACAATTAAATCAATTGAATGTAAACAAAATCCTATCAATAAAAATATATTACATTATATTAACTCAGCTACTTAATTGAAATAAATTAACTGGTAGACAATTAAATCCATGCTAATAAATTAATATTTGTATATATTGTTGTATCATATCACTATTAAGTTAATTGTTACAATATTGTAAGCTCAAAGTATAAGAAAAAATGAAAATTTTCTCAACAAAATTAAACTTAATCAAAGAAATTGAAATGATAACAATTAAAAAGTGAACGAAAAAATGAAAAAAAGTTAATCAACTGAAATTATAAGTTGTTCTTGGAGTTAATTAAAAAGATGTTGATTGTAAAAGTTGATTGATTTTATCATTTTAATCGTGTTGATTGATTATCAAAATATAATCACTGATGATGAACTTTAATCCATCCATTTGATTGTTTAATTGTCATCAATTGTATCACCAAAATCAGTTAATTGTTTCCTGTCATGTCTCCTCGTCCAGATCGTAATCATAATTAACCATCGGATGGTAATTGTTGTAATTAAATGTCCGTTTGCCTAATTTACTGAACAGTCCACGATTCTGACATCGACAATTAGATCCTAGTAAATTGCATCGACATAAACCCGAACAACAATTCTGAGGTCGGAGGTCACAGATTCCTCTTTTCCTTATACAAGCTTGCCTGTTAATTAAGAGTAAAATAAACGTAACAATTAGCGACAATTTAACCAATACAATGTAATTGATTGTGGTGATCATTAAAAAAGTTTAATCCGTAATTTGATATTTTAATTATTGATCAATTTTTAGATCCAATTGAATTAATTGATGAAACCAAATATCAAGCTTTGTTTTAATCATATCAATAACTTGGACAATTAGTTGAGATAAATCAATTCATTTGTTAATTAGCTTATTAGATTGTTAATCAAATTTGTTGGTCAAGTTAATTGTTGAAAAAAAAAGTAATTTCTACTTTCATTTTTAATGATTGAGTGAAAATAATTAACTAACAAGTTGGCGAGCAATTAAATTTCCTGTTTCAATTCCTATTGAATTTGTTAGCTGATTATTTCAACTGTTTAGTTAATTAACTTTTCGTTTCAAAGTTAATTTAGTTTAACTCAGTTTATTGATTGGTCACCATAAACAATTAACCTTTTAACATTAATCACAACTAATTTCCTAAATGTTTTCAACTAATCATTAAAATGAAATGATTAGGTGAAAACATCAACATAGCCAACAATTAATTAGATTTCGCTAAATTAAATTAATAAAATGATCATTTGATTGAAAATCGTCAAGATTATAACTCAAGTGATTAAAGTCTAAGTAAAATGAGAAGTTAAAACAATTAACAACAAACAAGTTGAACAATTAAGATGCTTTTGAATTAACTGTTCGTATCAATTTGCTAATATAAGTAAACAATTAACTAATTACTTACTTTTTACTGTTCTTGTGTCCAGATAATAGTAACTTGTTGATACTCTCGGTGTATCTTGATAACATTTCAGCAGTTAATTGACTATCTGAAATGATTAAGAAAATAAATCAATTAGTTAACCATGAAAAATGTTTTCCATTGGCAAAAAAAGGTAACAATTAGTCAACAATTTAAAAGTGTTGATGTAATTTGATCACCAATTTATATCATCAAGCCTGAAGCAATTAAATGGTAATATAGATCATAACTATTAATATAAAGCAAAAGTCTCAAATAACAATCAAATCAAATCATTTTGATTTTCTTGATTGTCAAAGCAAAAACAAATTAACAGTTATCATAATAACTTTTGCTTGGAGGATAAATTATTTTATTTACTAAATGATTCAAATCAATGTGACTTATTCAATTGTCAATTGTATTTGTATTGATTGTTTTCATTGAACAATCAAAAATAATATATTGTTGTTTTCATCGTTAATTGTAAACAACAATTTACACGCCTCGGAGTTAAGATTAACATTAGCTAAAGGTTATAATAGTTTTCTGGTTAGACAAACAATTAACGAGAAAAATTTAGGTCACTAATGGTGTAGGAATAACAATTAGCTTAATCAAAGTTTGCTAATTGTTGACCAAAGATCAAATAATAATAAACATCATCACGATGTTGATGTCAACTAATCAGTTTGTTATTAAATTCACATGGAAAACAATTAATCCAATGGATTAAATCAAGATGGAGGTGGGAAGGTGAAAGGTGAGTGATTATGATGATGAGGATGCGATCATGATGATGATGATAATCATCCTACGCTCTGAAATAATATGTTGTCTGTGGAAACGATTGACATTCATTCAAATCATTTACTCTGATAATTTGTGAAAAGATTCATTAGTTAATATGGAGATGATTTGAATCTTGGTTGCGTTGATTGTCAAGTAAATCAAATTGTCTCTAAATTGTTGTATGATAACAAGAGAAACAAATTGCAAATCAATTTGACATTTGGACATGATGTTAGATCACAATTTAGGTTAATTGTTCAACAAACTTATATATCAATAAACTTATATATGGTCAAGTATTTGATTAAATCGTCAATTCTTATCAATGGTTAGGTTTTAATTGGAAACAATTAAGATAATTGTTAAGTTGTCGCGACAATTGCAGTGAGAAATTAAAGATAATTAATTTCTTTGTCTTGTTAATTGCTTGAATTAACAATGAGCCATTGTTAAATCTTTTTCAATGGTCAACTAGAATTAGTATTTTCAATAATCGATGGTCATTTGGTCAATTGATATTCCCCTTTTTCATCACATAATTAAACTGAGCACGTTTCTTATTGAAGAAACCGTGATTTAACCTGAATAAGAATAGAAACAATTAGTTGTATTAATATACTGATTTGATTAACTTAGATCATGATGATTACTGATGATGAAATTGATGTTAATTAGAGATGAAACTTGTTACTTGTTAGTGAACTAACTTAATTGTTCAGAGTCTATCAACAAATGTTTTCTTTTCGTGTATCTTGATTATCATCTTACCTTCAAGTTGTATTCAATATACACAAATAGGTAATTAATTTAATTATCAAATACTCGAATAGAGTAAACATTTAAATTAATTACATCCCAACAAAAGAAGAGGTTAACTTGAATAGAATCACTTTTTCCATAGGATTTTTGATGTTACATGATAAATCCAAATATTAATCATGTATTGGATAGAGATGATGCCATTGGAATACACAATTAACTTTAAGTTATTGAAACAATCACTGGAATATTGAACTAACTTAATTGTTCAGAGTCTATCAACAAATGTTTTCTTTTCGTGTATCTTGATTATCATCTTACCTTCAAGTTGTATTCAATATACACAAATAGGTAATTAATTTAATTATCAAATACTCGAATAGAGTAAACATTTAAATTAATTACATCCCAACAAAAGAAGAGGTTAACTTGAATAGAATCACTTTTTCCATGGGATTTTTGATGTTACATGATAAATCCAAATATTAATCATGTATCGGATAGAGATGATGCCATTGGAATACACAATTAACTTTAAGTTATTGAAACAATCACTGGAATATAATTAGATTTTTGTTTTGAATATGAAATCGATCAGTTAATTTAAAACAATAATGAGATGGGTAAGACTATCATCACAATCACATTCAATTAGGAACAAAAGGAAGATGAAAAAAAAGGTGAAGAAGAAGAAAATTAAAAATAGAACTGAAACAATTAAGCTAATTAACCTTTCACAGCTCAAATTGGAATGAAGCTCATATAACCAATGATTAGATTTAGTGGTAAGATGATTTAACAATCTATTCAACTGTGAATCAAAAATGACAAGAGAAAAAAACATCAAGCCGACATTTTGTCACATCTTTTTGTGTACATTAAAAAACGGCAAACAAAAGGCTCTTTCAACCATGGAATAGTTCAAAATATAGATTAACTATTAAATCAGAGAGACACACACAGAGAAAATGATAATTAAGGTTCTAAATTAACTGATTAATTTAAAATTAATAAAAATGAAACCAAAACCAAAAAGAAACAAATAAAAATCATCAAAATGACACTTTAGTTGGATGTTGATGTTAATCGTTGAATAATCAATTCCAATGATCCAACAAAATTGAACTTAAACTCGATTAGTAAATTGTTGAGGTGACACACAGAGAAAATTAAATTGTCCCAAATTAATTTCCAAAGATAGAAAATTAATAACAATTAAGAGAGAGAAAAAATTAGAATAGAAAATAAAAAAAAATCTAATTAAACGAAAAGGGGAAAAAAATAGTAACTAAAGGGCAAAGAATAGAAGGAAAATTTTACCGGGAAAATTAATTTCTTTTTCTTTTCCAACAAATTGTTGGATTAATTTAATTGTTCTTTTGATTGTGATTTATTATTTTAATCGGTGTTGATTTATTTGAGAAAATGTTCTCTCATACAATTAACTTGATTTCTTCGGAGAAACTACTTTATTAGATTTTGATTCTAATTTGAAATTATTTCTTTTTCTTTTCTCTCTTTATTGTGTCGCCATTTTCATTTCTTTGTTTACAAAAATGAATTTTTTTTCTTTCCTGTTTATTTTTAATTGTTTTCAATTAATTAACATTATTTGTGACGATGGAGATTCTTGTTTACGAAATCCTACTCATTAATTGCTCTTGTAATATCACATGAGTTGTTTTTTGTAACATTTGTAATTTATCTTGCAACTAATGTTTGGTGTTTCTAAGGTTCATCATTTTTTTTCAATATTAATCAAAATTGTCGTGTTCATCTTTAATTACTCAGGATTCTCACTGTCACCAAGCAATTAAAAGAGAGAAAAGTTAGCTGGTAAAACAACAATTTCATTAACAGGTAATCATCAATCTTTAGCTTTTTTCTTCTCTTTCTTCATTTATTTTAGTTCTCTCAATTTCCAGAAGTGTCTTCTCTTCTTCATCACAAAACTCACCAAGAAATTCAAGGTGTTCAAGTGAATCAGAATATAATCAACAAGAAATTCTCTGTCAACATTTGGATATATAAACATTGACAGTGTGACCATAAAGTCATTTCATTGGAACAGTTATTCCAGCCAAAAATAGTAAAGAAAACATCAACTTATCATTTTGCTACAAAAAAGGAAATAAATTCAATTCTGTAATCATGAAAAGTGCCATTGTTATCATGCTATCATTGACTCTGTCAATCGCTGTCGTTGAATCAACATCATGTGCTGCTAATTACTGTGATATGGTTCGATGTGCCAATGTACAACCAGAAGACTGTCAACCAGGCACTAAATGGGTCGCCCGATACGGGATGTGTGGCTGTTGCTCTGGATGTAATAAGTTACTTCAATATGGCGAAGAATGTGTCGGCATCGCTGGTGCTACCTCAGTGTGCGACGAAGGACTGGTCTGTACCAAATTGACCCAAAAAAGTCGCAAGACTCGATGTGGATTCTCTCACCAATTCTACTAACTAATACATTACCAACCAATCGACAAAGATGAAGAGTTAACATTATAATCAACAAGTTACAACAATTTCTCATTCTAATTTTCAAATTCATTGAATGATTCGGTGTAACGATTATTTTAAAATATCATTTAGAATTATTAATATAACATAATTGAAACAATCAATTTCCACCTGACAATCTTTTTCCGTGCTCACTAACAATCTACACTAAATGTCGACCTTTTTTTTATCCATCTCATCGATTCTGTTGAAATTTCGAAATCGATGAATAAATTTCCTCTCTCCCACCACAACCTACACCAGCGAAAATAAAAGTCATCATATTTTCTCTTTCAAAAAGAACTAAAAGAAAAGCAACAGTTGATTGTCATCTTTTTGCTCTCTTTCAAGAGGAATATTCATCGCATGAAGAATATACATTTTCCTCTGAATTCGGGAACATTTCTGTTCACTGATTTCCAACAATCATAATCCATGAGAGAGTAAAGTGCTGAGGTAGATTTAACTGATTAATGGAATTAAAGTTTAGAAAAGAAAACATCAAACTCACGAGTTTTTCTTTAAACAATTTTCATTCTTAATCAACAACGAATAATATTCATGGTAAAACCCACATGATGAACAACATGATTACTTGTGATGAACTTTTAACAATAATGGAAGAAGAATCCAAGCAAACATATACAAAGGAAGGAAAAAGATGGATAACGGATGAAGAAAAGATGATGAAGGACAAGGATGAAAGAATAGAACATCATTTTGATGGAGAAAAAAAGCCAACAGAAGAAAACGAATAGACAATAATAGAAAGAAAAGTTAAATAAGATAATGAAAGAATTGGATGGAAAAATATTCTATTCTAATTTTCTTGACAAGAGAAAGAGAAACAATCAGTAAACACCAACGTAGTTTGGACAATTAGGATCAATTGAATTAGTAATATTATTTTAAGAATTGAGGAAAACGGAAAAGAATTGGATTCTCACGTGGAAGGAGAAACATTAAGATAAAACATGAGATAATTTTTCTAGAACTATTAATAACAATCAGAGAATTTGAATTGATTGTGATGAAACATTTTCTCTTCAAATGTATCATATTTTACTACCTGTTGCAAATATACAGGTAACAAGGAGAACGGAAATTTCATCATCTACGAAAATAATAATAATCTTAAACTTTTATTTTGCAAAAGTTCTGATGGCAGATATTCAATCCTTTCAGCAAATATCTCTTTCCAAATGGAATCAGATTTAAATCCAAGTAGATTCATTCAAACATTTCGACTCAAATTCTCATTGATGCACTTGAGTTATCATATTTTCCTCATCCTATTACCTTTATCATCGTTTTCCATCCTCTCTCTCTCTCTCTCTCTCTCTCTCTCAAAAGATAAATTCATTGTGAATATTAATATAAAGTCCACAGGCTGATTATTTGTCAAAAGTAAGTCTATTTTCATGTACAAGAATTATGAATATACCAAAATTGTAATAGAAAGTGAGAGTGAGAGAGTATGAATGACAAGGAAGACAAAATGATAATACAAATTCAATTGATATTTGAATGACAATAGTTTACACTGTATTTGTACCTAGAAAATGATAATAATATGAATTTAACAAATTGTATAAAAATTAAATCTCTCATTTGAATGTAATATTTACTAAGGGACATGATGATTAGCACCATTGGTCAATATTTACAAAGTTAATCATATTAAGCTTTTCATTGATAATTTCAATTTCTTATAAAATATTGCCAATCAATTTAAATTGTAGGTTAATAAATTTAAATGTTAATCATGAAAATTTTAAAGGTCAGATGATGAGCATAAATATTGGAAGCGATCAAACAATAATCTTAAAAGTAGTTAAATCAACATCTTGATTGTTGTTTGAATCGACAATTAAGCTTATTTAAGCTATTTGAGTAAATTAACATTCGATATGGATCGTTAATTGTTTAATGAGCCCAAAGTGTAATTTAATCAAAAAGCTTAAGCTAAATTCACTTTACAACAATTAATCTAAAAAAAAAGTACAAGATTATTAATGAAACGAAAAGGGTTGAGGATTAAATTGTTGAGAAATATTTTCTAATATGAAAACAATCAACAATTCCAATAACAATTAACTGATTCTTGAGGGATTCACACAACTTGGTGGAAAATAAAATTAAGAAAACTAAACAATTTGAACAAGCAATTAGATGATAAATTAAAGGTCACTCAAGGGATAAATAGACAAGGTCAATGGTCACTCACCACTTAGGCTGTAGTACGAAGTCATTGAACAATTTTGAAAAGCGATTCCAATTAGCATAATTAATGAGAAAAACAAAGTTGTCACCTTGGCCATGGTGACAACGATTAACAATTGATGAATAACTCAGAGAGAAATTAAGAAGATGATGATGATTAGTAGAGAAATTAAGTTAACTCGGTGATTAGAGATGATTTAATAAAGGTAAATCCATTTAGAATATTATTTAAATATGAAGACTCACTAAAAGGTTGAGAGAGAATGAGAGTGAGAGAGATAAAGAGATAAAGAGAGAGAGCTGTAGGTAGAAAAGATTATAATCAAGTTTATTGCTCGAAATTACTAATGTAACTAATTCGAACTTTTTTTTCCAGGTAAACTCTTTTGTAGAAAAAAAGTCGTAACAATTGAAATGCTCCATTATTTTTCTCTGTGTCTGCACATGCATTTTCCATGTTCTATTCTCACTCGATTTTCCTGAGTTCTTCTAATGAATAATCTTCCCATGTTTCGAATCTTGATCCGTGTAATGTAACAGATTATCTACTCATTAGACTTTTGTTTTTCGCGACTGTACAAAAGGCTTAATTTGAGTAGAAGTTAATATGATTTTTTTTTGGATTGATAGGGAAAAGGGTTTGGGATAATTTTTTCTTATAACAATTTGGTTGTTTATGCTTGAAACGGATGTAATTTAATTTTAAATCATGTTAGTTTGATGATAAGAAATGGGAACAAAAAAGTTATAGAAAAACGGATTGGGGAACTGGGAGTGAATATGATATTGTATTGTTAAGTTTTACAACGTTTTTAAGTTTGGTTATGTATGAGTAAATAGATTGTTGGTTGAGATTAATGAAAATGTAGGTCCATGAGCTTAGGCTTGAGTGAATTTCCTGATAGCATCGAATACTTTAGTATCATTCATAAGGTAGAGATCAACTGGGAAATAAAGGAAATTACCATTATCACTGATTCGAGGTGATGGTTTGTTGAAATAAACTTTCACTGGTTCATTGTTGATTTTTTCCTTCATGGCTTTGGTAGCTTCGGCTGGCCATCCATTAACAGGATCGTAGTGGACAAAGTGACAATTTACTGCCATCAGCTTTTGATTAGCCACAGATGCAGCCATTGGCATGATATTTTCCAATTCAACTTCCGAAGTGTTGCCATAGTCAAGGTAAAATACTTTTACCTTTTCGACTGCATTTGGATTACCTTTAGGGTGGATAACATCGATTATTCGTGCCCTGTACCAGTAATAATCTTCATGGAAACGGGCAGCACAAAACATGCCCACCTCAATGGTATCAAGACTGGTAATTCCTATAAGAGAAAGAAAAATTAAAAGGAAAGGTAATTAGGGATTGGATAAAACGAAAAAAAAGCCATCTAGATTAGTCGAATTTGTATTCTTACCTTTTTGAATCAATTTGTCTTGTTCACGTTGAAGATTCATGGTGAAAGCGGCAACACCACCATAAGGGTGAACGTAAAAGTCGGACGGTGAATGAATGTAGGCAATGTCACACTCTATCGATTTGTCTTTGGGAATCTTAGGAGGCTCAGGTTCATATTTAAACGGGTCGATCACAAGATTTTTGTGAGATACACCATTGGCCTTACCATTGGTGTGACCATGACCATTGGAATCTCCATTGGCTAACGAAGAGAAACAATAATGAGGGAAAAGAAGAAAATTTTATGTGACCACAAACAAAAAGAATTATCTAGAAAGAACTTACCTTTAACACCATTACCATTTGAATGGATCTTGGAGTCATTAAGAGTTAAATTCTCAAGTTTTCCAATAAATTCCGAGGCATTTTTCTCAATATCATCGATATTGACTAATATAAAATGAAAGAAAAGAAGGTAAAAATGAGAGAAAAGAACAAAATTGAAAAAGAAAAGAAAATGAACACTTACCAGTTTCCAAAAATTCTTTCAGAGTTGGTGACTGATTTTTCAAATCATCCAAACCTTTCTTTAGTTCATCGATTAGGCCAACCAAACTGTTGAGATCTTTACCAACCTGAGGTTGTTTCTTGAAAAATTCTTCCATGGTTTCATTTTTTAAATGTTGAATTGTACGATCAAAAAGGGTTGAAATTAATTTCAAAGCTCGAGCTGAAGTGGTTGTACTTTGATGAGTAAAATCCATGACGGAATCTAATTCGGCTTGAAGCTTAACACGTTGAAGAGTTTTATTAAATTGAGGTCGAGCGATCGGCATCTTGGCTTTAAATACGAAACCAAATTAATTCCAAAAACTAATGACCAATTAGACAACAGCAAAGTTAGAAAAAAAAAGAAAGAGAATAAAACAAAATAGAATAGAACAAAAAAAATTAGCTTTTTAAGCTTACAAATGTAAGAGAAGAAAAAATTACAAAAGAGAAAAAAGAAAGAAGGTAAAACTTACCAAACACAAATTGGTCAAAAGAGAAAAGAACAAAACAAAAAGATGGAATTGAAAAAGAGAATAGAAAATGTAAATTAGAGAATAGAAAAAAAGCCGTTAAATCAAATGAATTGAACGAAAGTCAATCAATTAGTGATTTCTTTTTAAGGGATTGGAGAGAGTTTTGAACCCACGATCGTGAGAGAGAAAAAGTGAGACAATTAGATTAATAAGAGAGATTAAGATAAACAGAAAGTGGGGAGGAAATAAGAGTAACTGTTTAAAGATAAAATCTTAATTCTGGAATTAATTTATCAGAGATTAACGTTTTTCGAAAACAAAGTGGCTCCATCTCAGATGGAAAAACCTTATTAATCAAATTCGAATTTTTTTTTCTCTAATTAAACAAACTTTATTTTCTTAATTGTTTTAAATTTATTAACTTTTACTTTTATTTAATTAACTGTTTTCTAATTAGAATTTGTTGATTGTTTCCTTTTCTTTTGTTTTTCTTTATCTTCCATTGATTAATTTGTTATTCTTTTTTTCTTTGTTTTCCCTGTTGTATTGGTTTTTCTTTCTTTCATTTTCTAAATTGTTTTTCTTTTCTCTTGTGAATTTGCTGATTTTAAATCTCTAATCAAATACTAATTGTATCACTTTATTGGCTTTGTGATTATTTTTATTTGTCAATTCCAGTGTAATGGTCAATAGGTTAGTAGTGATTATTAAATTCTGATTAAATATTTATCTTAATGTAGATTATGTGACTAATCCTTTTCTGTTTTGTTTTCCCTTTGCTCCATTTTAATGTTGATTTTTTTTCTCTCAACAACAACAACATCAACAGAAGAAAAGTGAACAACAAAAAGACAAATAGACTATTTAGTCAATCAAATTAAGATGGCGAATTGTCTATGGAATCCAAGGAAAATTGTTCTCCATTGGGAATTTAATTATGTTTAATTGGTTTCCATTTCAAATTGGGATTAATATCATTGAGGCCTAACAAAAATTCAGTGAAAAACAAAACCAAAGCTCTTCTATATTCAAGGATATGTGAGTTATATTTTCCTTGAGAAATTGTTTAATCTGTTTTCTTAATTTGTTTTGTATAATTTATACTTTCAACTGATTACAATTACTTTTGTTACTATGATTAACTTTACAACAACTGATTTTAATCCATATTTGTTTTTCTTGTATAGATTACATGTGATTTCATTGGTATAATGTATTTGAATTTTACAATTTCGGTGAAAAGTTAAATGAGAGATTGCAAATTGTGTCATTTAACAGGATAACAATTCTAACATTCATCCATTTTAATCAATGGTGATGTGACATTGTGTTGATAATTAACGGTAAATAGGTAAGGTAGACAATCAGAAAAAAGCTAAATGGTAACAAGAGGTAAGTGATATGTTGATGAATGTTTAATGATGAAAATTTTTTGGTAAATTTGTTCAATGGAAATTAAAATTTGGTAAGATTAGGCCTTTGGTTTTTTTTTGTTTATTGACAATATTTATTTTTTTCTCTGCTCTTATTTTATTTCTAATATATGATTTGATTTGTTTTTCCTTTCAAACAGTTTCCTCTTTGATATATGGTTCCGATGGACTAGATGGTTCTGGTGATGAAGACACGTAACGTCGGGAAAGATGAGGAGGGGATACTTGGAATCTAGATGATGGCATTGAGATCGCAGAGGCAACAGATGAACGACGAGAGGCCACATTGAAAGAGAAACGTCTCATCGCTGGTCGTAATTTCATCCATGTCTTCATCATCACTTCATCCACATTATCCTAGAATAAGGAGAAAGACAAAATATATGATTTGATTTGTTTTCCTTTCAAACAGTTTCCTCTTTGATATATGGTTCCGATGGACTAGATGGTTCTGGTGATGAAGACACGTAACGTCGGGAAAGATGAGGAGGGGATACTTGGAATCTAGATGATGGCATTGAGATCGCAGAGGCAACAGATGAACGACGAGAGGCCACATTGAAAGAGAAACGTCTCATCGCTGGTCGTAATTCCCCATCCATGTCTTCATCATCATCTTCATCCACATTATCCTAGAATAAGGAGAAAGACAAAAATGGATTAGATTGCAGTTCAAAACGACTAACACCATAGGAGAAAAGACCAAATATTGATTGGAATGAAATGGTTAATTCTTCAGGCTGATTGAAAATATCGATGAATATGTGGCAAATGAAGAAAAGAATGACATTGGAAATGAAATTAATCGTTTGGATAAGCAAAATTTCACCAATAATATCAACATTTCCAAGTGATAAAATTGAGAATCATCAATTTCAAATTGTTGAGATATAAATAGAAAAATCAAATTTAATGGGCTGGAAAGAAAATTTCAGCTAAACAAAATAGATTGATTTTCCATTTGAAATTAACTTGATTCTGAATATAAGGCTTTAAATTACTCAATTAACGATCAATTTCATTCGTTATCACCCTGAAATCTTCAAATATCATCTTTATCATTGAAATTTGAAACAAAAGTTATAACATTTCCATTGGTCTAAAATTGAATATAAGCTAAACCAAAACATTTTAACCAATCGTTTGGTGTTTACAGTTAAGCTCATTTATGATAATAGCGATTGATTTTTTGATGATTATCAAACAGCCAATTATCACCAACCTCAACATTGATGACAATATTATGCATCCCATATTCAACCATTGATTTGCGTCTTCTTAATTGTTTCATTAACTCTGAGAATTCATCTTTTAATTCTTCCAGGCGAAATTCAATATCTTCCCGATTCATTGGACATTGATCAAGTAATTCATTCATTTGATATCGTTCTAACTGAATAGCATTCAGCTTGGCTGTTAGTTCAGAAGTTAAATAAGGCCCTTGAACATAAGGAGTTTCCACAACATAAGTTGGCCGTTTTCGAGGTCTACCTTCGCCAGGAACTCGTCGTTTGGATAGAAGATGATTTAATAGATTGACCTGTTTCTTGAAACCTTTGGCCAGAGCTTTGGCACATGGGAGTAATTCCGATAATTAACTACGCAAACAAATCACATCTAAAATCAATAACCAAATTGACAGGCCAAGGATAAAATATATCACAAGAAATGATTTATAATCATCATCATCATTATTACTTTTTATTATTATTAGAATCATCATCTTATAATTTAATTATCTTTACTGTTTGGATACAAAGTTAATTCAATTATAATGATTAGTTAGATGAACAAATATTACTCCAAGATGATAACTGAAACTAATTTGATTCTCAATTCAATCATGAGGGAGTGTTTAACATAACACAAAATATTAACATGAAAACATAACAATTTTCATGTTAATATAACATTTTCCCAATAATCAGAATATTGTTGCTAGTTAATTGCCATGTACTTGAACTTGAGCAATATAATTAAATTTGAATTTCAAATAACCTTTGGTGATAATCTTGGTTAACTTAAAATAACCAAGAATCAAATCAATCTTAATGATTAATACACTTAACCAACAATATAGTTAATCAAAATGAATACGAAGTGTCCATAGAAACAATTAGACTCACAAGAAATGATTCAATTGTCCAATAGAAGTTAATTGTCACTAATTAAATTCTCTAAAATCATAATTTTTAATCAATGAATTAATTAACCGAAATTCAATTTCAATGTTGATAATCAGCCAAAGGAAAAAACAATAAACTAAAATTGATTAAATCTTCACAATTTACGTCACGTAGTCGGAATTAACATCATTTGATTTAATTAAATCCTCGGGAATTAAGGATAACAATTTACTTTCTACCAAATCAACATCATCTTTTGAAAAGATTTGAAATCATGTTTAGTTAATCACAATAAACATTAAATCAATTAAGTGGCGTTAATTGTAAGTATAATCAACAAATCGAATCGATTGTCAATCAATATAAAAGCCAAACAAAAGGTTCACCAATTATAATAAAACCAACGACAATTAATTAAATTGCCAATAAAATCACTACGATCAACATAAAGGAAAACAATTAAATAATCAATAATTAAAAGTAACAATTGAAACAATCAGTTGATTGAGAAAGAAATAAAAACCTCCAACTAATCATGAATTTCATGAGAAGATATTTTTTCACAACAATCAAATAAAGTGGTTTAATCAACTCGATAATAAATCAATAATAATCAAAATTTGTTAATTTCCAACCAACATCATCAATATGAATTGATTGTAAAGGTGAAAATTAAATGATCAACAGTGAAAGAAATGATTCCAATCATAAATAGTAATCAGAATCAACAATATCAGTTATCAATGATAAAGGAAAAGGTTAAATTGTAACAATAAAATATTAGCATTTAGATACAATTTGATTGTTAAATATTAATAACAGCGATAGGAAAATGATAATAAGCTTAGTTGATATTTGTTGATTAACCAAACATTGGAAATTGAATGAAAATGTAAATTTTCAAAACAATTTCCATCACGATTTCGGTGATTTAGTAGATAATTAATTTAATGATATTAACCGGTTGTTTATGTAGAGATAAAATTGATTCATGGATCATGGTGATATTCATGATGACATAACAATCAAATCTCAAGATGTTTCAACAGTTACTCATGAAAAAGAATCAAAATTTTAAGAGAAATTCAATTAAGTTCATGGATGAACTTTTCTAGAGAATTTTTTCCTTCTTTCCTGCATGATACATATTCCATAGGTTTTCAGGGTTATTACTCAGTGTGAATCAATGGTTTCCATTGGGAGAGATGAAGCTTCAAGTTGCCTCCTAATAGAAGTAACAAAAAAAACTCATGGAACTTTTTTCTCGAGACTCATGACATTAGTGTCTTTTTATATTATTACATGAAAATCTCTCTCTCTCTCTCTCTCTCTCTCTCTCTCTCTCTCTCTCTCTCTCTCTCTCTCTCTCTCTCTCTCTCAACTGAATTCACCATGAAAGTGAATATGATGATGATGAGGAAGACAAAGTATTAGTAGAATGAAAAAACGATGATTGAAAAGAAAGACTGAAAATTCAGTCCCTTCAGATTAGATTCATTCTTTTTATATTCAGGGAAATCTTTTTCCCCATGTAATTTTGTTACCATTACCAACTACTGGGAATTGTAAGATTTGTAGATTTGAATTAACAGTTTGATTATAATTAATAACTACAAGAAAAGTAACACCAACAGGTTATCAAGAATTCACAATTTGTATCATAAATGATTAACTTTAACAAACAACATGATACAAGTAATCAAATGATTATCGTGATTACTGATCAAATTGAAATTCCTTCAGCCAAACTTGCAAAATAGCAATGATAATATAATTCAATTAACTAATCGTAACAATCAACTTTAATTGGCAAAAGTTAAGGTAAATAACTAAAAGGTTGATGAGTTGTTAATATGAAAATAAAAAACAATTAAATTGCAAAGAAACAACATCAAAGTTAATCATCACAACGAACAACAATTTATTTTTGCTTCTATCCCACTGTAAACATGTCAACAGCAATTAAAACTAATTACGAGATTCAAATCCCACTCATAATAGTAATTAATTAAATTTGATTAATCCAAACACTTTAATAATGTAGTTGAATTAAAATCTTTGGTAGATTGAGCAATCTGATTGAAACGCTTTTTTAATTAACTCAAATGTTAATTGATAAGATTGATAACCAGATTAAACAAATTGTCACACTGATTGTAACCTTAATTGTTACCATTGATCAATAAATCACTAAGGTTTTCATTTGATTAGCAAATATTTCATCCAATTAACAGAAAGTGATCAATGTTTACAATTTAATCTAATTAGATAAATGAATTTAAACTGAATTAATTCAATGTTTGTTTCCATGAATGGAAATAAATTTTGGATAAATTAATCCAATTCCGAGCTTTTTTTCACATATAATAACACAAAGTTGTGAAAAATTTACTGAATTCAGAACTTTTTCCTGAAGAAATTTATTCCTTCATGATAATCAACTAGATGATTAACATTATTATGAAAGAAAATCAATTAACTATAAATACAATTCACTTTATCCCTCTTGTTATCAGAGTTATTTCAAGTTCATGTATCTGAATATGTATCATGATGATCATCATGAAAAGTGAACATAATGATGAAAATATTGTAATAAAATGATAAATGATATGAAATTACATGAGAGTTACCATGGAAATAGATAAAAGAAAATTCTGTTGGACGGAATTACGTCAAAGGAAAAAACTTCTTGGAAGGAATTTGATTCTTATTCTAAACTATAATTCCACTGGTCAATTGATGGTCAATCATCTTAGAAAACATTAAATTCAAATGACATAAGATACTTTAAGTATTAAAGCAAAGGTGACAGGTCATCATTTATAATTGAGCAAAACTTTTAACAGGTAAACTTTATCATGTTGAAAAAAAAACAATATCAAAAACACAATAGGTCAATAGGTCAAGAGATTGAGGAGGAAAAAAAAAGTTCTTGACAACTTTTTCACTTCCTCTTCAGAGCTCAGGGTGAGACAAAGGCGATTCCACTTCACCCAAACTCCCACCACCCAGAAATCTACTTGAATGAAAGTTTTCAAGTGAATCAAATTTGATCTAATGATCTAAAAAGAAACTGTTGGACATCAGTTTGGACATTACATGAATCATGGTTAATTTTAAATGTGATCACAATCAAATTTTCATGAACTTGTCCAGTAAATTGAGAGAGAGAGACAATGTTAAGCCTAAGATTAAACGATTACAAAGGTGTGACATTTGAGCTCTGAACAGTGACAGGTCAATGAATCACTCGGAATTACCATGAACTTTTCCCTCTTCTTTGTCTCCTTAATAATAATCATCATCATCTTGACCCAAAATTAATCCAAGTAAAAATAAATTAGTCCAAAAGGATATTAACTTGATCACTCCCTGAACAAGAGTGGACACAATGATGGAAACAAACTGAATGAATGTCCATCTTCATGATGATGACCATCATCATTATCCTGGAATCCAGGGTGACACATTTTTATTTTCTTACTATTCCATTGTTACTTGTTTGGAATATATTAGAAACCCATTGAATGTGCTATATCCGATTAGCAAACAATCAATGATTGATTAGGTTGATAATGATGATTAACACTTGAGATCAACAATCAAACTGAAACTAGACAATTAATCTTGTCAAACAATACAAGTTGTAATCAATTAGCTGAATGAAAAAATAACAACACAAAATTGTAATCATCAACTAACAGTAAATAATAATAATAAAAAAATGACCAATCATAATAATGATGAAGTGAAAGGTATTGGAAACATGGGAACAGAAAACAATTGAAATTTGTCATGAAAAGTTCAGTCCAATTGATTTATCGTTGAACCAACAAGCTGATACAATCAATGGTGAAAATAATGATAATTGAATGAAAGATTTACATTTTAAACTGAAACAGAATTTATTTTTATGTAAATAATAATTCTGACAATAATGAATGTTAATATTTATTTCTCATTTCCTGATATAATTGAATTGTCAGATTGAATAAACATCATGAGTTTATGCAAATGATAAACAAGTTTGAGTGTTGAATTATCATGAGGAAGAGAGAGAGAGAGAGAGAGGAGCTGAATGATGGAGATAAAAGTTCATGGGCCGAAAATAATGTAACATCAATGGTGAAATTGAAATAATCATTCTCAGAATCTGTGGAAAAAAAAATCTGCTGGGATTCAGTTTCTGTTTCAATAGTTACCATGTACTGGAAATAAAATCACATGTTAATTTTATTCTGTGTGTGTGTGTATGTGAGTGATATTATCATGATCGTTCAGGATTTTCATCATGGAAACAATACTAATTCAGCAAATTCTGTCAAACAATTGAACTTGTCCAAATATTTCAAAAAAAAGATTCAGCTTAATTCTTTGGTATTCTTACCATGGTAATTGTTGATCCTTGTTCAGGGAAAATTAATTCTTATTCTGAAAGTGTCATGAAATTCAGAGGATGAAACCTACAGACACATAAATTATATTGAATAATAAATTTATCCCATTACATTGAAACATTAATTCTGGACAATCAATGGTCAATTTCAAGTACAAGTTATTTTCATCTTCCTCTAATTAGACTCGATATCATGATTAAGGTGAAAACTTTAATTATCTAAATACAATTCTGATTATCTGATATAAATACGATTCAACTGAATCAAGAAAAACAAATAGCAATTAATCAGTAATGATTAATTAAAACAAAACAAATTATGAATGTTAATCAAAAATTAATGAGCGATAAACAGCCTGAGGCATCGGTGATCATCATAATTATATAAAACTGTGTTTAATTAGATTAATAATTTTCAGTAAACATATTAAATTGTAATTTTATCGGCGAGATTAAAAATGAACAATCTAATCAACAGTTAAACTGAATAAGTGACTAGAGGAAAAAGTTTAATCTGTTACCAGGGTTAAATCAATTGCATTTGACATTAACAATGTATCGATATAATTAGTTAATTGTTGAGAGATCTAAGAAAAACCATCAAGGGTAATATAAAATGAACATCGATGATAATTATCATCATTTTCATCATAACGATTCACTTTAACTCCCAGAAGATTATGTTACTAGAAATGATGATGGATGAAGCAAAATGACAGATAAATCCGCTTACTTTACCCACCATCAACCTCACCATCATCACCATCATCATCATCATCATCATCATCATCATCGTCATCATCATGCATCAAGATAAAGTAAAAATTTTCAACAACAATGATGAGGATGAAAAAAAAATCAACAATACAAAAGACATTAAACTTTCAATGAATTTTTCCCACTCAAAGTTTTCAATCTTAGTCTGTTATTAATAGATTAGGTTTTTAAATCACAATTGATTAAAATTTAATCATTAATTTGTAATTAATGATTGGGAACAATCAATTACTTTGACTACTTACAGACTCTCTCTCTCTCCTCTCGTTATAAGTTATTAATTTGATTCACCATTTTCACCATAATCTTAATAATATTTCAATGACAAAGTCAAAATTGAATCACTTTTGATTATCATGATTATGACTCGAGAACTAAAAATCAATAATGATTATCATTTATTGACGTGATTCTGATTACATTTCAACAATTCAGTTACCATCATCATCATCATCATCATGTAAATCTTATCATCATTATCATCTCAAAAATAATGATGATAATATAATTATTTTCGTCAATCCTTAATTCTTAAAGGTAACATCTTATTAACTTTTACTATTATTATTATTGTTATCAGAACTTTTCTATTCCTGTTCAACCTCCCTGTTAGTTATTCAATTTATCTCATTCACAATTTATTCTGATTCTCATTTCAAGTAACTTTACCTTTATATATCCTATCTAATAATATCATTTCAATTCTCAGCATCCTATTCTTGTATTTCTATTATATTTCTCATTCTCAATTCATGAAACCATTTGGCCGAACCCCTTTTACCTGAATAATGGTTACCTGGTTAATCAAGTAAACAATCAAATCACTTTTACTTGTGTTTACATTTAACATGATTAAGCTTCTTCCATTCAGCTTCATGATATTCAGTTTCATCCTCATCATCAATCTGATACTCATTAGTTAATTGCTGTAGTAATGCAAATGAGTTTTAATCTTTTGTTCAGCTGATTGGTTTGAATCTTTTTCGTTTTTTTTTGCCTGTTGTTGTTGCTACCATAGGGAAAGAGCTCCGGTTGAAACTAATAATTACAATTATAATACACTAATTACCATTCTGATTATCATCATCATCATCATCATCATCATCATCGCTAATTATGAGAGGTTCAACTTAACGGATGAATTAATTGAATCAAGGTATGAACATTAATCTAAAATTGATTGGATATCAGGTGGAATTTTTTTTACACATAATTTCATGTTAGCCAATCAACTAAGTATAACTAAGATTAACATGTAATATTCATGATGATAAGAATCGTTTGACAGTTTTATCATGATGAGAATCATGATAAATGTTTATCTTATTCAGTTCCCTCCCAATGGCACGCAAAGGGTATTTAGAATATGATAGTTTTCAATGAGCATAAAAAGTTCTGAAAAAAAACTCATGCAAATTTCCCTGAATAATGTGAATTCACATGAATACGAGGGAGAAAATAAAAACTCTTGAAACTCTGAGAGATTTTTTCTTCCCTCTTCTCATGGAAATTGGGGGAAAAAAATTACTCATAATTGTAACTATGTAACAAAATATGATAACTACCCACTTCCTACATCAAGATATTCGATGCAATATAAACAAGTGGAAAAGTTTGACGAAAATTTTTTCATGTGGAAAAAAATTTTAGATAAAACGGAAAAGGGGGAAAAACGAGTGAAACATTTACACTCCCTTTTCCTGTGTGTGTATATTTATATCCAAAGGGTGATGAGTAGGTGGGTAGAAATCAGGAAACTGATGGATAGAAAACTCTGAATTATATAAATATTGAAAATGAATAGATGAATATGATTATTGAGATAATAAAAAAAGAAAACAATAATTAATTAAATCCAACAACAATCAGCTGAAAAGATGAAGAAAACAAAAATTTATCAAGAGGAAACAATTCCAAATGGGAGAGAATTGAATAGAAATTATAATTAACCATGACGATGATTAACGATTTTAATATAAAACAATCAACTAAACCAGAATAATGATAACGGTAAATAAATCATTTCCAATGAACATAATAAGGGAAGGGGAAAAGTTCAGGTAACGGTGGTTCTGTTGATTGTTCAATGGTTTAATTAAGTGAATATAATCAAGGTAAAGTTATGGAAAGTTAATTATCATCATTAGTTATCATCATTATCATCATTGATTTACCTTCAATGCTTGTTGGCAGTGGTAGTGTTAGGATAACATATTTAACTTTGACAACATCATTTTCGGGATCATTGATGCCTCTTAAATCAACCGGAAGGGAGACACCAATATCCGGTGGATTAGTGATATTCTTGGAGACCAGATTCTGGCGAACTGAACCTAAAGTAAGTATGGAAAAGATTAACAGATTAGTCTTGATTGTAATCGATTAACAAATTGTAGATTAATGTTAATGGAGGAAAGATAATCAATCTTCAATGAGAAGGAACAAAAAAAAAAGTTATCAATTAACACTGACGATGATTAAAGTTGATTGTTTAGATTGACGTTTTTCAAGATTACAATTAAATTATAATGAAACATATTATCGTAGCTTGATGATTATCAAAGCTGTTAGAACAATTTAAAAGTTAATTGTTCTCAATTGTAAGTGAAACAATTAACTGATTGCGCTTGGATTTAGCATTAAAACTTTGACACTTTTTGTTTCCCTTCAATCATTTACATGGACAATTAACTGTCAATTATAATTGAAAATAAGAGTGATAATAATTATTCAACTGTTTAATGTAATTTGCTTAATCACAGAGTTAATTGTTTATAATAAATCAATTGTTATTTGTAACATTCTGATTTAAATTTAGACTGATTAACTATTATAAGAGTAACTGATTTGTTTATTATCATAGTCTGAATTGTTGAATATATAAATTACAATTGTTTTGAAACAATTACAACCATTAATGAAACAATTTCATCATGAAAACATGATTCTCATTGAGTATCATGGAACCAGAATTAAATGAAAACAGTTCCATGTTAAATGATCTTTGAACATGAAATCATCAACTGAAAAGATATAAAAATAATAAACAAACAATTTCCGTGCAAAAAATTCATCAAATTGATTACAATTTCTGCTAATATCATGATTTCTATCATGAAACAAGTTATTATCATCTAATAATAATTTTATTTCTTCGCCAGATTAATAGCATTCAGGTACTGAAGACTTTAGATTGATGGAGAGTAACATGGAGAGAGAAGGAAAAACTTGAAAAAGTTCATTGAATTCAATGATTTGAAAAGGGGTAAGAGAAACGACTAAATATTATATCGTCAAGGGAAAGTAATCCAATTGGAGGGATCAAGATTTAGATCTTAATCTGCCGCCAATGACAAAGAAAAACTTATTCAATTGTTTCATCATAATAATCTTCCTCATCCTTAACATTTATCTTGCTTGTTACTTTCTTGTGACACAATTAGAGGACAAACCTACAGAATGAGACAGAGAGAGAGAGAGAGAGAGAGAGAGAGAGAGAGAGAGAGAGAGAGAGAGACTCATGATAATAATATTAAATATAATCTGTTACCAGAAATAACACTGAATGAAAATCTAAGAGGAACCAGAGATAATATTAAGGTTATCATGTAATATCATCATCGTCATGTTGCTTAAGCAATAACATAAAAGTAAATGTTGATTGAAGGTGGGATTTTATAAGTTACCTGTAACTGCAGCAAGGATAACATCATTGAGACAACTTCGAGTAACTTGTTTAACCCTGACCACTTTATCCAGTTCAACGGTTGTCCAGTAGATTGATTTACTTGGTGAATTATGTGGCTCGTGTTTTGTTGTTGTTGTTGTTGGGTGTTGTGATTGGAAGTATGTTGATTAGATTGTTCCGTCCAAGAACCATTGTTATTATTGTTATAATTTAATGGTGGAGATGAGGTTGTGATTGCATTAGTATTTCTTGTAGCATTGTTGATAATATTTTCACCATTGCTATTGTTTGATATTATTGCTTCATCGAGATACTTTGAATTTGAACATGAATTTTTAGATGATGACGATGATAATACTAGTTTATCTTTCTTGGAATCGTTATGGACCATGGCGGTAGATCGAGGTGATTTTTTCACCACCGCTACCTTACTGAGGTAATTATTTTTTCTCCTAGTAAATGCCCAGATAACCCATAAGCTGAACGTTAATGGGCCAACAATTGCAGCTCGAATTAGATTGATTGTAAAATTAATGCCACCAAAACGAGGCTTAAAGTGACTTGTCGATGCGGTGGTTCCTTGGGTGGTTCTGATAAAGGTTGTTGTCTTTGGTGGCGGTTGATCAGCTAAATATTGAACTAACAGTTTAGCTAATCCACATCCATCGATAACTGATTGGTGAATTCGCAGGATTAGGATAACTTGATTAAGATAAGTGGCCGAACATCGTCTTATCTGCCAAAGCGGTAGATTCGGTGATAAATTGGTTCTCATCAGAGTGAGAAGGTGCATTTTCAATTCTTCTTTTGAACTGATCAATCGATCGTTAATTATTTGCTTCTCAATTGAAAACTCTTCGTATGATAAACGTGACCAAATAGGAGTTCGAGTTAAGCCTTTAGGTAAAACACGAAAAGAAACAAAAAAAACAACAATTAGGTTACAATTTATGAGAACTTAAGATACTTGAAAGTTAATTATGGAAAGAAATCAATTAATTGCAACTTGATCGAGTTACTTTTCGCTGAATTAACACAATCAAAATTACTTTGCTAACAATTAAAATCTATTAATCTAATAAACTTTTCTCATTATTCGGGAAATTATTAGTTTCATACTTGTTTTTTTTTTGGATAAGAGGAAATATATTGATCATTTTTATTAATCCACCTGATTAACAGTTAATCCGATTATCAAGTAATCACATTGACATAAGTTATCAAAATAAAAGCTTCATACTAATGGTTAATTAGTTTTCCTGGCAATAAAAAATGATACCAAAATTATTGAGCCTAATGAACCATTTAAATGAATCGAAATAAGTAAAAAGTAAATTAGTATAATTTGACAACAATCAATTTAATTGTTATTTGATTAGAGGGAGTAATGTGTAATTTCAATTGATATCATGGTGATCAGGGGGATGATGAGGATGATAACAAGTTGATTCCATTGAACCAGAATTTTGAAAAGTTTATCTCAACTCAACACAACCAAAGTTTACCTTGATTATCATCCTAATCATCAAACATGTAACAATACAATTTAATCAACTTAATCTATCATGGGTATTGAGGTAATAATATTAATTGTTTCATTAACAAGGATGGACGAAAAGTTTTTCGTAATTAGGTTTAGGTAAACATGACACAGAAATACAGGTAAAAGTAAACAATTAAACTTTGTATTGTAATCATTTCAAGTGCAGTTATATAATCATTAACATCAACGATATCATGATTGTTTGTAATTTGTACTCACAATTAATAAGCTAATCAATATATTGATGTATTTAAGGATAAACACACACACACACAATTCAAATCACAATCAATCAATATGATTGGATAAACAAATATTAAACTTTTATATTTGTTCCACAATTGAAAATCTAAACAAAAGAAAATTTGAAAATAATAATTATCAAACTTGTTTACACAAATTAGTCAAATTAACTAATAAATGTTAAAAGCAATTTAATCAACCTCCTTTAACTAAATGATTACATTTCCTATGAGAAAAAAAAATTGGAGAATCAGAAAATCAATAAAACTAATAATAAAAACCAAGGTAAAAATTGAATGAAACACAAAAATTTACCAACCATTAATTTGATATCTTAATCATGATTAAGAAAATAAATGAAAAAAAAAAGTTCTAACAATATATTAATACGAAAAGTTGACTCTAAGTAACCAAAGTAATATAAGAAATGGTGAAGATAATATATAACATTATATTATTATTTATTATTATTATTATTATCATCATCATGATATATATATCATGATAATTGAGTAACTAATAAAAAATAGTAGCTCTGATAATAATCATGATAATGATGAAAATGATAATGATTGAGTAGTAAATGTGTTAGGGTAACATTAACATGTAGATACGTTTTTAGTTAAATGATTGTTATTAACATGAACATTATTCAGTTGGAGAGATAATCTTTTCCATGAGATTATGAGGTAAATGCTGAGATAGTTGATCTGAGAAAATGATGATGAGATGTCATCTTTATCATCTTTATTTTCTTGTCATCATCATTATCAGGAGGGTAACATATTTTCAAAGAGAGAGAGAGAGAGAGAGAGAGAGAGAGAGAGAGAGAGAGAGTTTCAATTCAGTGAACCAGATTTTGTTCAGCAAAAAGAGATGGAAAGATTTACAGTTATCTTTCATTTTTTCTTGATTATTTTTGCACAACGACAGATAAGAATGACGATGATGATAGAGAGATGATGATGAAGACAAGAAATGATTTGTTGAGGAGGAAAAAAAAGGAGAGTAAAGGACATGACAAGTTCAACCAGAAGGAAATTATCATTCTAACCCTTGTGAAAGTTTCTCATTCTGAATTAGATGATGAAAAATACTCATGATTTTATCATCATCAAGATGAGAGAGGTCAAGGTAACCATCAAGAGAATCATCATTTACTCTTACATGGCGATTGAAACCATTTCATTGAAATTGTTTCTTCCTTTTCACCTTATCCTCATGTGCTCAGACTCAGGTTCTCAATTCAATCCCTGATTATCAAAGTTTCCACAAAAAGCTTTTCAAGTTATAACAATTTCAATGAAAATCATTTGAAATAAATTGAATTTAACAAACAATTAGTGAATAATTCAAACGTAGAAAAAAAATCAATCTCAATAATTTAGTTCTCGGCTTGAGATTCGTTATTATTATTATTATTATTTCCAATCAGCTGATCTTACTCATTAGATTTAATTTTCATGAAACGATTGATTTTTTTCCATAGGGAAAAGTCAATTGATTCAATTTTTCATATTACTAACTCGTTGGGAGTATAAAGTTTAGTATCCATAAGGAAAATGATAATAACATCAAACGATAATAATCAATGAATAAATAACGAGCATGATTACCATGAATATCATGATGATGATGCAAATAAATTTAATCATTTCAAGTTATCGCCTTGAACAGGGAATGACAATTCAATAGGAGATACAAAATATTATCGAGGAAAATTTATAATGATGATAATATTAATATAATATTACCATGAGGATGGAGATATGTTTGAGAAAAGGATGATGAATGGATGATAAGAAAGGATGAGAAATACCATAGAAATGATAATAATGATGGCGAAGAAAAAAATTTCATGTGAATTATGAACAAAGTGAATTGTAGATTCTAAATTGAAGAGATGAAGAATAAAGAAAAGTTCAGAACTGAATCAACCGGAATATTCATGCAGTAACTTCATTCTAACATCATACTGATAACTTATGGTTGGAAATTGAATAAAAAGATGAATAATCATTAAGTTTAGTAAATAGAGTAAATCTAATGGTTTAGAATTGATGATTCGTTTAGATTATCAACAGTTATTGATTTAATTAGATTGTTAATCAGTAAATTACGATAAGTCTTGTTGATTCTGATTTATGACTGATTGTTAAGGTGTATGAGTAGATGATGAGGTTTAATGGTAATTCAATTGTGAACAATTTTCACGAGAAAAAGCTTCGTTTTTTTTTGATCGAATGTTAATCGAATGAAAAATATTCCAAAATAATTTAAAATTCTAATCAGAATTGGATAAGAATTAGAATTTTTCAGAGTTATAAGATGATTATTCGCAAGAATGATAGAGGAAAATAAAGTTTCGTAAGGATCAGAAGAAAAGATAAACTTTCTATTGAGAAAAGAAGAAAATAAAATATATCAAAAAATGGATAAGAGTATTGGTTTTATCATCATGTTTATCATCATCATCAGGGGAGACTGAGAAATGTTAACGGATTGAAATCGATAAGATTGAGAAATCAGGATAAAAATTGGAGAGAAAAGTTTATTTGGAAAATGTAAGAACAAGAAGGGGAGAATAATAAGAGAGAGAAGGTAGAAGAAGAAGAAGAAGATGAGAAGGAGGAGGTAAGAGAAGATAAAGAGAAAGATGGTGAGTAAAGTAACCGAGAGAGAGAGAACCAATCAATAAATCAACTTAAGGGAGATTCACAATTGACAATCTGAGTAACATGAAGTAGAGCACGAAAAAAGTTCTGGGTGGAGTGGGGAGGGAATAGTGTGTGTGAGAGAGAGAAGAAAGTTGATATGTAATAAACAGCAAATGAAAACATATGATCAACAACTTTAAGATAAAAACGTTCGGTATAATAATGATATAACTACGCCTTAAACTTGTAATATTATCAGAATTATTATCATCGTGATATCAAAATATTTCATGAGGTAAAAAATATATCAACTGATAGTAGAGAGAGAGAGAGAGAGAGAGAGAGAGGGTGATAAATATACTTTAGTTATGGTATTTTGATGGTGGAAAATTGTTTTTAACATGAAAATCAGCTGATGATTCAGAGATAATCATGAAACAGATAGTTGAGAATATTTTAAGTTGAATGTTTGATTATGAAAATCAAGATCAATTCATGGAAACAAGGGAATAAATTTTACCGTTATACTTTTTATTAAACACACTTGAATGAATTAATCACTCCCAGTCAATCCCAATTCAACAATAGGTGAAATTATAAGTTGTGAATAGTCAGAAATTCAACAAGATTTGTCTTCATGAATATTCAATGGGTAAAGATTTTACCCTGGAAAATTTTCAACTGATTTAGTATTCAAGATAGTATTCAAAGAGACATTTGGGATGAAGATGATGGTGATGATAAAAAAAGAGAAGAAGAAGAAAAAAATATGATGATAAGAAGAAAAGAAACTTCTTCAAGGTAAAAAGGAAAAAGATTATGATGGATGATGGAAGATGAAGGATAAATGAGAGAGGAAAAAGTAGTGAGAAAAAAAAATTTCGTTTGTCATCATTGTTATTCCAACAGTGAAAGTCAATTTCTGATTGCTAATATTGCCTCAGGGCGAGTTATAACCAGATCATATTACTTTATATACATCTTTTCACTTAGAGACTGAGGGTGGGGTTGAGAGGATGAAAGGAATATAAAAAAGTAGCAAGAAAATCAACTTCATTTCTTTACCTGAGTTTACAGGTAAATAATTATAACAATAAAATAGATTATCAATTTGATATTAGATTCAAGTTGTTGGCTGATCATTAATCTATCTAAATTGTTAATCATTTCAAAACTACTTGTTGTCGTTTCAATTTGATTTAATGTTCAACTATTTGATTGTGATGTTTTCTTGCCCAATAAATGAAACATTAATCAATTGTTGATGATTTTCATTTCATATTAAAGTCTATATAAACTGTTAAGTAAAATTGCTTTTGGTGTTGTTATTGATTAAATTGATTGTTGATGAAGTTATTAAAGTTATTATCAAAGGTTAATGTGTCTGACAAGTTGAAGTATAAAAAGTATTGACCATATCAGCTGATTGATGCTGATAAAATGAAATATTGTTTGAGTAAGAAAAAATAAATAACATTGAACAATTACCTTTGTAGGTTAAAATTGATCGAAAACGAGCCATTTCCGGTTTCTGAACAATTCGAGCCATGAAAATATCTCGTAACTGGTCAATATTCAATTCAGAATCAACGAAAAGAAGGCAAGTACTTATTGAATTTGGAATTAAACAGTTACATGGATTAAGATGATCATTGGTTGAGTTTTCTTCATTTTCTGGATTAGGATTAACGGTATCATTATTTTCATTGTTATTACCACTGACCATTGGATTGCTATTTGATTTGGTTGATGATGAATTAGTAAAATCGTTTGGATTTAACCAGAATGTTTCAATTGGAGTTGCTTGTACCATGTTTGCCGGATATCCTTTACAAGAGCAATTGAGACATTTAATTAATAACATCGATAGTGCCAAAAGTAAGGTCAATGTTAACACAACCGGAAGGCCTGTTATAAGAGCTAAAAGAGTAAAAAATAAGGTCAACAGGAAGAAGGATGCTATTGATCGGTCAAGTGGATGTTTCAAGTATTTAATTGGCCTTGATTTGATTCCACCGATACGTTGGCTTTTCTTTTTATCGATTGATGATTTTTTAGCATTTTTAACCATAAATTTGATCCGTTGATTAATATTTGATTCAGTGATTGATGAATATGAGCCTGAAACTGAATTTGGTGAAGGCAAAGTTGCTTGTTCATAATGAGTAGCAAGATGATGACGAAATTGTGGATGATTGGGGAAAAATTGTTGACTAGTGGGTGGTAATGATGTTGGAGGTGGAGGTGGTGTAGGAAGAGGTGTAGAAGATGATGATTGTTGTTGTTGTTGTTGTTGATGATGATGATGGTGATGGTGGTCAGATAGATGATAAGAAGCTGATGATGAATGACCATCATCATCATATTCGTCATCTTCTTCTTCATCGCCATTTCTTTCTGTATGCATATCATCATCTTCTGGATGATGAGATGATGATAATGATGATTCAGATCGATAGTTATTCCTTTGGTTGCTGAATCCATGAGATGTTGATGAAGACGATGAACATGTTGCATGGTGCATTGGTAGTAATGATACTGGTGGTTGTTGCAGAGATGGTTGATCAATGGGTCGAGATAGTTTTCTGATTGTTGTGGTGGTTGTTGTTGATGATGATGATGTTGTTGTTGTTGTTGTTGTTGATGGTGGTGGTGGTGATTGTACATGAGATGATGGTGATACATCATTATCTTCATCTTCAGAATCGGTGTCATTCTTATCTAGTAAACTTTTATCAAGCATTCGTCTTGGTAGAAAGTGTTATCAGTTGAATCATTGAGATATTGATGACAAGAACAACTCATATCCAATAAGCTGGAATATTAAATTATCAGGATAAATGATTAAGATTAAAACGAAATCTTAATTGATTAAGCTCACTTAGTATCTCAATGTAATCCAAAAATCAAGATTAAAAGGTAAAAAGCTTAAATCACAATAGTTGATTTGGAATATTTTAGTTAATCTTGTAACAATTTGGGTGTTACAATTGTTGAAGATCATGGTTTCTATTCACAGATTGAGCGGAGAGTAACATCATTAATTCAGGTTATTGATTAACTAGGATGATGAAGATGAGGATGAGGATGAAAAAGTGAGAAGAAGAGGAAAAGTCAAGGTTTTTTTTTCTTTTTCTTCTCTCTCTCTCTATTACAGAAAATACAAGGTAATACTTAGAGTTCAATACTTTCAATGTCACTGGAAATTAACAGAGTTTTGTTATCCTTTTTGTTTGTTTAGATTCGGTAATTAACTTGACCAGTTGATTAATTAATCGTAAAAATTGACGAGAAAATCCAAAGGCTTTACAAAAGGTTAAAGAGAAACTAATTTACATCAACAGTAGATTGGAAGAGTTAATATGTCATCTCTTAATCTCTTATTAAAGTTTTTTTTCTGGTGAAAATATTGTTAATCCAATTGGTTGTAATTGAGGATAAATTTTAAATTAGATGAGGAACACAATTGATAAAGATTTGGAAATGGTTTATCAGGAAAGAGAGAATGAAGGAAAATCCTTATATTTGAAAGGAAAATAAGAATTGTATATTTAAATTGTCAAGATTAACGTTTGAAAATTGATGGAAATTTGTATGATATTATGTTCACTTGTTAGAATATTGATTAATTGAATGACAATTGGAATATAAGATGATCTTGAATACACACAGAATTAATAAATCAACTTGGAGGATGAGAAAGGTAAAGAAAACTGGTTGAAATAATAGAGAAGATGAAAATCTAAACAATAAAACTCAAGTAAAATTAATTATTTTGGGTTTGATGATGATGATGATTGTGGTGGTAAAGAAGATGAACCCGGAGGATAAAAAGAAGATTATGGTTATGGTGAAGATAAAGATGATAAATGTTGATGGAGAATGATGATGATTAAAAAGGAAATTGATTCCAATGAGGAGAAGGTAAAATAAACCATGAGAGGAAACAAGGAAAAGATAATGATGAGTTGAGAACAGAATTGACCATGTTAGAGATGTAGGTGTATTCAGGGAGATATTTAGATTATGAAATGAGTAGAATAGAAAACACAAATTGTACTTGATGAAAAGAAGAGATAATGTTCAAAATAATATGAAGAAAAGTAGATAATGATGAGAACGGTAATGAGATTAGAAATAATAATAGAAAGATGAAAGAGCAAATAAGAATTGAGAAAATAACTGTTCCTTTTTGGTGTAAAAATGGAAAAAAATAACAGAGAATCAGATTGGGAGAGAGAGAGAAGACAAAATGAGATGAAATCGTAACAGCTCCTGTTGACTATTCTTTAGAGATGATCATCATCTCAATCATCACACCATCTCCATGAACTCCATGAGTTTGCTGAAGAAAATGATGGAAAGTAAAGAGGAACCACCAAAAGCAACAATAGACAATAACATTAACATGAGGTGAGAATGGAACGAAAAATAAAAAAAAGGAAAACAGAAAATGTAGAGATTAAAGAGAACAGAATCTCAATTGATTCTCAGGTTTTCTCTTCTTCTAATGAAATACTCACAAGTAGTAATATCAACAAACAGATTAAAGAAGAAGAAAGAAACAAAAAAATTCTACGAAAACATCAACAGAAATAAAATCGAGTTGATTTTGTTCATTGAGAGAGAAGAAAAAATTTCATAACAAATCGAAAAAAGAATATCAAGTGACATCTATCGGAGAGAAAAACAACTTTTCCTTTTTCTTTTTTTCTATTTGCTGATTTTTCATTCTATTCATTTCCACCCTTCAGGTAAGTTGTTTACTCTTCAATTTGATTAGTGTTTTTTTCCTCCCATTTAATTAGTAATTTGACAATTAATCTATTCGTTTTCTCTTCTCTTTACAATTTAATTGCCACCTTTGACTTTCTCTCTGTTTCTAATTGATTCTGTTTTTCTATTTAAATCTGGTAAAGTGTTTTGTTTTTCTCTTTCTCTTTTTTAGATTTTTCTCTTCTCAGTAAATTCTCATTGATTATATCACCGCCATCTTATTGTTACCTGGACATCACCTTTTCTCCTGTATTTTTATTCTTTAATTGTGTTACCTAATTGTTGAACGTTGATTCTTTTCACTTACTTGTCTTCTTCTTGTTGAAATATTAAGTGAGTAGTCTGTTGAAATTTGTTTAAGCCTGATGACTATTTTTAGTCCATCACTTTACCTGTTTTCGTTTTTCTCTTTATAACCTGTAGCCTTTTATGTTTTCATTTTTTTTCAGTTCCTGCTCATTTAAAATTATATATTTTAATATTGTAGCAATTATCGATCTTGATTACCTAATTTCCCCTTCTCTTTACCCTCTTATCCATTTCTCTCTCTCTCTCTCTCTCTCTCTCTCTCTGTCTCTATGTCTCTGCGTCTATTTCTTTCATATTGATATTTTCTTTCATTTCTTCCATTTTTTAATCACTTCAATTCGTCATAATCTTATATTTCTTTCATTTTCTCTTTCGTTTACTTAGATTACACTTGTTGAAGCAATTCAATTCATTTAAACCCGGAAATGTACGGCGACTATAATTCCTCGATGGAAGCTGGTATTCAACAGCCAATTGCGGATCAATTTGATGCTTTCTCAAATAAATCAATTCGACTAAAATTCATCCGAAAGGTTTATGGAATCTTAAGTTTACAATTACTTGTTACCATGGGATTTGTTCTTGCTTTCACCCTTTCCGAAGAGGTTAAAGGGTTTGCCCTGAAAAATTCATGGTTACTCTTTGTAGCTCTTGGATTCTCACTGGTCTCATTGATTACCTTGGCCTGTTGCGGTGTCCACCGTACCTTTCCTGGAAACCTTGTTTGCCTTGGTATATTTACTCTTTCTGAATCAGTGATGATCGGATTTACAACCGCTTTCCGTAGAGGTGAAATTGTCCTTTACGCCGTTATAATTACAGCAGCTATCGTTTTATCGTTAACACTATTTGCTTTCCAGACGAAAATAGATTTCACCGCATTCAATGGTATCTTATTTGTCTGTCTAATGGTATTCATGTTATTTGGTATTCTTGCCATATTCATTAAAGGTAAAATTGTAATGCTTATCTACTCAGCGGTTGGAGCTCTCCTGTTTTCAGCTTACTTGGTAATTGATACTCAAATGATTGTCGGAGGAAGTCACAAATTACAATTCTCACCAGAAGATTACATCCTCGGAGCAATTACATTATATGTCGATATTATCAACATATTTATTCACATCCTACAACTATTGGATATCGCTACAAGGAGTTAAGCTCAAGATTACATGGAGAAGACACCAAATTCATTGTAAACGACCTGTTAAATATAGTAGTAGTAAAAACACACAAGATAGCACATTTTTATTGATTATTCATCGATTTTGAATTTTCGATCGAACCGAATCATCCAACATATCTATCGATAGGTAATTGATTGGGGATTAATAATTTGATAATTTTTGATTGATTTATTGATTGATTATTGATAAAATTTATAAAAAATTTTTCACCACCACCATAATACAATTAAAGTTTTTGTGATTAAATCGAAACAAATTGAACATTACATTAGTTTTCGCTCCAAAAGCGAACAAGATCTTCATTTTGTGATATTTTTCTAATAGTTTTCATGTTCTGATTTAGAAACTTCATTCTAACTGTTGCTCTAAGTATTTTAGGATACAATGTAGTTAGATTGTGTAAATTGATTAAGAATTGTATCCATGAATGACCATACCCAATCATAGTTTTCATTTGATCGAACCATTGCATTCTCGAACAATCCGATAATGCTCTATGTCTCTTAAGATATTCACCCAATTTGGAACCAAATAAAATTGCTCGTCTTTCATTTTGTTTGATCGCGGTTCTCATCTGAATAACCAGGTTAGTAGCCTCTTCTTTGGTATCTATTGGTCGATCATCGAAAACAGGCAACTCATCATTCACAACAACAAGGCTTTTTTCCAATGTATCCAATATTTTTTCGAGTGATCGATCATTTCGATTATCAGGCTCATCTTCAGGTTCGGAATCACTCGAAGATGATGAAGACGAAGACGAAGGTGAGGATGAAGAGAGACTGGGTAGAAAGACAGATTCGTTATCACTTTCACTCGATGATTCTTCCGAACGCATCTCTTCATCAACGATTAACGGTTCTTCAACTAAAGGGTCAGGAATGGGTTCAATGGGTTGTATGTCTGGAATAACTGGGTCATCAGACGACGTTACCTGATTTTGTGGGTCCTGATGGTCTGGGTGGTAATCCATAGAATTATCAATATCATTGTTCACAAACACAGGTGCAGCTTCGTTATCGTTGATTGGTTGGTTAAACAATTGTCTCTCTAATCCGGAATTGATTCTGAAGCCATTCACATAATAACCAATATTATTGATGATGTATTGCCTGATAATTTCACGGTGTTGGTTTGGTAGTCGTTGTAACAAATTTAAGAAAAAGAAAGTAAACACAAAAGAATCGATTGGGTCAATGTTGATCATGATGATGAGATTGATGATAATTTCTGATCAATAAATCACTATTGGAATCAAAGATAACGGTAAATGTTGTAGAACGATGTAAAATTTTCAAACTACTAAGCTCCGCCCATGCGCGATTTTTGATGCGCACAAGATCGCCAGCATGTCGCTTTTACTATTTGCTATTGCTAGGTATTGGTTAACGTTAAAAATCAATAAATTTTTTTTTACCGTTATTTGACATGGTCTATGTAAAAAAATTACATTGAAAAGGCATTTTTTTCTAAAGTGAATAACTTTTTATTCTAGGGTTTCTGTGGTCATGCTGTACATCAATCAACTGGAAATTTTACGAGGATTCCGAAAATGTCAGAATTATTTTTTTAGGACCTACGGTTATGAAAATACGAAGGTATACGTTTTTTCCATTGTTAAGAGTAGCCAACACCCTTTCGATAAATCGATTTTTCGATAAATCGATTATTCATGAATTTTTTACTCAAATCTTTAATATTAATTTTCTCGTGAATTAAGCATTATTTCTATACAATCATATATATTAAAATGTTCGTCTCGTCACGCTCTTTCCAAAAATGTATAGCTTATTACTATAAAATGTGTTTTGAGAGAAATAGTTTCTAATAGCTAAAATGAACTTTGATTGATTTTTTCAGACAAATTATTAGTCTCAGAGCAATGAAATTAATTTTATCGTAATCAGCGTATCAACATTGACCAGAAAAGTTGAAAAAAAAAATTTCCAACCGGTTGGAAATTTTTGATCATTTTTCCAACCGGTTGGAAATTTTTGATCATTTACGAGTTTTTTCAATTTTCAATTTAATGATTGATTTTAATCATTTTTAGATCATGAATTATTGTTGTCTGATTATCATAGATTGCAAATTGGTAAATTTTTTCCAACCGGTTGGAAATTTTTCATCATTTTTCCAACATATTGATTTTTTTTGATTTTCAATTTATTGATTGATTTCAATCGAGATTAATCATCTTCAGAACATCATTTGTTGTTGTCTGATTATCATAGATTGCAAATTGGTAAATTTTTTCCAACCGGTTGGAAATTTCTCATCATTTTCCCAATATTTTGATTTTTTTCGCTTTTCAATTTATTGATTGATTTCAATCGAGATTAATCATCTTTAGATCATAAATTATTGTTGTCTGATTGTTTAATTGATAGGTCAACAATATCAATTATTTTAATTTGTCAATTTCCAGTTCAAAAATTTGAATAATTACAACAATTAAGATATTATCATGTGTTGAACTTTTAACAATAGATATTAAATAATGAGAACAGACATTCAAAAGTCTAGACATAATAATTAATCATAATCATTGGGATAGATAATTACAACAATTAAAAAGTAACAATGTATCAATTTTGAATTGACCATGAGAACAATTAACAATTTGATAGTCTGGTCATCATAATTAATCATATCAATGAAGGAATAATTAAAATAATTAAAAAGTAACAATGTATCAATTTTGAATTGAATGAAAAATAATTAAAAAGTACCACCAAAGCCAGAAAGGTAATTAATCTACATTCTGGAAATAATTACATCAATTAAAAAGTAACAATGTATCAATTTTAATTATTAATGATGGTAAAGGTAAATACAATTATTCGTTTCAATGATAATTATCAAACTTAATTGTCTTCAGTATCTACAATACAAAATTGCATTTTTGTTTCCTGGAGAATGAGTATAAAAACCGAGCGAAAAATCAAGAAAGTTATCAGTTGAAAAAAGTCTTCCATCAAAGTCTTTTGATTGTGTTATGACCATCAAACAACAACCATCAACAGTTAACCAACATCCAGTATTTATCAACAATCAACCATCAACCAGTAACCATCAACCAACAAACAATCTTCATCCATCATCACAGGTAAAATGTTTAAAGTTTTGAACTTGGATCCATCAAAGATGAAGATAACTTTAGCATTTGATTTTCCTCAACTGAAAGAAGATCTTTCAGATGAGGAAAAACCGATCAATCTTGCTGACTTTCGGTTGAAAAGTATTGATTTTCTTTCAATACTTACTCAACTGAAATTGTCAGACAAGATTGAATTCACAAAAGTTGTAATCGGTTTTGATAAGATACATCAAATGTATCTTATCAACAACAGAAAATTCATTGATTTTTGTAGAGGATATGATCCTCTCTTTGCTGCCTATGTCAGTAAAAATTTTACTAAATTTTATTGATTAATAAAATTTCATTTATTTACCTTTAAACTTTTGTTTCTTTTTTATTTCACCTCAGGTAAGATGAAAATCATCACCAAAACAGTTCGGTCAATCTCTTGTGGTTCGGGTCCAAGAGCTCCATCAAAATTGTCTTCCTTTGAAATTATTAATCGGTCAAAAAAGAGTTGTTCACAGGAAAAGAAGTTTTTAACAATTCCATGTAATGATTCATGTCCCACGGAAATGACAGGATCAAAGTGCTTAGCTTCTTCGTTGGTTAGGTTATCAAAGAAAATGGCTGAAAAAATGGAAATAAAAACAATTCATTGTAAAAAATGTTGTAAAAATCCAATTCTTTCTGTTTCTGAGAGCAGAAAAATATGTTGTAAAATTGCTCAGGAAAAGTTTTCAAAATTATGTATCTTTGCTGCAGATTCTAAATGTCCAAGAGTGAGTCAATTAGAATCTTGGTTAATCAAATGTAGATACATGAGAAACAAGATGAAAAAATGTACTGATCATAGGTTATTTGTAATCAATCTGAAAAAAGAAATTGAACTCGAAAGAATTATTGTTAATAAAATTTTGTTGTGATTAAATCTTATCTTTTTTTCTTTTCAGAAATCAAAGGTAATGTTTGAATCCCCAATCCTTGAAATCTGGACTTGTCCTAGATTGAAAGCTTCACTTGAAAAATATTTATTCATGAAACAAGAAATGAATAGATTTTTATCATGTCCTGGACTTCCTGGTAAATGGCACCAGGCTTTTAAAAATGGATTCTTCAAGAAAGATGATTGTATTCAATGTTTTAGCTGTGGACTGGAAATTGATATGACTCTTTTCAATGATGATGTACCAAGTATTCATTCATCTTTCAGTCCAAATTGTGCATTTCTTTCTGGAAGAGATCCAAGTCTGCAGATGAAAAAAGCTAATGCTATTTACACGTATTCACAAACTCCAGTGATTGACATGGCATCTGGTATAAATATCCCGTTGAAGTTACAAGTTACCCGAATCGTTAAAGCTGACAACGGTTTGATTCAAATTTTCTCTGATGATTTTGTTGTTAACCCAGAGAAAGTTTATCACTTATTCCGAATAAGAATGAACCGTACATTCTCTTTTGCTTTGTCTCCACCACCAATCCATCATCGTAATTATTTTGTGGAAAGTGGATTCTTTTGGACTGGATTTGAAAGAGTTGTACAATGTGCTTTCTGTCGAATTGCATTTGATGGGAAGCTCCCTGGTCATCCTATCATTGCTCATAAGAAATTATCACCAGATTGTCCTTTCATTGCTGAGTCAACGTTTGAGACTGATAGAAATAAATGTTGTGTGTGTCTAACAAAGACTCACAGTATTCTTTATTTACCATGTGCTCACTTAGCAGTTTGTACTGACTGTGATGAAGTATTATTGAGAAACAAAAAACCTTGTCCAATCTGCAGAGCAATAATAACAAAACGTATAAGTGTAATGAAACCTTGATTTAATAAACTTTTTGTTTTTTATTTATCATTTAGATGGTTTATCATGATTTCGAAAAACAAAATGATTTCAATTCACTATTCATTAATAATCGAGGGACCAATGATATTGTTATTTGGATTTCAAGTACTAAATATCGATTATTGAAGCCTGAATTCATTGAGAGGATAAAAATGAATTATAAGTCGATACTTTTCACAAAATGCTTATCTTTGAAATCATCGCTGTTTGGTCCTTATCTTCGAATCGATCGATTCAATCTTAAAATGAAATGTAAGATCTTTATCCAATAATTAAACACAACTAACATGTTGCTTTTGCAGATGACGTTGATTACTGGCTAATTGATATCGTTTTATACTTTCTTTGGACGGATGAGTTGATCTACGATGGACTAAAAGTAATTGAAAAAATTCAATTAGCCTATTTGTTAGACTATTTTGGTATTGACCTGAATAAATACTCAATTAAATTCAACACAATGGAAAGATTCAGGTCAGACTTAATTAGTCTGTCACAAACAAATGCCACGATTCATGATCAGATATCTCACTTGATTTTGGTATAAAAGTTCAACTCAAAATAAAATTCATTCATTATCAACTATGGCTCGATCACTTTATTTTGTAAAAATGTTTCCTGATGTTCCAGCTCCTTTCAAAGCTACACCTTTATCAGTTGGATTTGATATTGCTTCTTATGAAGATACAATCATTCCACCGCGTGCTCAAATAAAGATCGGAACTGGGTTGAAAGTTACTCCACCTAAAGGGACATATATACGATTGGCTTCACGCTCCAGTTTAGCTTTAAATGGGATAACAGTTCAAGGAGGTGTGATTGACCCAGATTATACTGGTGAGGTGAAGGTTATTCTTTATAACCACACAAACGAACAATTTATAATTGCTAAAGGAATGCGTATCGCCCAGATGATTTGTGAGAAAGCAACATTCCCTATTCTTTATGAAAAGACTGAAATAGAGCATAATACAGTTCGTTGTGATTGTGGGTTTGGCTCTTCCGGAAAATAACGAATAAAAGGAGAATTGTTTTCAAATTTTTATTCATTCACTCTTCAAACATCAACTGAACAGTTTAAAATGTTTTCAAACAACTCCAACAGTTCCAACAACTCCAACAACTCCAACAACGCCAACAACTATACCAGTTCTCAACCTACTGAAAGTGCTTCAAACTCGAGACCAGGCCGCTTCGAAGATAACTTTATGCAACTCATGACTTCGGAAATCTCTCCTCTAGTTTGGATAACGGTCAACAAACAAAAATCACTTGATATGACATTTGTTGATATTCGAAAGAAACGTGAAAAGTTAGTAAATGGAGTTCGGATGTTTATTCCAACAAAAAATGGACTATTTATGCGTCTCGAAGAGTATGAAAAGCTAAAGGAACGATTGATTTGCATCAAAGGTGGAGAGCAACGGAAATTTGATTTCGGCGTGACCCAGGCACGGACTATATCTGGACACTTGAGAGTTGATGGCTGCTGGCATTTCACTCTAAAAAATGGGATGAAAGAGTCTACTCTTGCTCTCACTCCCACTGAAATTGAAAAAATTGCTACTTACTCCATTCCCAACAACGTATGTGCTGCAATGGGAGAAATTCTTTGGGGTTGATTTGAAACTAAAATGAACTTGAGTTGACTTATTAAATCATTTAATTATTTAACCTATTTAATCATCTTTTGTTGGAACATATTTAATCATATTATTTGTATTTCTTTATCTTTTTCTTTAATAAAAAAGTTTGAGCTCAAATTTAATGAACATTATTAATCATGACTTTTTATCTAATTACTTTACTTATTGTTTTGTTACTTTTTCTATTAGCCTTACGTATTTATCTTCTGGATACCGTGAAATATGATAATATTAAGATAGCGTAAGGAACACCCGTTGACACACTTTAAATCTTATATAAATCAAATACAAACTTTATTTATTTATCAGTTTTAAAATGTTTGAGTGTAAGAAGTGTCTCAAAAATTTCATCAAACACAAGTCTTATCTTATACATAAAAGAGTTTGTAATTACAAGCCAGTGAAATGTGCTACATGTAATCAAGTTTTTAGTAAGAATAATCTGTTCATCGATCATCTAATACTTTGTAAAAATTTCAATAAAAATGTATCAACTTTACAAAGTAATTTCACTTACACTCTACACAAAAGAGCCTTTAAAAATGTGTTTGGAATATATGTTAAAACGGGTAAATGGTCATCATTAGAAAGTTTGTTTACAGTTGAACGTGAGAACATTCAAAACTTATTGGAGTTAGTTTTGAAAACAATAGGTTCACATAAAGTTCAAGTTTGTCTTTTATTAAGATTCATTAAACAAAAACTGGATGGTGACATTGATTCAACAGAACTTTACAAGGTAACTCAGATGAAACCCTTTTCACATGTATCACAATTTAATCAGTTGCTATCTGAATGGGTTCAACATCTTGATATAGTTATTGACCAATTTACACAAAGAGGAAGTGGTTGGGTTCTTAAATCAATTAATACGATTGAAATAAGAATATGTAAATTGAAAGAGAATAGTGGTGGGTGTTCATCAGTTAGATTACCCCAAATTCTTTTGAAGAAGAAAAGTTTAATTTCACCATACTGTCAAACTGACTGTTTCAAGTGGGCTGTTCTAATATCATTACATCCTCAAGTTAAAAATAGATCAAGAGTAACAAAGTATAGAAGTTTTACAAATTTGTATGATTTCAATGGCATTGAGGCGATAACACCATTCTCACAAATCAAAAGTTTTGAGAGAAGAAATAACATGTCAATCAATATCTACACACTTACAATGGACAAACATAAAAAAATTGTACCATTGAGGATTAATAAAGATATGCGCGATAAACATGTCAACCTATTTTTCTACAAAGATCATTATTATAGTATCAACAATTTCAATGCTTTTGTCAGGAGCAACAAGGCATGGGAAAGGTTTTATTGTCATTATTGTATATCTGGTTTCAGAACAGAAGATCTACTGTTTAAACATCAAACCTGTTGTAAAAATGTCGAAGCACAGCGTATCATCCTACCTGGTCAAGACAAGGTACCCACAATTTGTGAATTCAATCGATTAGATAAAACAATAGCATATCCTTATGTAGTTTATGCTGATTTTGAAGCTTTAATCGTGAAATCTGATAAAGCTCTTGGTAAAAATACATTTGAATATCAAAAGCATGAAGCTTGCTCATTTGGACTTGTGGCTGTTGATTGGAATAATCAAATTTTATCAAAAACATTTTATCGTGGACCAAAAGCTGCTGAAAAACTTATTGAAACATTATTGAAACTTCAGCAATTTCTTCGTGAACATCTAGAAACCAACAGTAAACCAGCTATTGTTTCCCGTGAAGAACGTGAATCATTCAATCAAGCTTCAGAATGCTACGTATGTAAAGAGCCTTTAGTTGATGATAAAGTATTAGATCATTGTCATCTGACTGGGAAATACAGAGGACCAGCTCATAATTCATGTAATTTAAAACTCAGATTACCTTATAAATTACCGGTAATCTTCCACAATCTTAAAGGATATGATGCCCATCTTATCATTAGTGGACTCAAGTCTAATCTAATACGAAATATTTCAGTGATTCCTCAAAATACAGAAAAGTATATTGCTTTCTTTATGGATGACTTTATCTTCCTAGATAGTTTAGCTTTTCTTCTTTCGAGTTTAGAGACTTTGGCTAATAATTTATCTACTGAAGCAAAATCAAAGTATTTATTACAAATTTTCAAAGAGGACGATTTACTACACATTCTCGGAAAAGGATCTCTACCTTATGAGTACATGGACTCTTGGGAAAGATTTAATGAGACGGCGCTACCACCAATCGAATGTTTCTACTCACACTTGACTAAAAAGACCATCGATGAACAATCTTATGGAAGACTAATAAATATGTGGAATCATTTTGGTTGTGAAACATTAGGTGATTTTCATGATATTTACTTGAAAATTGACGTTTTACTACTTTCCTCAATCTTTCAGAATTTTAGATCCACAAGTATTGAAAAATTTGGTCTAGACCCGTGTCACTACTTTTCAACACCCGGTTTAACTTGGGATGCTGCTCTTAAATCTACTAAGAATAAGTTGGATCTTCTTACTGATATTGATATGATTTTGATGATTGAACGGGGTATTCGAGGTGGTATCTCTTGTGCAATGAAGAGACATGTGATTTCCAATAACGAAAACTCGGAAAAATATGATGCAACTAAACCTACATCATATATTTCGTATCTTGATGTGAATAATTTGTATGGATTTGCACTTAATGACATTTTACCCATGAATGACTTTAATTGGGTATCACCAGATTGTTTTGAATCAACAATTGAAATTATCAAAAATGGTAATTTGGATGGTGATACTGGATACATTCTAGAAGTTGATTTGATGTATCCAAAAGAATACCATGATCTTCATAACGACTATCCATTAGCTCCTGAAAAATTATCAGTCAAGACTGAATGGATGAGTGACTATCAAAAGGAGCTACTTAGAAAAATAGAAAGTCAAGGATTAAATCGAACAGAAACAGAAAAACTTATTCCTAATTTATTTGATAAATATAATTATGTTGTTCATTGTCGTAATTTACGTTTCTACCTAGAGAAAGGATTGATATTACAAAAAATACATAAAATAATAAGTTTTAAACAAAGTAATTGGTTATCACCGTACATTCAAATGTGTACCAATAATCGACAGAAAGCATCCACAACATTTGAAAAAGATTTTTGGAAATTGATGGTAAATTCATTGTATGGAAAAAGTATAGAGGACAAGAGGAAACATACACAAGTGAAGGTGATACAGAATGGTAAACAAGCTCTACAGCAGATAAGAAAACCAATGTTTGAACAATTTTTCATCTTGGAAAACGATTTAGCTATTGTAAAGTTACGAAAGTTTGTAGTGAAACTTGATAAACCAATATACCTGGGATTTACTGTACTAGAATTGTCAAAGCTTCACATGTATAAACTTCATTATGATTGTTTTCGTCCTAAATATGGTGAAAAGCTATCGCTTGTGTATACTGATACTGATAGTTTCATCTATCACATACAAACTAATGATATTGTATCTGATTTAAAAGAGCTCGAGTATATTATGGACTTTTCTGATTACCCATCGTCACATATACTACATGATAATACAAATAAAAAGAAGCTTGGATACCTCAAAGACGAGATGAATGGTGAAACCATCGATGAAGTTATCGCTTTAAAATCTAAACTTTATGCTATAAAGTATGGAACGAGAAAAAAGTTGACTGCAAAAGGTGTTCAAAAAGCTGTAATTAAAAATGAAATATCAATTGATGATTATAAAAACTGCTTGTACGACAATACTATTTATCATCACATGAATCACAGATTACAATCAAAGAATCATAAAATTTCATCAATAAAATTGAATAAAGTTTCATTATCACCCATGGATGATAAAAGATATATACTTGGTGATGGGATATCAACGTTAGCTCATGGACATTATAAAATTAAGCATTTATAGTTTTTCAATAAATATTTTTTATTATAAATTCATTAATTTCTGTGTTACATTTAATTAATGGTAAAGTCTTGTTTTCAAAACAGGATTCCAGAAAGAGAATACAATACAATCCACATTTTATCGATAAATCTCCTTGATAGATAAAATGATTATATTTGAATCCATTGAATTTACAATTTCTTTCCAAAAAAGAAATGATCGATTCAGATGGTTTATTACCAAATGAGTCAAAATATATGCCTGGTCCATATTCTGGTATGAACAATGCTACCCAATGTGACCCAGATTTCCAACTTGGGTCAAGATTAATAACAATACCAAAAGGTTTTGGTAACATTTCAAAAGGTAATTTATCAAGTGAATAAACACCTTTGAATTGAAAGTAATTTTTCAATTTTTTCTCAATATCAATTGAAGTTAGTGCCATTAATAGTCTGTGATTATATTCCTTGATGAATCAATTTGTAATACGTTATCATGAACACCAAAAACTATCATGTGTAGACCTGTAGTTAAGGCGTCAGAAAATTGAATATCTATTCGAGCACTACCTCTTTTAATCAAAGATAGAGTTCCAGATTCATTGGTAAGAGTACCATCATCACTTAAATCAAATACAAACAAAGGATAATTCTTTTCATAATCTTTGTACTTGATATTAATTTTTGGTATTCCATTCTCTTGATTCATTGACCTAAACATGTTGTAATATTCACGAACATAAATTTTATTCTTGAAATCAGGCTTATAAGCAGAAGCTGGAATCTTTATACCATTAACGACAAAAGCAATCTCTTTAATATTTCCATGTTCAAATTTGAACGGATCAGTTTGAATCTCTCCGTTGAAAGACTTGTCAGAAACAAATCCAATAATCACTCTTCGAGGTAGTTGACCATTGTACACATTATCAATACTATTTGCCGCAAAACCACTCACAAGATGATATGATTTAACCTCATTACGCTGAAAGTAGTACTTGACCATTGAGTTTGATAAATTCTTTTCAATTGTCATCTGTACGGGCATGAAAAGTTTAACACGTCTGACAAAGAGTGAAAGTTGATGAAATTTTAAATTGATCGGCCCCTGTGTTGCACAGGTCAATCCAAACGTATCAGGTGCCATTTTGAATCTTAATGTTATCGGAACACCGTCGATTAGTAATTTTTCTTGTTGAAACATTGGTGCGTGTATTGGTAGAATCAGATCAAAGTCCTTTTTAACTCTTTCAACTCTTACATTTTCATCATCATCAATCAACTGACAAGCATCAATTGGAGACTCGTGTTTAAAAAACAAATCATCAAGATGAGACTGGTAATGGAATAAACTATTACCCGGATTCAAATTGACACTTCCTAGATAAACATCACATTGTTCAAAAAGTGAAGTGGCATAATTGTTGACAGGAACAATTTTATCAGAATCTTTTATCGGATCTTTGTATTCAATTTTCAATTTAGCATGTAAGTATGTTGCTGAAAGGTCAGTGTAGTGCTCAGAAGCAGGAACTACAAATTCAAATATTTTTGAATTGTCCAATGATCCAACTGGTCGATACTCAACGTCATACATAGTCTCGATGACAGTTTGTGTTGGAGGAACGCTGAACAAATCTAACTCTGCGATTGTTGCTGGTGATGATGAGTTGTGAATGAATTCCATCTTAATTATTGAATATATCTTTCTTAATTGTCTTTCGTCTTTTTATTACGCTCTTGGGAGAGCGCTTCTTCACTTTTAGTAAAGTAGTTTTATTTACAGTTTTCTTTCTTTTATATAATCTTTTATGTCCACTTCCCACTTGAGCTTTTGCCTTTATCTTTTCTAGACCTTTTGATGCTAAATCAGAAACACTTTCTTTGAATGCTTTTTGAATTTGTGGGTCTTGTACAACACGTTTACCAAGTGTTACACCTTTATCTAATGCTTCTTTTCCAATATATTTTAAAAGTGGCATAGCTAATCTTGAGAAAAAACTTCCAAATCCATAACCTCTTTGATATCTAGGGGCACGTACAATTCTTATGTCACCAAACCCTGAACCACTCTGGTTAGTATAGTAGTGATTGAAATCACTATCTTTAGGACAATATGATTTTCGATACATGTTTGAGTGGTGAATGTTTAAAATTCATTCTTTATACAACTTTTGTCTTTTTTCTAAAATCTAAACTTAAAAACATTCTTCCACCAGATTCAAATTTTACCTGCTCTCCAGAGTCGTGAGTAGCAAGCACTGATATTTCACCAATGTGGTTTTTTCGAACAGGGTAATATATTCGATGAGAAAATGTACAATATCCGATATCTTTGTAGATGCCACTTGTTAATGGCAGAGCACGTAACACAGGAGATTGAGTCCCACCTACTATATGATCTTGGATAATATCAGTATATAAATACATTAGAAAAATTTTATCATTTTCCTTGGCTGCAAAGTTAATTTTTTCTCTAGGATCAAGTACAATTATCTGTTTATAGTATGAGAGGTCTTCATCTGGGACATGGTTTATGCCTAAATATTTTTTCACTTCTGTAGTAAAAAATGGAGCATAAATGAGTCCACAGTGAGCCTTATGCATTGTATTTGTATCAATCACATATTTCCTTCCTCGTTCAGTTATGCCACCGGGACCCCACCAGTCGAATTTAAAATATTCTGCTCCATGGTCGCTTTTTAGAGGTATCCTTATATTTTTACTTGTTTCATTGCTGTAAATAATTCCTAATTTCAATTCATTTGTAGTTATTTCAAGATTCTGATCTTTGACATCATCTCGAGGAGTAAAAGAAGGAGGTATGAATGCTTCTTGAAAACTCTGATTTATCTTCTCAATCACTTTTTCACGAGAGTCCGATATAAAAAAATGAATTGTTTGTTCAGGAGAAGCATCAACCCATTCAACATCCTGAAATAGATGTTCATAATCAATGTACTTGTAAAAACGTTTGGATTTTATTTTATATTTTATTTCAGTTTCTCCAGAGAATTTGAGTGGAAAATAAACTTCTGTTAATCCAACTTCCCAATCACCAGATAACTCTAAAGGAGGATCGATTCGGTTTTGAAAAGCTGAAATTGTGTTTTTGGGGTATATATCCATTGACCCATTCGAAACTAAGTCAATTGTGAATGATGATTGTTCTGTCATTTCTTTTCAGATAAATTGTCCAAATCCCAGACCCAACTATCAAATTTCTTTGGCCATCCTTCCCATCTCACAAAGTACTTATATAATCTTTTTTCTCTATCGTAATCTTTTTTCAAGACTTTTGATACTCTAAACCTACCATCAGGGTTAAATGAAACTTTTTGTAATTCTTCTGGATAGAAAATTGATGATATTTTCTCTCCAGCTAGATCTTCAAGCTTATATACGAACTTGGTAGGTGTTTCTTTAACAGATTTTACTTTAAATACTTCATCTGTCCATTGTTGTGCTGTACCTTTATCAGATGTCTCGTTTAGAGGAATTTTAACTTTATCGTTTACACTGAAACCTCTTTTTCTATTCTTATCCGATTTCAATGATGATTGGATAGTTGTGACAATCGATTGTTGATTCTCTGTGTTGACAGAGCTGGGTGATGTTTTTATTGTTCTATGATACGAATCGTTGTAATTATCAACAATCAACTGCAAGTCATCAATAAATCTGTGTGTATGCTTCCAATAAATATAACGATATATTCGTGAACGTAAAGTCCGAATCAATCTTTCTACAATAGCACATTTAACTGAATTGTCAGTTGTTGTGAAATAATGAACACCATTAGTCAAACAGAATCGAGTTAAAAATTTGTTTTTAAACTCTTTTCCTTGGTCTGTTTGTAATTTCTCAGGTTTTCTACCCTTGGAAAAGATTTTACCAAATGCTTCTATTATTGTCTTGGCTGATTTATCTGCAACGGGTTCTGTCCAAGCGTATCTACTCAAGACATCGATAACCACAAGAATGTATCTTTTACCATCATTCTCTGAACTCCAATATGACATATCCATCAAATCAGCTTGCCATTGTTCATCAATTCTATCAACTAAAATTGGTAAACGTAAAAACCTCTGTTTTCTGGGTCGAAAGTTCGTGTATGTATCTTGACTTTTCAACCATTCCTTTACATCTTGAAGTTGGATTGTTGAATCTGTTTGCTTAGCAATATCAAATAACCTTTGAGCTCCACCGAAACTTCCTTTACTTTTTATGTCATAGTAAACATTTTTCAAAAGATTTTCATATCTTTCCATTTGATGTTAGTTGAAATGACTGGTTTTGGTTTCACCTTTTTTATTGATTTTCTTATTGTCTTTTTCTTTTCGAATCTTTTTATTGCTTCAGATAATGAATCTCTATATTCTTTCAATACACTTTTATCTGTACTAGATTCTTTTTGTTGTTCATCTATTTTAGGTAGATTAGTATTTATTTCACTATTTTTCAAAATTTGATATTCCTTCTCTGGTATCAGAACCATTTTATTAAGAACATTCATTACATGTATTTATCAGCTAATTTACCACCAAGATAAGAAAGTGCTGGCCAAAGTAAAGCTGGCAGAAAAGCTCCTCCTGATTGTATAATAATTTCTTTTCTCTCTTTTAAAGGAACACCTGATTTCTTAGATAGTCTTCTCAACTGTTTTTTGTACGCTGAAATTTTCTTTTTCTGGTTTTGATCAATTGGAATGTTTCCGTTCAATGTATTCTTACTTATCTCTGAGATTGAATAATAGATACAAGACTTTGCTTTTTTTAATAGAATATTTCTCTCTTTCTTTGTCTTTGCTTTAGCAAGTTTTTTCAATGTTGGAAGACACTTTTTAACGCCTTCGATTGACATGTTGTTTGATCACAAATCATTATTTCTTTTATATAAATTTAAAGAGAATAAGCTATCATTGGCTCGTCATTTTCATTGAAAATATTTGTAAGCAGTCTTACTTTCTCATCTGTGTCAGGTTTTAAATCAATAAATAGATATGAATATGGTCTAATTGTAGCATTTTCAAAAACATTTTGAAATTTTTTTATTTTAGATGGAAACATCTGTCTAGCTATATTTGTTATCATTGATTTGTCTCTTGGATTCTTATAACAAACAACATATTGACTGTTCAAACTTATATTTCGACTTTCTTTCCCTCTGACGAAGAAATTTTGAGTGATGAGTATAACTGAAATGTTTCTATGATGAGAACCTCTTGTAAATAGATTACTAATCAATGTTTGATTACTTGCTTCTAACATTAAATCATCTATTACTATCCATTCAGGCTCTTCTCCGCCAGCTTGTGATATATGTTCTTCTGATAATCCCTCTATAAATTTGACATTAGGCATCGAATTGAACATTTTTTGATATTCACCATAGAAATATGTTATTTTCGTAGGCGCTGGATCACATATTTTACCAGCCGCGTTTATCATATTACGTACAAAATAAGTTTTACCAGACCCAGTTGGCCCTGATATGTACATCGTGAAAGGGTGTTTTAAATAAATTGAAAAAGTCATTGTTTTGTTGTACAAATTTATTTTATTTTTTTATATTAAGTTTTCATGATATAATTGAGGAAGGATTGGAGCTTGTAGTAACATTATCTGGACTCTTGCTTGATTGAAACCTTGGTGTTGGAAGAAGATAGCCTAATGATGATCCTAATAGAGCCGTCCAAAGTGGTAGATTCCCAGTTTTCATGACAATGTTGACAATTGCTGTGATCAACATTGATATCAACACAGCTAACTGTACAGTGAATAGAACTTTTTTACACCAAATTTTATAACTCTCAGATGCGTCCATGTTTATTGTTTGGTTTTTCATAGATCCTTATGGCTTTATATTATCTCTGCTAAAGATTTAAATCTATAAAAGTATTTATCTATCTCTCCATAATCTTTAATACCAGTTACTGTTATTCTTCCTGTTTTAAAAACGATAAAAATCACTTTTGAATCGTCCACTTTGATGTGTGTTCCTGGAAATAACTCGGGCTCATATGAGTACATTGGGAATCTCTTCAGAACTGAATAATCAAACTCATTTGATAACCTTGAATGAGCTACGATGTTGACAACTTTAAAACTAGTGTATTCAATTTTTGATGGATAATTGTTACAAAAACGGTTTATTAAATTGAAAGAGGTTGCACAGTTCTTAATTCCTGTTACAATAATTTTTCCAGAATCGAAAATTAACATACATCCATCAACATACTTTAAAATTCCACCTGAAAACTTTTTGGGGTATTTAATTGATGGGTAGTGAAGTTTAATTTTTTCTCGAGAAAGCTTTGAACTCAATGTAAATGACATGACAACATTATTAACTGTGATGTTTTCACAAAGAGCCATCCTCGTTGAATGAAAGATTAATCAGTAAATGTTAACCTTAATACTTTTCTGATTTGGTGATCACATACCGGACATTTCGAGAGCTTGACAGTACAGTTTGTACATGCTACTGCATGTTCACATGGATAGAAGGTACATCCAACTTCCATCTCTTTACAAACTTTACAGTTGTATCGATCAATTTCAGTTCTTGATAGTTCAGCTAGTGGTATTTCGCCTTGTAGGTCATAGCATGTCTTAGCTAGGAACATTGTACCACATTTTACATATAGGTAGTCACATTTAGCGTTAAACTTCAAGTGCTCGATTAATGGATCGTCATCTGGTTGCCATTCATGTACGTTGAGACCACAATGGAAACAAGATACTAAATCTCTTACACCCCTGTAGAAAAATCCAGCATCTACCAACTTTTTTATATCCAATTCTGGTTTAGGCCAATTGACATATGATTCCATTCGTTTCAATGGAGTCCTATACTTTTCAGAGTAACAAGTTTGATAACCAATACTTTCATAATAATCGATAAAATATTGACTTAAATCACCTTTAGCAACCAGACCACAAGCTTTACAAGATTCCATTTTGAAACTGAATGTAATGAAAAATTGTTTGGAGTTTTTATTCCAATTGCTCACTCATAAATTAGGTCAAATTAAGTCAAATTATTTATTTATAGTTTTTAATTAAAAATCAATAATCAATCAATAAATCAATCAAAAATTATCAAATTATTATTCCCCAATCAATTACCTATCGATAGATATGTTGGATGATTCGGTTCGATCGAAAATTCAAAATCGATCAATAATCAATAAAAATGTGCTATCTTGTGTGTTTTTACTACTACTAATATTAATATATAATGAACAACAATTGAACAGCATCAAGAATCCTCCCACCATTTAAAAAAAATACTGAGCATCACCATCACCATAACAACCAAAAAAAGCAACAATTAGTTATAATCAACTAACGAACAACAATTTACGAAGCCATCCACTGATGAAAATGAAAAGAAACGGATCAAATTAAAACAAGGAACATCTTAAATTGTTGGAATTAAGAATGAAGAACAAAAAAAAATTATTCTGATGATCAAACTCTCGGAACAAAGATTATTATTATTATTATTAATATATTCCTGCGAATTTCATTTATATCTTTCAATCTAGAATTGATTTAACCTTTACATTGATGACGATCAAAAACTGATTAGCAAACTTCTCGGAATCAACAATCTAATCACCAACAATCAACACAAAATGTTAATTTACTTTCCAATTTTCATCTCCCAAGTAGCTGGTGACATCTCGTGAAGAATAAGCAAATTTGCCAGTTTGCTGAATTTTTGTTTTCTCTCCTGAGACAAATTTATATTATTATTTTTCATCCCTTCAAGTTCATCGACAATTTAACTAATTGTAACTTTCTCTGTTCAATTCTAAATCAATTTAATTGAATTGAAAATAATTTTCTATCCTTTTATCCCTTTCTCACTTGTTTACAAATTATATTATATGTTTTTCCTTAGTCTCTTGCTCTCAAAGTTTTCAACAAAATCTAAATGATTTATTATGATGATTACAATTACAGAAGAAGAAAAAAAAAATGATTAAACTAATTGTCTTTTAACTCATCAAATTACACATTTAATTACTTGATGATATCTTAATTACTCTAATCATTTATGTGAATAAAATCAACACATAGAACTACAAAAAAGTAAATAATGTAACCATAAATCATAAGGAAATAATTAAAACTTAAACCAACAATAATGATTACAATCAACTAATAACCAGAAGTTAATTGTTACTCGTTAAATTATCAACAAAAAATTTACTCTAATCATTGGTTGATAGTTTCATCTAACAATAAAAACTTAGTTGTTATTTTCAATTCCAAAAAAAAAGTAAATATTGTTAATCAGTTAATCACCTTCATGATTAACGCTAATTATTATTAATTGTTACAGTGATGGTAATCATGATGTTCAACAATCAAGAATTGAAACTTTTAAAATTCCCAAAGGAAAAGTTTTGAAGATCAGAATTAGAAAAACATTATTAATCTATATATGAACAATTAACAATTGACCTTAATCATCGAGAGTTAATCATAATCCTCTCTCACTGAATCTCCCCTGAACTGAATGAAAATCATGATGACCATTATAACTCAATGAATGGTGAATCTTTTTATTCATCATGAGCAAAAGCTTCATGGTTTCCTGGTTCAATTGGAATCTGAATAATATATTTACTCAGTTGTCTGAATAAAAAGTGAAATAATTGGAAAATGAATTCATCATTCTCATGAAAACAGCCCCACCCAGTTGTCACAGAATTGACAATGATGCTTTAGATAAACACAGAATTCAGGAATAATTTCATGAATTCAATTTTCTCTCGCAATTGTAAACATTGTATTCTCATTACATGTTATATTAACTCTGAATCAAATGATATCAGTAGTTAATCATAATAGAAACGATAATATCATCAACTTATCATTTTCTCATGGAAAATTGAAATTCACCCAATTTTCCAATTCCAAATTCTGAAATTCGCAACTTTTGTTTCCTCGAAAATGTTTCTCATCATCATAATAATATCCAATAAATATGCATTCACCTTGATCATTTTCTGATGATATTGTTTCACTTTCTCATGAGCGTAAACTTGAATTGAGTTTCATGATTAAGTTTCAAGTCGATTCTTATTTTTTGTTCACCCTCTTGATTTTCACCATGATTTAGATTGTGAATTATTTTGAGTTGTTTTTGTTATCTAGTATCTGAGCAATTCCAATACAATTACCAGGAAACAATTGAATTTTCAATCCAATTTCCGGTCAAGAACAATAGAAACCGGAACTGTGTGGACATCGGATATCAAAAACTGAGGTTACAAGTAGAGGAAATTTTTAGTTGTCATGATAGCAGGAAACAAATTTCACCCAAGATGAATCTAGGTATGAATAATATATATTTACATGAACAAGGTTGAAAATAATTTGTTCATGATAAAATTTCATTCCAATCGATTGATTCAGTTTAATATGAAAAAAATGAAATAAAATTTTCTGAATTTCAAATTGCGATTAGGGAAATAGAAAATTCTGAGAAATATCTCCCATGATATTGAAAGAGAGAGAGGGAAAATCTGAATATCATGAGATGATTTTTAATCTCATGGATCATAATCATGACAATCATCTGAAAATTTGAATTCATTGTTTGACCGTTTGAATTATTATTCAAGAAGTTAATCTGACTATATTGAGATAAAGTTCTGATATCATGTTGATTCATTACTAATACACAGATATATTGACCGATATTCATGAATACCCAGAATTATGAATGATAATAATAACAATTTCTCATTATCTTCAATATTTTCAACCATTTTCCTCTGAAATGATTCAGTATCATTGTCTAATGAATGAGCATCCACATGATCACAAGTTCTGATCTTTATCATGGAAAATCCTGAAGGTTCAGTTGATGATAAGGTTAATTATGATAATAACATCATTAAATCTATTGACTAAGGTAAATGCTGAATAATAAGTCATAAGGTATCATCATTTGCAACTCACATGACACCATTTCAATGCTCATGTTACAATTTTCATGAAAGAAAATATTTCCTACCAGAACTTTTCCTCTCTCTCTCTCTCTTTTTCTCATTATATAAGATAGAAAGAGAAACTTTTTTGATGCTTTTTCTTAATTATAACCAATGAAGAAATTTTCATTTCAATACTAATAATAATTCACGATAATTAACGTAATCAACTTAATCAACTGAATAGTTGATTGAAAAGTAATCCTGATTCAGTGAATAAATTAACTTTCTCATTATCAAAATCAATTCAATCCTCCAAATCAATCAAATCTCATCATTTAATTTTCCAAACCCAATTTTCATCATTAAATCAGATTCTCATTTAATTTAATTGCTTTTTCAAAACAAAAGTACAATCTCATTTAATGATAATCATAATCACCGAAATGAATAATAATATTCAAATTTTCACCCAAATCATGATGACCATTGACCCGAAAACCAGATTTCAAATCGGGTTCCGATTAAGTGACAAAATTAAATGATAATCCTTTTCTTCAGCATTTATCATATATTAATCACTCAGCTTATCATCATCTATTTATTATCATCCATACTGGTTTATCATCAATGAAGATATCATCATGATGATAATGGTCTTTGTTGATAAAGAACAAGATATTTATGATTAAATGGTTTCTCATGATTCAGAATTTCACTGAACAATTCTTGAAATGTATCATGTAAAAGGTAAAAGCTTTTTCCATGATGACGATGAAAAAACAATCAATTGATTGATCGGAATCAATCAAAATGTTTTCAAGAATTGAACTTTCAATCAAGTTTAAAGGTCAGTTTAAAGATATTATTTGAAAGTAATGGTCAATTAATAATTTACAGTTATTTTCATCATCATTTACCAGGGATTAACATTGAGCACTCATTTCCAACCTTTTATCACTTTCTCATCATCAATATGATTATTTTCATCATCTGATTTACCTTTTCAATGTCTCTCTCTCTCTCTCTCTCTCTCTCTCTCTCACTTTCATCATCAGATGATTCCTCTCAAAACTGAGCTGAATCAAATAATATAAACACACCAACCATATACCTATATCTTCATCATCATCATCATCTTCATCTTCATCATCATTTTCATCCTCATCCTCATCAATTTCATCTTCCCACCCTGAGCAAACTCTTCAGGTTCCCACCAATGAGTCTCATGTTTTTTTTTCAACTGTTCACTTTTCTTTAAGTCTTTAGATTTAGTAGTTTTATCATACAATCCAAACAATCAAATTAAATTGTCAACCTTTTAATTGTTCATCACCACAATTAATCAATCCACCGATTTCCCTTGTCTCGTTTAAATAACTAAATCTATGACTTAATTGTTTCATCAAATTGTGACCTGGTGTCAACTGATCAACATCATTACCTTTTGGATATATCCAAACCATTTAATAACAATTAGTTTTGATTGTCATAATTTGATGTTTGTTTATTGATTATCTGGTTAATTGTTTTTATGTTTGCTTGGTAAATATGAATTGTATTGAATTTCATTGTAATCAACTTTCTAATTGTTGTGTGAAAAGTTTAACACCGACAATTAAGTTAATCACTTGTTGGATAAGTCAAATTAGTTTGACGGTTCGTTAGATCAACAATTAGCAACAAATAACTAATCAATCATATTTAAACGTGATTTAATAAAGTGTCAACAATTAACTTCAATGAACATTTCAACTCTCATTCAATCAACATATTTATTTTTCTTGGTCACTTTTTTCAACCTTAAACAAGGTAAGTAATCAATCAAATTAATTTAATCTAATTAGATGAACGATTCAACGTAATAATCAAAAACAACGAGAAAGAAAAACAATTAACTTAATTACCAATCAATATATTGACCAGTGAACAACAATCAATATCAACTAATCATGAGGCTAAATCATTGGATTGAAATTCAAAGTGGAATCAAATTTTTTTTTATTGTTCAAAATAAAAGGGTGGAGATGATGGTCAACATAGTGGTCAAGAGGATAAAATTGATGCGGGAGATGATTATATGAATTGGATAATGAAAAAAGATTATATTTGTATTTGAATTGCTAATTTTTTATGCTCATGAATGGGAAAGCTTGAATATTCATTTTCAAGATGATTACATGATTCTGATCAATATCTTATCTCATGAACATGATATTACAATAGGAAATAATTTATTATTTAGTTATACTTGAAGATGCTTGAGAATTGTATTATTATCGTATTCTGATCAATTGTATTTTCCTTGATAATAAATTTGAGAGAGAAAGAGAAAAATATTGATTCTATTCAGAAGATTGAGATAAATTATCATGTATTATCCATGGGAATGTTTCGTACATTTCATCTCTCTCTCTCTCTCTCACTCTATTAATAGTTCCATGAGTTCCATGAGTTCCAATACTACTAGTATTCCCACCTCAAGTAGCCCTCTTCGAGTGCGGATCTACTTCCCTTATCCTCCCACTTGACATTAAGTTTATCCAACTATTAGAGATAGAAAAAAGTTCTGACTCTCAGAATCGTCTTGACAAGATGTGATTGATTTTGCATGATGTTTGTCTCGAAATACCAATGATAATGAGGTCCAATTTGTCGAGTAGAAACTGGAATTGGAATTTGCTACTATTAGTTTTTTAATCGTATTTTTTTTTCTTCTGGTCAATTTTCATTCATCTCTAAAAAACAACAACAATCTACAAACTGAAAATTCCATTCTGAACTTTGGAATTTCAGTAAATTCCCATAGAAAAGTTGATGAACTCACCGAAACTAATCTGATAATGACAACATTTATCTCTGAGAGAGTAAAAAAAAGGACAATGCTGAAAAATTCTTGACTCAATTCTGTTTATATCTCAATCTATGGACTGAAGAGATGGACTTGATTGAATTGAACGATATCATTAAGAATTGATAACATTGTTTCACTCTGTACATTGATTGACCATTTCTGAACATTAGTGACCATCATGAAATGATCATGATGACTTAAGATGAACATAAAAAAGACTAACAGCCCATTATCAATACTCGATAAGAAAATGAAAAGTAAAATCAAATTATCTGACTCACTGAATTTCCAATTTCAATCTTATCCTGAAAGTTTCAATGCTAATCCAGAGGGAAAATTATTTTCAACTTTTCATAAGAACAATTTTTTCATCAGTAATTTGAATACATCTTCATGATACAAGAGTTTCACCCAAATTTTCATGTAACCAGAGTTAACTAATTATTAGCAATGAATGTCATGAACAATTTGATATAATCACCATAGATTTACAAGTGAACATGAATCCATGATTCAATTATCATCAATGTATGATTATGATTAAATAAAACATGAAAACATCAATCATAACTCAGAAAATTCAATGAATAACATTGAGAGTAATAAAAATTACTCCAAGATTATTAATAATAATCATTTGAATAGCTCATTGAATCATTATGAATACAATGAATATCTATGAAAATTAACAAACACCATGAGGTTCAATTCAGCTTACAGGGTGAATGAAAAAAAGGAAAAGGATATTAATCAAAGTCTGAACAATCTGATCAAAGGAGATGATGATTATCTTCATGAAATATGATGTTATTTTTGTCTAATGATGACAGGGAACAAGAATCATGATGACTCATCTTAATTCCAATTGTTATCATGAAATCAACAAAAAGAGGATGAAAAAACTGCACCTTCAAGGTAATCGTAATATAATTTCAATCTAATAATAATCAGGAACAACAATAACTAATAATACTCAGTTTGAACCGATAGTTATCAACCTCCAGGGTGAAATAATTCATTCTCACTCTGAGTATCATGATAGTTTCTGAGTTCTATGGACCTGATGATCTCATGTTCATTAAAGAGAGTGGACATTCATTGGTTGAACGAGTCAAAATGAGAAATCTCTGACTCTTCAGATGGAAAATTTTCCAACTCCATTTTCCATCTTCATTTCCTCATGAAATTCATACAACTATCACCCTGGAATATGTAACAAGAAATACTTTGTAAGAATCAATGTTTACATTTCACTTTTGTTAGCGATAATAATAATAACATCAACTAATTTCACCTGATTCCCATGTGATGGGTAAGGAAATAAAAAGTTCATAATATCATGATGATTATCATTATCATGGAAAGTAAAATAGTGTTTGGAACCAGGGAAAAGTTCAAGTTGCTCAATGTTTCAGATAATTTCAATTTTTATTCAACATAAAATGACTCAGAACTGTATTGAATACAATGATAATTACTATTAATTTATGAATAACTTGTATCCTAACCAGGGAAAGTATTATTATTTTATCATCATACTGATATCAGTTAAGGTCTGAAAGGTGAAAATTTATCTCTATTGTTATTGTATCATTTTTGTTTCCCTGAAAATATCAATCTCAATGATGGTTATTGCTTTTAGATGAACTTTTATCATCTCTCATGATCCTCTTCTCATTTCAATTTGCTTTTACCTTTCATTTTATATTCTCACCTGAAGAACTCATTCTCGTCTCAACGAAGGGTGAAAATATATTAATAATAAGAGTTGAGATCAGATGATATCTATGATGAAGAGGAGAGGAAAAAAAAGATGATGATGAAGAAAAATCGAATTGAAATGATGAGAAAGAGATGATGAGAGAGGAAGAAGATAAACTTTTCATCTTAAAGGTATAATAATCATATTAATAGTTAGAAAATCTCATATAACATTTACTGGGATTTTATAAGAAAAAGATAAAATTTGATGAGAAAAGTTTTTCTTTGCTCTCTCCCTCCCTCTCTCAACCTCCCTCTCCCTCTTTCTCCCTGTTGATGATTCATTCAAACTCAGTAAACCCGATAATCTTGAATTTTGTTCAATTTTGATGATTATTATTACCATGTATATGAGATTCAATTCAAAGAAATGATCAAGATATTTAAACTCAAAACTTATTCATTGAGACTTTTTTTTTGTTCAACAATAAACAATCATGATATTTGTTTCAAATATTTAATACATGATACGATAAATATCATGGAAAGACAAGTTAATCAAGATTGATTGTAAACAGTTAACAATAAATGGGTTTCTATTTTCATCAGGTTGATATTATGAGTGTTCAATTCTCATGAAATCATGATAATTATGATGATACTCATGAAACTAAGCCTATTAAACGTTATTGTTTAAACAACAATTTCCTTTGTTATCTTAACCCTGATCATGATCATCGTCATATTTACCAAATACATGGATTGATATTCATACATCCTGATACATATGAATTCCCCCCCCCAGATTCTGAATCAGCATTTTCTCCATATTTTCTTCATCTCATATCGAAACAAAAAGTTTCGAATTTATTTTTTCGCTCTCCTCTTACTCTTATTTCAAGATGAATAAATATCATGATAAACTCCATGTATCATGAACTAATATCCTTTCACACCAAGATGAACAGGTAAATACCCCAGGTAAGCTTAGGTGATGATGATAATTTCCTTCATGATGTTATTTTCTTTTCTCTTTTTTTTGGAACTTTCTTCTTGTTCTTTGACCATTCGTTTCCTTATTAGATTTTCATCCTCTATTATTTTGCTCTCTTTTCTTCTCATCTTATCTTCTTATCATCTTCTTCTTCTCATCATCTTCTTCTTTATAATATCATCTTCCCATCTCATCAATTTGTCATTTCCTTTGAAAAGTTAACCTCAAATTTTTAGTTCGATTCTTGTCTTGAAACTTGTTGATCGAAATTCGTAATTACTTATCATCATATAATAGTATTACGTTCTAGTGAATTAGGACAAAGTTCTAAATCACAATTTCTCTTTTTGTGTTCGAATAAAGATTTTTTTTTCATCATATTATTATTCTCAATATCCAATTTGTTCAGTAGAATAGAAATTTGATTTTTTCTTTTCTTTTCTTTTTGGTAATTCTAATTGAATTCAAATTCAGTGGAATAAAAAAAAAATGAATTTCAAACCACCATGTAAATCATTGGTAATATCCCAATATACTTGGATAAACAATCAAACCTTGTCAAGTCACCATGATGAAACTTTTGCTTCATTCATGATAACAATTTATCATTGGCTTTATTCAGAATTTGTTATTAACTATTTTTCTCTGTCAAATGAAAATGAATCAGAATAAATTGTTGGTCAAAAACACCATTGACTTTAATGGTTCAAAACAAACACTCAAATGAATATCATCAATCATGAATTCAATTCAGAGATTGGAAACCATAAGTTAATGATGAAGATGATAATTATCATGAAAACTTCAAGTAAAGAATGAAAATTATCGTACAAAGAATGCTGATGAAAAAAAAGAATTTCGAGAAAAAAACATTTTTTCTATTCTTTCTCACCTTTTATATACTTTCTCTTTCTCTCTCTCACTTTCATGATAAATGTTCAATGTTGAATTCAAAAGTCTAAACTTAGACTTCCCTAAGAGTAATCATGAGATATTCAAGTTTTCATGATGATTAATTTCCAGTAGTCTTTTTTTCCCAGTAAATGTGAGAAAATATCATCACGATGATAATAGTTTATTACACATTCATGAAGGATACTCGGAATTGGGTGAACATTTTGTTGATAACCTTTTCACTTTGATAGGTAGGAAACAATGAGTAGAAATCTTCAAGAGTTATCTCAACTTTTTCCATGGGAACAGAAAAGCAAAAGGCTAAGTAAGAATACGTGTTTCTATGTCAAGAATCAATATTATCCTTAT